ATCAATGATTTGAGCTGATTTGAATCTTTTATTTAGTGAAAAAGTGGGGAGGCCATGCCCCCCCTGGTCCCCTCTACAGTTCTGCCCTTGAATAAATGTACTTTTAAAAGAAATAAATTTAAAGTATTTTTACTCTTAAATTGTAGCAGATAAAATTCAGGAAACCAGTATATTGTGAATGTATCTGACTTCCTCTGCATCTGCACATATTGGGAAGATTGCAAAAATAAGGTCAAAGTGAAATCAACACTTTATTGTCTTACTTACTGTACACCAAGGAATTTCCAAATGGACATCCAAGATCTTGGGCAATCATTACATGTGTACTGGATAAACTCTGCATACTAGCTCAGGCACCATGCAGCCATTGGGCTAGCAAGGGTTATAGCCCGTCACTTTTTTGCAATAATATGTTAGAAATATTTTATAAAGTTTACTCTAGCAGAACTTTGGAAAGTTTACTCTAACGGATCCTAAGAAGTAGCAGTTTTTCTTGACTGGAAACCCTTTTTTGTTCATTTTCTTGGTGTCTTATCTTGCTAATTTATTTTCATAGAAATTTTTATCTTCTCTGAATCGGACTGCTTTAAAAAAGTTTAGGAAGCAAGTATTTTCTAAAGAGGTGTTTTCCAGCGTTCTAAAAGGCATGGCCTCAAAAATGTTTGGTCACACCCATCTCAGCCCACCTACTTTTAGACTGGTGCACGGTGCTCGTGCTATCTTGTCATTTCACTTCATAGGGACTGTTCAGTTTCAGGTCTACTCTGTAATAGAAGTTTATGAATCATACTTGTTTGCTGTGATACAGGCAGGTCTGAAAAGCTGTAGGCTGGGAAGGCAAAATGCCAAAACGATAGCAAATAATATTTTGTGAACCTGCAGAAAGTTAACTAATCAGGTACCATATTAGTTAATCTGTAAAATTTATGTATGTAATTGTCATTAAGTAAATGTCATCTATATATTTCTTATTACTGTTATTATAGCAAAGATACATAGCAAAAAACATGTGACAACTAGATGTGTTGGTAATCAAGCAGCCACAGTTAAAAAGTGTTTTCTTGATCCCAATATACATGGTAGGCTAAAGCTCACTGACTGGTTGGCTAAAAGTATTTTCCAAATTATCTGTTTCAGGAGATATGATGTATTGAAGAAAACGGCTGATGAAATTTCAGGCGAAACTGGGAATCAGGTATTTATTGATAGAAATTCTTTGATATTTTCCTTTTTCGAATTGTTGTTAAACTCTGCATCATATTCCCACAGAGATTAAGAGAATAATGGTTTGGAAAATAGAACATTAAGGAGATAATCCCAAAAGTCAGAATGCCCTTAATCAAATTTAATTAAGCCATAGGTCAACATTTCTCAGGTGCCAGAGCATGCAAAAACTTCAAAAGTGATTAAAATGTTCAAAATATTGGGCAAGCAAGGTATTTTGTTCAGATGAAGGTATAGTGCATTTTGCAGTTGCTACCTCTGCTTTCTTTTATCTTCTTAAAATAATCATTGGGTTTGAAGTTATTATTGATATGCACAGTGTTGATCTGCTCTCTTGTTTGGTAGCTTCTCTGAACTGCTTTCATCAGGGTATGAGGCTACAAATTCCCCCTCCCCCCCAATGTTCTCATACTTAGATCGGCTGTCTCCCAGTCTTTGCCAATGGCATGCTTAGCTGTTTTGTGATCTATTATTACTTATGTATATATGTATGTATAATTTTGCCATCAAATAAATTACAATTTAAAATTAAAAAAAAAGAAAAAGAAGATCTAAGTACAGATATATAAAATTTACAGATAGAAGTTAAAAGCATATACTTAAAACACCCCAGGTTAAAAATGACAGGGAAGCATTAAAAAGGTCAATACGATCTTGTATCCCTACTTGCGATATCAAGGGTTTTCTTCATCAGTCCAACAGTACAAGCTTCTCTTTTCCTCAGACATTACCTATTATAATTGGGGAATGTGACATTTAGGTGCCAAAATAATTTATTTCTTGAGCTACCCTGGCCCAGTAATATAAAATTATATTATTATATACAAAATTATAAACTTATATACAAAACAAACAAATCAATTTGCACACAAGTCATTGGCAGTATCAGTTACTGTGTAAACGCAGATACTTTTTGGTTCAATCCTGTGTAAGCTGGGTCTTAGTGTGTTATATTTTCACTTTTCTGTGCTTATTTGTTATCCTTAACAGCGTTCACCTCCTTACAATGCCAATGCCACATTCTTTTCTGGGTGAATTTCACCTTGCACTACTCTCACTGCTCTAGAGATGGTCCTGCTTTTGGCATTGTGTGGGGCTGATTATAAAGTTCTGTCAGAACTATCTGTAGGGTTGTTTTGATAACCCATATGTTAGTCATACATTAATAAAATTTTCTGAAGTAATTTTTGTGGAAAGATCTCAATTGGTCTTGCAGCTGATGCCAGCACAGCCAAAATGAAGCTGAAATAATTTTCAAAAATATTTTCTTCAAATCTGCCTTTCAGTTAATTGTTTGATTTTTATTTTGTGTTTATTAAACTTCCTGACTTAATCTTATTCAGAAGAAAGCTCTTAGTTTATTTAACTTCTTTTATGGCTAAATGGTCTGCTGTTGAAGCTTTAAGTGAAGCATTTATGAAAGCAATTCAAAATTTATAAATTCCTGCCATAATATTAATTGTCCTAGAAACATCAAAATGGATTTCTCAAAATTTGAGGTATTTTGGCTTCTTTACAGGTGTTTGCCGTTCAAGGTGATGTTAGAGATCCAGAATCTGTAAAGGCAGCATTGGATGCAGTAGAAGCTGAGCTTGGATTGCCAAATATTGTCATTAACAATGCAGCTGGAAACTTTATCTCCCCATTTGAGAGATTATCTCCAAACGCATTTAAGACTGTCATTGACATTGTACTTAATGGAACTGCAAATGTGACACTTGATGTAGGCAAGAGACTTATAAAGGCTAAGCAAGGTACGTTTTCCATTTGATGCTTGTTTCTTTGTGTAAACCAAGTGAAATTCTGTCTTTTTCTCTCTTGAAAAATTCTACTGCTCAAACTTTTGAGCCTCAAAGTGATGAAAAATCATAGAAAGCTAAAACGAAAACAAACATTTGCAATATAAACAAAGAAATTGATAGTGATTTAACATTTTTTAAACACAGTTAAATTTCCTTTCTTTTAAAATTATTTAAGTGCCATTTCCAAATACTTAGTCTTAATAATATCAAAAAATAATATCAAAAGTAGGATTTTGCAAGTTCATCTAATGCACATGAGCCAAGCAATTTTTGGTAACAAAATGAAGAAACACCTATTGCCCTTTTTATTAGAAAAAGGTAATTATCAACTCTTATCTTAACTAATTTATGTATTAATCTTCTGTTTATGACTTAAGCATCAAATAATATTATTAGATTTGCAGACTAATTTGGTAATATATGTGATTTAGTTTTTAGGTCTTGATTAGTAAAACCTGTCAACATCATTGGAGTGTGTAGATCTCTGCCTAAACTGCATCACACACTCTTCCACAAAATGGTTTGCAGCAACCTTCACTCATTCTTTACTGAGAATGCTAAATATGCTGTATTTAGTGTTGAAATAGCCCGATCGGGAAATTTTGAAGCATTAAAAGATTATATATATACCATTAGAGCACCATGTTATTAGTATAAGAATATATTGAGTCTGTGATGTCTTTATTCTGTTTTAGGGGCAAATTTTCTCAGTATATCAGCAATATATGCAACATCCGGATCTGGTTTTGTAGTGCCTTCTGCAGCAGCCAAGGCGGGAGTAGAAGCAATAACAAAGTATGATTCCCATCAACATTTGCTTTGCTGATATTTGGCCACCTGATGGGCTGGAGTTTAATATAGTGTGAAATATCATCCTATGCATTTAGAGCCTCTCTTCAAGCACCCCTCAGTTATTGCATTCTCTAACTACTTGTCTAGGTTTGGAGGTCTATGAGAAATCAAAATAAAATTAACAGGCAAAATCAAATGACCCAAAAGTTCCTGATTTCAAAGATGATTTTTTGAACAAGCATTGGATTTTCTCAGCAAACTTTAGCAAATGGTGGTGGACTGTCAAATTATCAATCTTACCATCAGGTATATTTGATATTGAGGAATGGCTAGGTAGTAACAACAAGAGAATGCTAATAAGCTAACAAAATAATTCACTTTCTTTCCTCTGCTCTTTATTATCAGTGTTTTTCTATCTCCTACTTAATTGAGATGTCCCAATGATTATTCTAAATTCTTAACCCACTATTTAGCAATTTTTTGTATTGTTTTAAACAGCAATGTTTCTTTTTTTCTATAAAATCTAATCATGTGTTACAAAAGATCAACTTTGCCAATCACAGCAGAAGTAGACAGAAAGGACATAAAGCTTCCACAGCGACTGGCACTTTCAATTTTACTCAGTTTTAAATAACTTGATGGTACTAGCATTTAAAATTCAGTATGAACACAATTACAAAAGGCAAAATACGAAACATAGCAGAAAAAAATATCAAGCATAGCTACTCCTACTAATTTTTATTTATCAATTTTTGTTTTGTTTTTTAGGATAAATTGAATCGTTTCTTACATATGAGTAGCTTGCAATGACTTTGGACTCTTTTTATATGCACCATTGCAGATGCATATATCAGTTATTGCAATTAACTGTTTAATTTTGAGAACATACTAGTTGATAAATTCAGTTGTTAAAATGGCAGTGTTGGTTATTTTTGTTGTCATTAGAAAAGTGGCAGTTAGATTTTTAAAGTCAAGGTAGGACCACAAATAAGAACTATTTGGAGGATGTGTGACAGGACCAGCTCTTGACACAAAAGGACAAATATTTGTTGATCAAGATAAACTTTTCTCAGACTGCGTCAACATTTTTGTTCAGACCCAATGTTTCAATCATGAGAGTGCGACTGCCAATAATTTTTTTGTATCCCTGGGTCAAGGTGTAGCATCCAGAATCAAAGGATTTGGTTTATATTTTCTACAGTCAAATAAATTGTCCCCAAAAATTATGGAAAATTGTATTTTTGTCCATGAAGACATGCAACTTTCCCCCTATTAGTTGTCCCTAAGTTGTCCATTGACTGCTATTAATTTCTCTAGTATCTTAGGCATTGTTGCATCTTTTCCTTGTTGTAGATGCTGTACAAAAATATTCCTAAAGTATCCATAAAGTTTATGGATCTATATCATAAAATTTTCATTGCCAAATATGCTGCCAATGTTGCCTCTTATTTTGCCAATTCAGTTTTTTATATATCTTCAAATGCTTTTCAATCATGATGTGGGTTTAATTCCATAGCTGAAGTCAGTTGCACACTTACCTTGGAAGGCATTCATGTACAAGGTCTGTCAACAATATATTGTATCTAGATATTCTACTTATTTACTCTTTAATTCAATTTTTTAGAATATAAGTCATGTTGTTTCATTAAAATATTTTGTTGGTCAAAAATGTTTCAGTAGCTGCTCCATCAGTTTTTATCCCACTTCTAATTCTTTAAGGGAAATTGATCTGCTATAATTGTTATTCCTGTAATTTATATCATAAACTATAAAGCTTAAATGATTTACACCTAGTTGTTTACAAAATTATGAAAAATATATAAATTTTAATATAGCCAATATTTCATGCTGGTTTACATGGCCTCATCAGAGTGAATGTTGTGAAAAGTTAAGCTATTCCTAGTAAAACATTTATTTCCTGGTTATGGTTTTTTTAAAGCAAATTATCAAATATTGTTTAAACTATGAAATGCTTGGTTTTTTCAGGCCTTCAACACTTTTATTGATGACATATTTGCATTTATCATCACAATGCCTACAGCTCACAGACTAGCCTGTTTCAGAGATGATGTTGTTTTTATGATCTACCTTTATCAGAGATGGTAAGGCAAATTTTCAATTATAATTTATTTAATAACATATCATCATCAGGCACCAAAATTCTTCATTTCTTTTATTTCTGGAATATATGTATTAGTTAATTTATGTAGAGGGCAAGATTAAAGATAATTTGATGTTGACATCAAATTAGAATTCACTTTTTAAGAATAACTTTGTAAAGTTATGATATTAATTTATGAACATTACCCAACAATTTATACTCTGCAGAGTGTTTGAGGAAGGGATTTTGAGTATGCTATACTTCCATTTTGACTGTTTTTTTAATTTTGCTGTACTTGAAACATGTTTTGAAGTTTATATTGAAATAATTTTATGCAAACTACTGTTTAACTTATCTTTCATTACATGTTTTAAAAAACAAGAAGTTTGAGTTGAGCCTTACTTTTTCGTAATATTTTCAGATTTTTTTTCTGTATTGTTAAATCTTTCTTTAAAATAGCTTCAAGGTAATAACTCTTAACTTTAAAATAACTTTGTGATTTGATGGTGATGGAAATGTCTTTGATATCATCAGACATGCATTGTCTGTTGACAGTTCATGAACAAAATCATGCAATTTCAGTTTATACACTGATAAATTATAATATAATACCATTGCATTTTTATAATCTTTGCTATTGCTTAAGTCAGTCTTTTAATGTTTCTTAAAATAACGATTCTTAAAATTAAGCAAACAGAGCCTCATGTTTCTTTGAAACACGGTTTTGTGCTCAATGCCCTGTAGGCAGTGCTGATCATTATTTGATATTTTAAATAGGACAGTAAAATACAACTAAATATCTATTGCACTTCATGCTTAATGCCATCATCAGCAACTATCTTTTAGATTTGGCATAGTTATACCATAATTCTGCTACCGAATTTATTCAAACTTTGCAGCTTTCCATAATTTGCTCCAATTCCTTTTAGGTTATACCCAATTGACAAGTCCAGAGTAAATGAATTTGGAATGTCATATGAAGATCAAAAGGAAAAGAAGGAATAGATTGTATTTTACATTTTTCCCCAAAAATTTATTGTAGTCTCTTGAAAAATTATTGTTAAGAAAATTGTTTTATCTGATAATAATCCATGAACTTCTTAAGTTGCAAAAATTGGTGACCTTTTGTCTCTAAGTATTACTTTACAAAAACAAGAATTTGTTCTGTTTTTGACACTGCAATTTTTTTATTGGCTCTTAGGATATTAAAGTGCATTTGCATTATTGTTGGGAATCATAAGGACTTCTTGGTATGTAATCAAATTGTCATCAGAAAAGTAGCAGTTAGCTTTGAAACTAGAGGTAGGAGCAAAAATAAGAGCTATTTGGAGGAGTTTTGACAGGACCAACTCTTGACATAAAAGGACAGATGTTTGTTGATGTATTCAAAAAACCAAGTTTACCTTAGCAGGAATCAGGATAAACTTTTTCAAGTCCACATATTCTTCAGACCAACAGTTTAAATTATTGGGGGAGAGGGTGTGACTGCCAATAATTTGTGCCTTGGGATCTAGGTGTAGCATCCAAAATCAAACTGGAATGTGCTTGCCAGGGAAATACTTCACATGAATCAGATAATTATTGGTTTGCCACATGAAAACACATAAAGGCAAAAATATAAATGGAACCAATCATGTTTGGAATGAAGATTGATAATTTCCCAATTGTAGTTTCTCTATTGATCAATTTCTTGAAGATCAAGATAATGACAGAACAAAAAAGGATGACTGCATTTTATCGCAATTTGAAAATTGGCTCAATCCATGTTGCAAATGTTTTGTCCTGAACAACAAGGTCATATTGTAAGGGCAACAATGCATTGTACAGGTGGACTCCTTGTGAAACATTACAACAAGAAATTTTAAGCAATTCAGAATTACATCCACTGGCAGAAACAAATTGCTTTGTATCAAAGAGATATATGAGCTTAACCACCCTTGTGCACATCCATGAACACCATAATGCTCTAATTTACAATACAAAATGTTATGATAAACAGTGTCATCGCCTTTTGTAGATCAATGAAGATAATCCAGCCAATCTTTTTATTATAAAGTGTATTCTTTACAGTCCTTTCAGACTCACTAGACCATGAGCAATTGAATGATTTTATTAAAACCCATAAAACCCATTGTAGTGAGAAGAGAACACCATGTATCACAAGGAATCTATAGTCTCTTGTACATTAACATTCCATAAATTTGCTTGAGGCTGATTTAAAAGAAGTTGGACTATAGTTTGATGGTATCTTGGGATTTCCTTTTTGAACTATGAAATCACCTTGCCTATCTTAATTGAGTTAATCATGAAAAATACAAGATAAGCAGCATATCAAAAAATAAAAGAGACAAATACCACAAGCAGACAAGAAAATAAATGAAAAATACAATATTTACTAGACAAGAGTTCTTTTTAATCTTTTATACATAATCTGCCCATAGGATTTTTTTGCTTAATATGGGATCTAGAAAGTCATCACTGCTATAAAATCCAGCACTCTGTTCGCAATATGGGAACCTCAGTTACCATCCTCTGTCAAATGCATCCAATCCAAAGGAAACTGACTTTTCAGTAAACGCTTTATTTTTCCAATGGTGTGTAATTCAGCAGCTTCTCGATCAGATCGACGTGAGCAAGCAACATTCTCCGACAGCAATATCTTTTAAGGCCAAGCGAATCAAGGGCTTCACCTTCAGAGAACTCTGACTGCAACAGACCAAGATAACTTTCCCATTTATTTCCAATTACTTTACCACAAGTAAAACACCTGATTGGTATGATCATGGTTCAAGTTATCTCTTTCGGTAACGGCTTGTATGAGTATGAAGAAACTTTTTAACGGGAAATATTAAGGATCAGCAATGTTGATTCAGTGCAGTTCCTTGGCTTAAACCTTCAGAAAATATCCTTCTTCAATTTATTATTTATTTTTTCCAGTTGTCTCTATTTGCTGCAAACCTTTCTTAATCGATATATATATGACCTGACAAGCAACTGTTCTTCTTGATTTAGGCTTTTTAGGCCCATGCTGCAAACCCTTTCCAGAGGATAGCCTCCTTTTCGAAATGAGGGTATAAATACCGCCAAAGTTTTCTTCTTATGGCAACCAATTGGTGTTTTTGTTAGAATTTATTCTGTATCATTTATTTAAAATTTTGGAATTGAATTGGTAAAAGAATAGGTTTCAGTAGAAATTATCATCAAATACCAAACAAGCTGGTTAAAATATATTTCACAAGGAACGTCGGTCATCGTTACTGCGCAGGAGAGCTCTTTATGAACCTTACCCCTTGCACAGTGATCTGACCTTGCTTTGTGTAGCATGGCTGCAAGAAATGTCAGGTTCCCCCTACAAAGGCTCGTCAAAACAGTAAACCAGTTGAAACCGAACTCTGCAATGGCTACTCAGGCGAGGGACATTTCCACAAACTTTAATGCGAGAAACGACATCATGCTACCGAAAGGCACCTTTGAAGGCAAAGTTGCATTTGTCACAGGGGGTGGAACAGGTCTTGGCCAAGGTATGGTGAAAACTCTATCTGCTCTTGGTGCAAAAGTGGGAATCATGAGTAGGTAGGAACAATTTTTTTAATTTTCCAAGTTGAAGTGATTCATATACGAATTTTTGTGAGAAAGGGTTTCAAAAATATTTTTCAATGGATTGTTTTTGAAGGGATTGTCCCCCTCTAAACTTGTATTTAGTTTTAGAATAATAAATAATCCCTAATATGTTGGGGGAAAGGTTAGTCTACGTTAACATTAAAATTGGTCAGGAGGGGGAGGGGGGGGGGGGGCTCAGCCGTTAAGTGACTTAGTGCACCAGGTGGCCTGTTTGGGAAGTGTGGTATTTTTTAGAACTTATTTTTGCAAACTTGATGAAATAAAAAACAGGGCCTGCACCACTGATCCTAAACTGGAGCGGTCATCTGATTGTGGCAAACAGTTCAAACTGCAAATGCTTACTCTGTTTTACTTGTGGATTTTGGTCAATGTATTTGTTGTAATCTACAGGCGTATCTATATCAATGATTTGAGCTGATTTGAATCTTTTATTTAGTGAAAAAGTGGGGAGGCCATGCCCCCCCTGGTCCCCTCTACGGTTCGGCCCTTGAATAAATGAACTTTTAACAGAAATAAATTTAAAGTATTTTTACTCTTAAATTGTAGCAGATAAAATTCAGGAAACCAGTCTATTGTGAATGTATCTGACTTCCTCTGCATCTGCACATATTGGGAAGATTGCAAAAAATAAGGTCAAAGTGAAATCAACACTTTATTGTCTTACTTACTGTACACCAAGGAATTTCCAAATGGACATCCAAGATCTTGGGCAATCATTACATGTGTTCTGGATAAACTCTGCATGCTAGCTCAGGCACCATACAGCCATTGGGCTAGCAGGGGTTATAGCCCGCCACTTTTTTGCAATAATATGTTAGAAATATTTTATAAAGTTTACTCTAGCAGAACATTGGAAAGTTTACTCTAACAGATCCTAAGAAGTAGCAGTCTTTCTTGACTGGAAACCCTTTTTTGCTCATTTTCTTGGTGTCTTATCTTGCTAATTTATTTTCATAGAAATTTTTATCTTCTCTGAATCGGACTGCTTTAAAAAAGTTTAGGAAGCAAGTATTTTCTAAAGAGGTGTTTTCCAGCGTTCTAAAAGGCATGGCCTCAAAAATGTTTGGTCACACCCATCTCAGCCCACCTACTTTTAGACTGGTGCACGGTGCTCGTGCTATCTTGTCATTTCACTTCATAGGGACTGTTCAGTTTCAGGTCTACTCTGTAATAGAAGTTTATGAATCATACTTGTTTGCTGTGATACAGGCAGGTCTGAAAAGCTGTAGGCTGGGAAGGCAAAATGCCAAAACGATAGCAAATAATATTTTGTGAACCTGCAGAAAGTTAACTAATCAGGTACCATATTAGTTAATCTGTAAAATTTATGTATGTAATTGTCATTAAGTAAATGTCATCTATATATTTCTTATTACTGTTATTATAGCAAAGATACATAGCAAAAAACATGTGACAACTAGATGTGTTGGTAATCAAGCAGCCACAGTTAAAAAGTGTTTTCTTGATCCCAATATACATGGTAGGCTAAAGCTCACTGACTGGTTGGCTAAAAGTATTTTCCAAATTATCTGTTTCAGGAGATATGATGTATTGAAGAAAACGGCTGATGAAATTTCAGGCGAAACTGGGAATCAGGTATTTATTGATAGAAATTCTTTGATATTTTCCTTTTTCGAATTGTTGTTAAACTCTGCATCATATTCCCACAGAGATTAAGAGAATAATGGTTTGGAAAATAGAACATTAAGGAGATAATCCCAAAAGTCAGAATGCCCTTAATCAAATTTAATTAAGCCATAGGTCAACATTTCTCAGGTGCCAGAGCATGCAAAAACTTCAAAAGTGATTAAAATGTTCAAAATATTGGGCAAGCAAGGTATTTTGTTCAGATGAAGGTATAGTGCATTTTGCAGTTGCTACCTCTGCTTTCTTTTATCTTCTTAAAATAATCATTGGGTTTGAAGTTATTATTGATATGCACAGTGTTGATCTGCTCTCTTGTTTGGTAGCTTCTCTGAACTGCTTTCATCAGGGTATGAGGCTACAAATTCCCCCTCCCCCCCAATGTTCTCATACTTAGATCGGCTGTCTCCCAGTCTTTGCCAATGGCATGCTTAGCTGTTTTGTGATCTATTATTACTTATGTATATATGTATGTATAATTTTGCCATCAAATAAATTACAATTTAAAATTAAAAAAAAAGAAAAAGAAGATCTAAGTACAGATATATAAAATTTACAGATAGAAGTTAAAAGCATATACTTAAAACACCCCAGGTTAAAAATGACAGGGAAGCATTAAAAAGGTCAATACGATCTTGTATCCCTACTTGCGATATCAAGGGTTTTCTTCATCAGTCCAACAGTACAAGCTTCTCTTTTCCTCAGACATTACCTATTATAATTGGGGAATGTGACATTTAGGTGCCAAAATAATTTATTTCTTGAGCTACCCTGGCCCAGTAATATAAAATTATATTATTATATACAAAATTATAAACTTATATACAAAACAAACAAATCAATTTGCACACAAGTCATTGGCAGTATCAGTTACTGTGTAAACGCAGATACTTTTTGGTTCAATCCTGTGTAAGCTGGGTCTTAGTGTGTTATATTTTCACTTTTCTGTGCTTATTTGTTATCCTTAACAGCGTTCACCTCCTTACAATGCCAATGCCACATTCTTTTCTGGGTGAATTTCACCTTGCACTACTCTCACTGCTCTAGAGATGGTCCTGCTTTTGGCATTGTGTGGGGCTGATTATAAAGTTCTGTCAGAACTATCTGTAGGGTTGTTTTGATAACCCATATGTTAGTCATACATTAATAAAATTTTCTGAAGTAATTTTTGTGGAAAGATCTCAATTGGTCTTGCAGCTGATGCCAGCACAGCCAAAATGAAGCTGAAATAATTTTCAAAAATATTTTCTTCAAATCTGCCTTTCAGTTAATTGTTTGATTTTTATTTTGTGTTTATTAAACTTCCTGACTTAATCTTATTCAGAAGAAAGCTCTTAGTTTATTTAACTTCTTTTATGGCTAAATGGTCTGCTGTTGAAGCTTTAAGTGAAGCATTTATGAAAGCAATTCAAAATTTATAAATTCCTGCCATAATATTAATTGTCCTAGAAACATCAAAATGGATTTCTCAAAATTTGAGGTATTTTGGCTTCTTTACAGGTGTTTGCCGTTCAAGGTGATGTTAGAGATCCAGAATCTGTAAAGGCAGCATTGGATGCAGTAGAAGCTGAGCTTGGATTGCCAAATATTGTCATTAACAATGCAGCTGGAAACTTTATCTCCCCATTTGAGAGATTATCTCCAAACGCATTTAAGACTGTCATTGACATTGTACTTAATGGAACTGCAAATGTGACACTTGATGTAGGCAAGAGACTTATAAAGGCTAAGCAAGGTACGTTTTCCATTTGATGCTTGTTTCTTTGTGTAAACCAAGTGAAATTCTGTCTTTTTCTCTCTTGAAAAATTCTACTGCTCAAACTTTTGAGCCTCAAAGTGATGAAAAATCATAGAAAGCTAAAACGAAAACAAACATTTGCAATATAAACAAAGAAATTGATAGTGATTTAACATTTTTTAAACACAGTTAAATTTCCTTTCTTTTAAAATTATTTAAGTGCCATTTCCAAATACTTAGTCTTAATAATATCAAAAAATAATATCAAAAGTAGGATTTTGCAAGTTCATCTAATGCACATGAGCCAAGCAATTTTTGGTAACAAAATGAAGAAACACCTATTGCCCTTTTTATTAGAAAAAGGTAATTATCAACTCTTATCTTAACTAATTTATGTATTAATCTTCTGTTTATGACTTAAGCATCAAATAATATTATTAGATTTGCAGACTAATTTGGTAATATATGTGATTTAGTTTTTAGGTCTTGATTAGTAAAACCTGTCAACATCATTGGAGTGTGTAGATCTCTGCCTAAACTGCATCACACACTCTTCCACAAAATGGTTTGCAGCAACCTTCACTCATTCTTTACTGAGAATGCTAAATATGCTGTATTTAGTGTTGAAATAGCCCGATCGGGAAATTTTGAAGCATTAAAAGATTATATATATACCATTAGAGCACCATGTTATTAGTATAAGAATATATTGAGTCTGTGATGTCTTTATTCTGTTTTAGGGGCAAATTTTCTCAGTATATCAGCAATATATGCAACATCCGGATCTGGTTTTGTAGTGCCTTCTGCAGCAGCCAAGGCGGGAGTAGAAGCAATAACAAAGTATGATTCCCATCAACATTTGCTTTGCTGATATTTGGCCACCTGATGGGCTGGAGTTTAATATAGTGTGAAATATCATCCTATGCATTTAGAGCCTCTCTTCAAGCACCCCTCAGTTATTGCATTCTCTAACTACTTGTCTAGGTTTGGAGGTCTATGAGAAATCAAAATAAAATTAACAGGCAAAATCAAATGACCCAAAAGTTCCTGATTTCAAAGATGATTTTTTGAACAAGCATTGGATTTTCTCAGCAAACTTTAGCAAATGGTGGTGGACTGTCAAATTATCAATCTTACCATCAGGTATATTTGATATTGAGGAATGGCTAGGTAGTAACAACAAGAGAATGCTAATAAGCTAACAAAATAATTCACTTTCTTTCCTCTGCTCTTTATTATCAGTGTTTTTCTATCTCCTACTTAATTGAGATGTCCCAATGATTATTCTAAATTCTTAACCCACTATTTGTCAAGACTCTAGTTTTGGTGTAAAATAACTCTAAAATCTAGATAGGTTAAGAATTCCCTTGCTAAACATGTTTCCGCTTGAATACTAAAGAATTACAGCTTGAAAACTAGAGAAAGTGTGCCAGGTTTGTTTTATCAAACTAACTTTTTAACAAGGCTGTTCTACAATATTCGTGTACTTAGAGCCTTTCTTCCAAGCATCCTCCCCAATATGTGTACTTAAAGCTTGCTAGAAGAACCTCTTAACGGACGCACTAACAGCTCTACCAGCAAGCATGATTTTGTAAAATCTTTACAGTGCAGGTTTGGAAAGTAGCTGAAATTATTGTTTAGATGCATTCATAATTTCTCTCGCTTAGCCATTTTCTAATTAAGAAAAAAGGTTGCCTAGGCTTTTGTATTACTACAGGTTTTATTTGACTAATGTAAACTTTAGTATTGTTTTGTTTTCTGTTGAGTTAGCTTAGATAACTGTCCATCTTCGCAAGTGGAAGACAGCTGTTTTGAAAAATTTAACTTAAAGAAAAGAACCACTTTTACTGATAATGGCATATTTATACATTAACAAAACGATGCTCCACCTATGTAGCAACTTTTGAAATCGTTCCAACAAACGAATTTTTCGTAGCCAGTTCTTCCCCTGTACATAATATTAATGCTTAATTTACTGCAGTGTAAGGATGATTTTACAATTCAGTCTGTTCGATTCAGTTGCTTTTATTATGCCAGATATACTTCTCAAACCTTGCTTACTTTCCCTTTTTACTCGCATAATTTTTACATTTACTATTTTAATCATTTTAATCATTTTAATCATTTAACCCTTTGCTGATTTTACCAGAGTCTCCTACTTTTGCGCTTTTTTCTATCTCTTTTTTAGTACGAACGTCAGTTTGTGCATTTTGAAAGATTTATTGTGTGTGATGCTGCATTGTGCGTAGATCTGAAGCAATGAAATATTATCTTCTAGGTCCTTGGCCGTTGAATGGGCTCGATATGGTATGCGCTTCAATGCAATTGCACCTGGGCCTATCAAAACAGAGGTAAGGCACCATTTGGGTGAATCACTGAGTTGTTGTCACGATAATCAGTATGCAGGAAATTTCAAGTTTCATCAATATTCAAGAAGTTTACATTAAAGGGTCTTGTTCGCCGAGAAAGTCGAGTGGCAATTCTAAGAGGGCAGATTCTTAAACATGAAATATTGTCTGAGGTACCCTGTGAATTAAGCTGCGATAGCAGCAATGGCAAAAAGTCTAAATACGCACGTATATATTACTGTTACTGCAGAGTCCAGAAAAGTTGTTAACCTTCCTTCAGACAAAAACATCCCAGAAAGAAAATCTTCCTCACAAAAAAATAGGAAGTGGGCGTGGCTTGGGTGTGTCATTGGAGCTTCTTTTGTTTTTCGTGGACCTTCCTCCAGTCAGTGGCCGTGCGACCGCAATTTTTTCTTGACACTGTGTTCATGTTTATAATTGGTTCTTGTCGTAGATGCAGGATTTCCTACATTTGACCGGTATATCGGCCTTGTAGAAGCTACTGTAACATGTGTTCAGTCAAAATTAATTGGGCCGAAAAAAATAATCATGATTAGCGTTTGAAATTATTTTGCTACCTCGCAGGTTTCATGCTGACATGACCATGCCTTGGGCACCAAAATCCAAAACTGAATTGTGAAACTCGGAGTCGCAACTAAGAACCTGACGCTCTACACAGCGCATCACGTCAAATATTTCGAATAGGAAATTTAAAATATCACATACTGTCCTTTTTTCAGGGAGCCTTTAGCCGGCTTGACCCTACAGGTGCCTTTGAGGAGCATATGCTTGACAGAAATCCAACGAAAAGAATTGGAACGAGAGAAGAACTTGCTAACCTTGTAGCATACATGGTTAGTGACTATTCAAGTTGGATGAATGGAGAGGTGAGATCATACGTAATGAACTGAAAAATTGATAATCCATAATATTCTAGTCCCAAATTGTCTTTGATTTTGTTCATATTTACTTGTTTTTGGAAGTTTTCAAAGCTAAATTTAATATCTTCTTCGTATCTACCACTTAACTATGTACTAGTTTTTCTAGTGTGTGCTAGCATGATATACTAGTTTTCAAAAGAAAGTATTTGATAAATAGCCAATGATAATCGAATAAAATCCAGAGTCGTTGCGTTGGATTAAAAGATATCATGATAACAAACATTTCTGAGAAGACTAAAATTTCACGTGTGAAGTGCAAAATTCTAGGTCAGCATACGAAAAGCCAAGGACCTACCAATTTTAATTAAATTCATACTTGACATGGTTTACTTTTTTTTTTGTTTAGTTTCGTTTTGCAATATTCTATGAATAAACTCGAATCTCTAGTTTAGGTTCTAAGTTTTATTTAGCTGAATTTTGTTTAGATAATAAGAACTTTTAGCATGATGTGCTAGTTTTCAAAAGAAAGTATTTGATAAATTGCAAATTATAATCGAATAAAATCCAGAGTCATCGCGTTTTCATGTGTTTGGAATGGAATACAGAACATTCTGTATAGCATGGAAAGTGTTTAGAGCAGCTTTTCTTTTTAGTTTTAAAAATTGGAACTGTTGAAATTTATAGTTTTAGTAACTTGTTTTGATGCAGGTTGTCGTTCTTGATGGAGGCGAATTTAGAGCTTTGGCGGGGGAAATGAATGCAGCTTTACAGGTATGATGAATAGATTCATTAAATTCTGGTAGTAATGTAATCACTTAGCAAGCGTTCTTCAACCACTTTGCTGCGTGGGTTGAATGCGTGTGCACAAAAGTGTGCCAGGTGGTATTCTCTGTTGTGTCGTGGAAAATTCTCCAATTTCACCCTACTGGTCTAAAAGATTGAAAACAATTACGTCTTTCTTCCATTCCTGTCAGGATATGAACTCTGGGTTCAGCAAAACAGGTCCACGTTTCACACTCAGGGAATAAGATTTTTCTTTTTCATTTATTTGATTTCTATTCAAGATACTTCGTTGAGAACGGCTTATTATTGTCCCTATAGGCCACAGAGTTTCAATTTTTAACATTGTCTGTTGATGGTGTGCCCCGTGATTTTTTTCTATGAAAATGAGTGTCGTAGATCAAAAAATCGTTTTTGAGTAAATAAGTCTTTCGTACTGCTGAAGTACGATGCGGCGAAGTAAATCACCGCAGAGAAGGAGCTACTTTTTCAATAGCCAGAATGTTGTAGGTTCTTGTTTTGAGGGTGAAAATGTTTATTATAGGATGGAAGGTTCTTATTTCAAGGGTATATTCCTTGCCTCTGAGGGACAAAAGGGCCAAAGTGTCTTGTATTATAAGAACATGTAAATTCAATTTGATCTTAAACACAAAATTGTTTGGAAATAAACAATACAGTTCCAATGCTCCTTGGAAAAAAGCTAATCACAGTACATCGATTTGGCTCCCGCTGTTGGTTCAACAGTGCTTTCCTCGTCCTTGACACAGATTTCTGAAGTAAAATTTGTATACAAATCACAGCTCGCGATTTATGTAACATTTTAAAGACTCTCCTCTTGTCAAACAGTCACGCTAAACAAGCTTTGTACCTTCTTTCAGACTAACTCTAAGGATCCTCACATGAAATTGAATTTCTGTCTTGGATAAAGATTGAGGAATGAAGTGATAACATTAAAGTCATTCCTTATTACAAAATCTTTGCTTTTCTACGTTTCATCTAAGTTCCGTTCCTAGAAATGAAAAACAAACGAAACATGAAAAAGGGAAGAATAAGGGTTGATTTTCGATGATTTTTTCTCATTTTTCTCTAACCTTACTTCTCAAAGATGCAGCGTATTTCATTCGTTGTACTCTAATTTATTTTGCATGCTGTGCGCTTATTTACATAGTCAAATGAATAAGAGTGGGTTTTCACTTCATTGTTTGCAGAAAATTTGAACCAAATGAACGATATTGCATTTTTGTTAACTGTGTAATTTAGTATTTGTAATTCATTCGCCAAACATTTTTAATGTTTACGTCCGTACTTATTCGTCAAAAAGAACATATCTTTGTGTACTCTTGAATAGGTGATTCCTTGAATTACTAAAAGTGCAGCTGCCTAGTGATTCAAATTTTTTTGCTTAATCGTTTTTTCGCTATTTCTGTAAGCATTGACGCAGTTTCAGTGTAAACAAACTTAGAATGAAGGGAAAATAATATCATTATTCTAAAGAGCCATGTCATTATTGATTGAAAATTTAAAGCAAGATTTTCGATTGCAATGCTATACTGGGCTCAATAATTCTCCCATATTTTCTTAAGTTTAACAAACAATCACTGAAGTTCTTTCTGAAATCGTAATTTATTCAATCGAAATTCTGCTAGATCGTGCAGATGGCCAAGGCTTTATGATAATAGATCTTGTAGACATAAATATCGATTAATTCGTTCATTCTTAACTAAATAATACTACCAGTTTGAGATTCGATCTGTAATTCGGTTTTTTGTCAATTGTTTGATAAACGAAAAATTCTTACAACACTGAACAGCGTTCTATTCAATGTTAAGTTTGCTATTAAATGACATAATCTTAACATAGAATCAACAGAGGAAAATATTATCTTTTATGCTTGTGATTCGCAGATGCCTCAAATGCAATAGTTGTGTTTTATGTTGATTAAAACATTTCCTCTTGCCAGTTATAACCGCAACTGAAATACTGTCGGTTTTTAATTGCTTCAATATCAAATTTCCTGCTCGTAAGCAGTTTAATTAAACCGCATTTTTTAAACTTGCGATTTGTTCTCATTAGGTTACCGATGAACAATGGGATATGATGGAAAAAATGGCAAAGAAGAAAAAACCAAAACTTTGAAAAGACAGCTAGTTTGTAGCTTCTATCCGGTGCATTTCACTGCCAATATTTCAATGCTAAAATAGATTTTAAGAGTGAATGATAGTTCAGATTTTGAATTTTGGAATAAAAAGTGTAATCCTGTACATGTGAATTCGATTCTAAGCCAAAAATGTGTTTGCCTTCTGTGTTTGGATTGTATTGGAACCTCTGTTTCAGCCTATTTTACTTTCATAGTAATAAACATTATTTTAAGCCCAATCACCCTAAGATTTTAGATAAAATTTTGGTACTATAAACATTGATGAATTTAAAGAACTCAGATACCGTTGTTTTACCACTTGCCAACTCAGTGATCATGATCGGGACCATTAGCATGCCGTGTTAGAAATCATAATCATTGATTTATTATTATTGGTGATAGCAGCAACGAAATATCTGATTTTGATCTATGATGAAAACATGATCGTCGTTTTTTAACTTTAGAAAAGATGCAGCCATTTAAAACGCTCGTTGTACAGTTTTACAGGATATTCATGCAACATTTTTGAAAATGAAACAAGAGTTGCGGTTGACGATCATGGTTGACATAGTGATTATTTTGATCAATCGATGATCGATCATCTTCAAAGTTTGTATTGCCTGAATCATGATTAATATGGTAATGATTTTCATCGACGATCATAATCATTCTTTTTTATTGCTGCTATTATTCATAATCATGATTGTTAGCATGTAATCGTTAGTTTGATGAGCAACTCTAGTCACAGTGCGCAATGTCATAGTCATATTAACAGAAGTTTAGCAAAGTTTAGACTTATAATCATAATCAGTTTTAGGCCCCGTTTTCATTTGTATAAATTCAAGTAGCCATTATTATGTGGCACACTACCAACATGGTAGTGAATTTCAAAATTAAGCGCCTTTCAAGCACATGTTGCCTACAGGCAGTATGGAGATATTTCTACCGATTTTTTAAAGACCATTTTGTATCTATCTATTGAAATGCTGCTTTTTGTTGTGATGATCAAGATTTGTCGGCTTCTCTGACCCCTCGGTTAATCGGGATAAAATCAACACAGTGAAGTAGCAACAAGGTGTCCGTATCAAGTTTCTCTTATCTTTATCTAATGCAATGTTTGTCCAGTGCATTTGCTCAGTTTGGTTTTGAATGCAGGTTCAATGTCTTCAAAGAAAAACATTATCCAAACAACTGAGAACATGACGAAGCTGGCATTCTAGGCTCGAATGAAGTAAAATTCAGCTTGAAAGAAATTGAGTTTCAACTTACAGTACGTATTTCGATTAGATGTTTCTGTTTTTATATAAGTTCTACACATGTTTTCTACAATATTAGAAGGATGACGGTTTATTATTTCTAGAGTGACAAGTGTTTATACGTACGCAAAGATCTTGTTAGAGTTTCATGAGCTTTATTGATTTTGTATATTGCTCGATTTTCACACTGTTTTTATGATGGGACAGTGGTTATAGGGTATTTTCACGTGTGACAGGCTGCTATTATGATGGATTGTGAGGGTTAGTGTGTGTGGTGATTGCTAAGCAGCATATAACCTAATATTTTAACCATAAATTACCTTATTGCTTTCGTAGTTCCTCAAAAAGGTCCTCAATTTGGAACCATTTCTCAGTTTGTAGATAAAAAAGGGCTAATAATACAGTTTCTTGAAGCCTGGCCCCTGCCATATAGAGACCTCCGTACATTTATATGATTCCATAGGTATAATTCACAAGTCTTCAAGGAAAAAAATTCGTGACCTTTTTTGGACGTCAAACGACGCTTTCACCATGAAGGAATTTGAAATTAGAATTGGCCTACATTTTCGAGTTTTTCATTCTCCTTCTTATTCTTTACATTTTCATTATTTTATTATCAAGAAAATATGACTAGGTTTCTCTTTTTATGTTATAAAGATAGTAAAAACCTTCCAAGATATATTCCTCCATGCCAAGCAATTATGTACATAAAGATGACTGTTACAATTTCATTAGGCCGATACTGTTGTGAATGTCATCCAACAAAGAAGTCACCTTTCAAGGGCAATGGGGCAATATTTGTTATCTTAAGTCAATAGGTACCTGCCTTGACGCGAGTTCTTACTAAATTAGATTTAAACAGCCTATGTACGTTTCCTGAGAAAAAGATTTTTTATATCTGCATCTGGTCTAAAGTTGCTGGTGTTATCGTCAAGCTCTATTTGAAACAAATGGAGCTTTTTTTTTGGGTCAATGTAATTTGGATCAGGATTCGTAAATATGTTTGCAGTTTTGCTTAAAGCTTGTTTGGTGAAGTATTGTCTTCGTCCTTTGGCTGGAATGAATTCAGAATTTTTTATGCCATTGCTCCAACTTTCCTAACTTCCTATTCTCAATGTCTCCTGTAGCATGAGTCGTGTCTCTGTCCGTGGTATAATGAAGATGTAAGCGCTATATAACAGCTATATTGCAATGCTAAAGCTATACAGAAAACTTACGTACAGAAAACGTACAGAAAACGTACAGAAAACGTACAGAAAACGTACAGAAAATGTACAGAAAACGTACAGAAAATGTACAGAAAACGTACAGAAAATGTACAGAAAATGTACAGAAAACGTACAGAAAATGTACAGAAAATGTACAGAAAGCGTACAGAAAATGTACAGAAATCAAAGTATTGATGTTTTCCCTGTTCTAATCCTTTCCAGTTCATCCACTAGGACTGCCAAGTGATTGTAATCACACTCTTCTCTCTTAATATGAATAAAATTTGCAAATAATTTCTGGCTCAGAATCATCCTGTTTTAAAGAATATCGTAAGAATATTGTTTAGCCTCAGATTGCATACATTTTTTGGCAGCTGTATGTTTTTTATGTTCATTATAACAGCCATACTTACTTCTCATACCAGCCATAATTTCAAATACCCTTCTGAATAATAGTTGCTGTTGCTTTTTTTGTTAAACCTTGATTCTTTGTTTTTGTGGGGGGAGGGGGGGGGGGCTCTCTCTCGATTAGCTTACCTATTTAGAGAGCTCCTCTTTAATCAAACAATCTTAAATACAACCATGTAGTATACTCTCCTGAGTATGTATGGTTTCTTGTGAATTAGTAATTGTACAGTACTTGTAATTTTGTTGTAATTTTGTAGTTGTATTCAGTATTAGTTGATAAATGAATAAAAATGAACTAAAACTTATAAAAGAGAATTGCATAACTGACAAAGCTCGTTTTTTCGAAGAGTTGTTTTATTCAAGGGCGGGCGATGTTCCTTGAGAAAAACATGAACACTTTAAGAATATATCCGGGCTCAAACGAAAATTTCTTAAAAATATCGAGAGGGAACAAAATTTATAGTATTGTTATAGCAAAAAATAAGTGTAAAAACTCTACTATCTGCTACAACAAAGTCGAGTGAATTAAAGCTGAATCTCTAATAGAAAAACCTTTTCGCGTATCGTATCAAATTACGCGTATATAGATGTTTGAATTTCGGTGCAATTACCATTACAAAATTTTAGACACGTGAATTGAATGATGGATAGCGGCTGTATTTAGTCGAAAAATTATTCTTTTATTATTGTTAAAAAAAACCGTTTTACCAAGAAGAGAAGGTTCTGGGTAAGAAGACTATTATCAGATCGAAAATTTAAAAGAGAGTTTTATCTTCTAATGCAAGACATGCTTTTGTACGACCAAGAGTTCTTCTTTAGATTCTTCAGGATGACTCTACATCAGTTTTAAGTTCTACTTGCAAAGGGAATTGTTCTCGTGGAATATTTTGTGTTACTCTGAGATATCTGGCAACACGTTTCTTCGACAGAACTTTAGCCGCCATCTTGATTTCATTATCAATGCCCAGAAATACAAAAGTTAATTGATTGTTTTATAGCTTGATACGACGTAGTACGTAAAAAAGTAGGATCCAATTCAACTTTGTTTGTGTGCATATGCACGTTCTTGAGATACGCGTATTTCAAAAATTCACTAGAAACACGCATGCGCGTCTGTACGATCCGTGTCGATACGTGTAGAATTTTGCTCATTGGAAATCCGGCTTAAAAAACTCTGCTTTTGAAAAGCTGTAGAATGGAAATTCATTTGACCAAATTGCCTGATGCTGTATTTATTGTGCTCTTTTCAGGGATTCAGAGTTTTCATATGCTAAACACGATAATGCACCCTGCTTTTGATGATATTTGCCTGCTTTACTGATACACCTGTCTCGCTAAATTCTCAGGGGGGTTAACAAGGGCATACTATTGTTGCGCGATTTCAGTTTGGAGTCACTGATTCTCGTGTCGATCCTCAGTTTGAAGCTGCTCATGGTACCAACGAATGTAGTATTTTGGTGATAATATGCTCCATGGTATAGCTTTAACGCATAATTTGTTGTCATAGAGCTCAGTTTCAGAGTGGTATAATTTCGAGATTCTATACTTGGTCTATTTTCATCAATTTCAATGTTCTTGGATCATATAATCACTGTGCTTTTTCATAAAATTTACTTTGGTGTTTCGAGGTCTTAGAAAATGTCACTATTCAGTTCCTATAGACCCCCCTGCTCATCTTCAGCCTTGAAGATCTGTTGATATAACATTTACTTTTTCGTTTCGAACAGGTTTAAGAGTAACAGAAGACAACAGGAGCGAAAACTTCCCAGTGGATTTTTCAGTTGATTGGTCGCTGTGATCGAAGACCCTTAAAAAGGTGAAGGACAGATATCAGCGCATGTGATGGTGAGTAAAGTGAATTAGTTCTTTGATTCTGTAGGATCGTCCGTGCGTATTGACTGCGACCGTTTGGGAATGTTTTTCATTTCACGCCTTCCTTTCTTTTGATGAATTATTTTGTCGTAGTATGCTACAAGGTAAAATGAAATGTAAGGGACTCAGGCTCTACTCGTGTACAATGTAGTGAGGAGCATCACAAACAATGAGAACAATATACAGAGATGTTAAATCATAAGATTATGGAAAGAGTATCGTTAAATCTCATACTTGGCGCTCTCTTATGTTTATCTCCATGTTACTTTCAACTCGCCATCCTGGTTTTTCATTTTGATGTTATCATTCAATTTCTCCTTCTTATATTGTGTTTTCGCGAAAGTGCTAACCTCAAATGCACCAGCATTGATTGACACGCGTTTAGCATGCACTTTTAAGTCACGAAACTAAAATTCCTTTATTTGCGTTCCCTGTACTTTTTATGTCTGAAAGATCTGAAAATTTGTTATTGTCCGTTTAAACATCTAGATATGCCATTCGAAAGATCCTTTTTACCCGTCTGAAAAACTAGATATAACTCATGCTTTCCGTGCTCTTCAAAGGTGTATACGTAAGTTGGTGGGTTCCTAAAAGTTTTTTCACTTTGTACAAAATGGCTCTTTGCTCATATGTTGGTACTCCGGTAATAGCCACACAAAAAGTTTCTTGACGCTTGAAAATTTGTGAATTATGTCTGGTCTTCTTGCTTCAATTAAATGATCATATTGAATATTCATGTCCCATAGTAGCTTTACCTGAACATTTTCAACTACACCTTCGGGGGTATGTTCATGCAATTTTTCCGTCTTTTCTAGATTTTATTTCTTGCATAAATGCCAATGCACAATCCTCGCAAGATTTTCGTGCCTTCGTTTATATTCTTTCTGTGCCATCTTCTTGCACTCACTGACAATGTGATGTACAGTTTCGCCCTTGTCTTCACACATCCTACAAAGTGATGACTCTGCTGATTTGTCAATATGGTGTTCAATATAGTTTAATCGGAGAACCTGTTCTTGCGCTGCACACAAAAGTGATTCTGTTTGTATCTTAAGATCAGCTTTTCTCAGCCATTCCCATGTCTCCTTTTCATCTGTTGATTCCGGCATCTCTCCAACAAACTGCCCGTACATTCTTTTTTCCTTCCATCTTTGTTCTTTTTCATTCATCCATCTCCTTTTGAACTCATTATTATCATTATTATTTTTATTATTAATCATAACTGGAGAAAACCTTCGCCCAGATCTTCTCTTGAGACTAACAACAACTACCTATACATTTTAGAGCTTACTGTTGGTTTTGAATCCAATCTTGACACAAATGCAACAAGAAAACACAGCAAGTATGCTTCTCTTCTATCTGACTTACAGCGGAAGTTCAAATGTGTCTCTTTTGTGAATCTTTCTATGAGCTCTCTTGGCATCTTTGGCAATTCCTGCATCTCCTTCTTCAAAATGTGTGACTCTCTCTCCATCGATCAGCAACAAAAACGGTATCTCATCTCTAAACTTTCCAACATTGCCATCCGTACTACGTACTACATATTTTGTTGCAAAAATAAACCATGGGCAAATTCGGAATTACATCCGTTTTAATTTTGGTTGTTTTATTTTTCTCAGCTTTTCCTTTTACCTTACGATTGTTATAGTTTTTTCTTGTAGAGAAAGCCAGGCTGGTAGCCAAGTTTGCAAGATTACCTTGTAATAGTGAGATTTGGTCATTGTGTTGGTAATTTGAGTTGAAGATGAAATGTTTCCATTATTATTATTATAATAATGAACTGCTCTCCTTCTAAAGATTCTTTGCACTCATACGATTTTATTTAAATGTTATAACTTGTGTAAAATTAATAGACTTGTCACCAGGCTAGCCGATAGTAACTACCTGTAAAGTGAGGTTACTGTTGTAAGTAGAAGAATATAAAATAAAAATGTTTTCATTATTATTATTATAATAATAATTATTATTATTGTTGTTATTATTATTTTTGTTGTTGTTTTTATCAATCCCTAATGTTATATAGTATAATTTACCGCTAATTCGAGAAACCTGTTGGGGTTATGACTTCCCTTAAATAACTGCTATGTCCCTTTCACCTATTTCGTACCAATGATGAAAAAAGTAACCAATGGTGGCTTTCACTTGATAAGCCCCATCAAAAAATATGGTACAGCCCCATCACAATATACTTAGAACAATTGTTAAGGTTGATGTATTCGTTCATATTTTGAATAACCGTTACATGCGGAATCACTCCGAGGATTTGATTATCAATAAGTTTGCTGAAGTGATAGATAGCTGGCTGGTACTCGATGAAATAAATAAATGAATTGGTTCAATTATATCTTGTTTTTATAATTCATACATGAGTTGTACAGCATCAATAGACCAATTCGACTTACGACCTCGTTTTGGAAATTTCTCCAAATTTAATTATACGACTTTTTTAAGCTCAGATTTGGTTTGATCACAATAGATTTAGGTTGGATACAATTTTTCATTTTGTTTGTGCTTGTAATTTAGATTTTATGGAGAAATGAAGTTTGAAAACTTGCAAGGGATTTGACCGCAAAAATCATTCCGGGCGAAACTTTACCCCCCCCCAGTCGCCAATCACGGTCAAATCTCTTATAAAATTTTTATATTTTTGCCGTCATAAAATCAATATCGTGAGCAATACCATAATGAAAATTTCCAAGTAGACTAAAATCATTGCTCTTAATCCGAATCTGAGGTTAAAAATTTTGTACAAAAGAATTTGAAGATTTTTCAAAACGAGGCCGTAAGTCGAATTGGTCTATTCTAAATATTTTCCACGTCAATCCTGTGGATATTCCCCTTGTTACTAAAGCAACTTTGATCACATCAAACCAGTGATTACAAGTGATTACATTGTTGTTGCGACCGACTTCATAACTGAGCGACTAAATAGATGACAACTACGGGGGGCTTGTCTGCTAGAGCGCTCATCCTCAAAGTTTTTTAAAACAGGATCATCCTCCCCTTGCAGCTTTTAGATGAAGAGTAGATTTTAGGTGTAGCCTCAAAAGGGCAGCAATTTTTTCTATTCAAGAAATATCATTTCAGAAAAATTGCTTTTAGCAGTCGGGATTCTCAATAAAACGACCCATTGTTGGCTGTCAATCTCTAGGTTTAAATGCATAAACATCAATTTCTGAATTATATAAACCCCAATATAAAGCAATTACTTTTTTTTAAATACCCCATAGAAAAATAAACTCGTCGCCCGTTATTGGCCCGATTTTGTTGACCAACCTGATTGCTTTGATCACAGCCAGCAACATTGTGCCTATACTGATCAATATGATCATGTGATAATGTTAATCTATCCTCCCTTCCATCCTAACCTTTTGCAATGCCTTAAAAATGTGTACCCATGCGATGCATTTGTAATTATGACAATCTCACTTCTTTTAGTAGTTAATAGTTGTGCAAACTTCGAAATCGCAGCAAGAAATCTCAAGGCAAACAAGCTACGAATTATCAATTGTCTGAGACAGCAAATATTGCCTTGCGAATTTTGCTTTAGTTTTCAGATACCAAAAGCATATTTATTTGTTTGCTTTGTTCTATTATTGTCGGGTTTTCGTGTTTGAAAATGCACCAGCCATCTGCATACAACTATGCATTTCTTGCAGTCATATGTCTTCGAGGTAGTCAGGGACATTTTCCATTTTGCTTAAATATTCGGTGGTAAGTTGTACGTTTGTGTTATGCTACGTCATTTCTCATAGCTTTTTGCTTAGACATAGAAATGCCCAGCTTTATTTGACACTTGAGTTTAGTATCATATTTACCGCTGCCTTTGTTGACATATTCTACGTAAATGTCTGCTTCCACATGACGTCACTGAAACATCTTATTTCGTTTATGTACAGGGTCATGTACCACCTCCGTTGATATGGTTTTATCCACTGAGAAGTGGGCCAGGGGTCAATTGCCACAGGGCCTTTTTAAGGTTATTACAGTAGGTTGCCTTGCTCAACTCAGTTCCTATTCTTTTCTGTTATATTTAGTAAGATTTGGTAGCCACAGCCCAAACGGGGCACAAACCCAAATAATTGGAGAAATTTTAGAAATCATTTGTTCGTTTCGCACATAAAAAATGGAATGCCTGTTGATCATCAAAAATGAAGTTTTTGGCATCTTTTGCTTGAAAGGTCACATGATTACCTGCTTCATTAAAGTCAACTTGCTAATATGGTCACCATTTGAATAGATAGGAAGTTGTTATGCGTTCTCAAAACCAAGACTGGGGTGTCTACACTGGCACGATATTTTTTCATAGAAGTGTTCAGTTTTATCATTTAGAACGAACCCGGTCACGTAAAATTTATTAGTTAGATAGTTATATTATATTCTATTACCTCTAGTTTTTTTTATATTGTTTCTGCCTATCACTTTTTTCAGATTTTTTGAAAGCAAGATTCATAGAATCCAGTGCTGGCCAAATCCAGCGTTTATTTCTTTTTCTTGTGTTCCCCCTTTAGGGCCTGTTTACATGAAAGAGGTCTAGGCCTCTTTGCCGAGATCTCACCTTTTTCATGTGATCCTTTTTGAAATTCCTTTTCATTTACATTAGAGGTGGGCCAGTTTTTTTAGGCGAGATTTCGCTTCTAACTACCCTAGATTTCGCCTAGGCGAGCTAGAAATTTTCCATGTTAACGCAATCAAGTGGGCTAGCCCTCCAGGGAGGGCTGGAAAAATTATTTTGTGCACGCGACAACATACCGCTTGCATCGCCAAAGTACAAATAGCTGCCAGTATCAAAATTACCAATTCAAAGTCAATACAATTTGGCTGGACTTCTGACATGGCGGAAATGTTAATCACTGCTCGCCGTAAATACAAAAGTATAATGGTATTCAAAAATATAGATTTCGATGGTGATAGGCCAAAGCAGTATGCTAGGTTAAGAGAAGAAATGGTGAAAGGGTATCCCGATGTAATGTCCAGATAATTAGTAGACCGTATTGCTGTAACAAAAGCGCTGTAAGGATTGTTGTTGCCTAAGGCCTGGTTCAAACGTCGCGCTTCTCATGTGCCGAACCTAACTCGAGAATTAAGTACATGAGGGGCGCGATGTTTGAATCAATTTGGTACGGCAGATTGAGTTAGGAGCGGCAGACTAGTTTGGATCGGTAGAGCTTGCCGAGCTGCACGACTCCAGCATGGCACGGTTCCAAGCGTCGAACTTGTCATGTACCGAACTCAATGCATAATTATATTTAATTTATTTTCCCTCCCAGAATTCATTTCTTTCTTGGAGGGCGCATGCGTTTCAAACAAATATTTGAGATTGCGCGCCTTAACCAAGATACTTCATGTAAAAATTCCTAAAACCCATTTGGCGCGACATAATTAAGTTCGACGTTTGAAACGGGAGCCGCGCTAAACATGCTCAAGAGTCGCTCCAAACAGAGTTAGGTTCGGCACAAGTGGCCGCCATTTCGAAATAAATATTGGCGCAAGAACTTCTCGTGCTAACTTGTTCGTGGTTCCAGCCCTCCCAAGCAGGCTAGAAAATTCTCATATAAACAAGCATGCAAATCCAGCTCTCTTAGGGGAGCTGGCCCTCTCAGGCTGGGTCTTCTCATATAACCCTTAGTGTTCGTAATTTTTGCCCTAAAGATATCTGAGAAATGATCATGGAGCTTTCAAATTTGCCAAAATCTTTGTTGAATCTATCTGCAAAGGCAATTTCTTGCTTTACAGACGTGGATTCACTCCTGAATCAATCTAGAAACATTCAAGCGCTCTTTATCTCAGTACGCTGTCAGCAGATATACCAAATTTATTCGTATGCCTAGTTACTGATTATTCATATTTATTGTTGATGATTGCTATTAGCAAACTGGCGATACACCATAGTAAATATTTGCACTGTTTTTCCAGACTCTATTAATTACTTGAATCTTTCTGTCCGACTTCTGTCCAAATTCATTATACATATTTGCATATGATTTGCCGAACACACTTTTCGTTAAAGCGTGTTAATCATTTGGTGTGAAATTTTGCCGGCCAAGTCGATGTAGGGAATACCTTTTCAGGACATGTTGTTTTCACTTCTATCGATGTTTATTCAAAAACTCCAGCTGCTAAGATAAAAAAATTGCTGATATTAGTGACGAAGAAAGCTTGAAAATTGTTCACAAATGTAATCGCATGAAAGAGTTTGCGCAACGTACTTGGGTCACGCGGTAAGAGGTATATTGTTCCTTATTTTCTTTTATGATAAATGCTATGAGCACGCGTGTTGACACGAAGAAGATGGATCGAAATATGCTAAAGTACACTCTCATTAAAAGAAATAAAAAATTGGTTATTGAAATGAAAGACACGGAAATGATGTCACATTAGTGAAATTGCTATCATTACCATATTTAGAAATTATGTGGCAAAATTAACTTTTCTCACATTAATGCTTAAACTAAAATACGATATTTTACTTAAATACGCTCAATTTAAAAAAGCGAGACGTAATTCAAACATTCTAGGCCAGATGGAAACGTGGTGATTTCCAGAAACTGTGATCAAGCAGCTTTCAACTTCTTTACCAAAGCAAAGTTGCCTCTTTTATTAGCAATTATACTTGGAAGGGGGGGGGGCAAATTTTTTAAACCTGTAACGACTAAATAGCTCTGGTCTGAAAACAATGGTATATTGAACTTTGAAAAATCCTAACCCTTAGACATTGCTTTGTTTAGTTACATTCCTCGTTGACGAAAGATTATCAGATATCATTTACTGTTATGTATTGGTTTTGTTAACTGGCTGAGATTTGCTGGCATCAGGAAGAAATCTTAGCTGGCTATTTAGCCTTTTCACCATTGCTCCGTGCGTATAATGTAGCCAATTCATTTAATTACAAAGACCGATTTAGGGTCGCCGAAGAAAAGATCGGCCAATGGAACTAGGCACTTTATTTTAGAGGAACACATCCTTCTCTAGTAATTTTTAAAAGACCTACAAAATCAGACCTTATTTAGGGCCTGTTTATATGGAGAAATTCATCCCACCTTCCAGCCAGTGAGCTGAGAGGTGAGATCCCACTCTTCTATAGAATCCTTTGTGTTGTTCGTTTTGCATTTATATGGAAAACAAGCTAGCCCGGTTAAGTGAGATCCCACTGCATGAGAGGTGGGATTTCACTGAGATGGGATGAATTTTTCCATATAAACGCTGGAAGGTGGGATGAGGCAGAAAGATTGGATGAAACGTTCATAGAAACGTGATCAAATTTCGTCCCACTTGTCTGCACACAAGCTGGAAGGTGGGATAGAATCTACATGTAAATATTTGAGGATTTCATCCAACCTGCCAGATTATGGGCTGAGAGGTAGGATAAATTTGCTCATATAAATAGGCCCTTAAAAATATTGTTTTGCTCTTTATAATATATTTGCTATAGTTGTCTTAAGTTGAAATTTAGATTTTTTGTGTATCGTTAGAAAGTTTAAGTTAGAAAGCGTCTTGCAGCTTCTTAAAATTAACAAAAGATTGGAAGAATTTTTAAGGGCAATTGAAATCTTTTTCTAAATGAACTCAAGAGCAATTAAGAGATGTTTTGGAATAGGCATTTTAAGATTTCAAACTTCAGTTGTTTAGGATCTTTGCAAGGAGTTGTTGCAAATTCAGGATAAAATGGCATGGCTAGAGGGGTGTGGGATGTTGACGCACCCCTCTGATAATCAAATCATTTTACTTGCATTATTGAATGTTTGTCGTCCTCCTATTTTTCATTCAGAGCGTTGCGTCATGTTTTATTAATATGTGTTACTAGTTTCCTTCTCCCGCCCTCTGATTTGATATGCAGGTTTCTTTCAAAATCAACAGATCTTAAACCACTTTTCAATCAAAAATTACACCAGAACATGCATTTTTAATCCAGCTGGCCTGTTTTTATGAAATTCTATTTTCACATTCTCTGATGGGTATAATGCAGTAAAATGCCTTTTGCAAAAAATGCTGTACGATTGAGCATCGATTTTCGCTAACATCTAAAGTAAGGACGGGAGGAAGAATTTCAGTCTTGATGTGAATGGTATGTTATGAAATTTCTTTAATTGAAAATCTTATTTTTCAGATTTTTTTTTCACTTTTGAGCTAATTATGTGTCTAAAGCCTACTGAGCTTGTTTATGTTGTCACAGAAGATAATGAATATCGATTATTCTATTACTCTAGTGAAATGTATTCTTTTTACTGTTGTATCTTTTGTCTGAACAAGCCTTGTTTGGCCCTAGTCTTTTTAGGCTTGTGTGCTTAATTTATCCTTTTTGTCCATTGCTTTTAATATAGTTTCCACGTAAGCTTGTTAAAAAGTGTAGAAAGCGAACTAAGCCTTGAGAGACATTCGTTTTCTTTCCTAATTATTTGCTTATATTTGCAAGTATACGAATAGTTATCAGAAGCTAAAACTACATGAAGCAACTGTTTTACGGCGACCTCCATAATCGGAAATATGTGAGCCTGCATTTGCCGGGTATTTGTGGCAGCACTCACAAGGCTTTGACTGCAGAAAAAAGTTTAGGAACATGGTCTTGATTGAACTTTAATGTGTCCGCTACACACGAATCTAACAGTCTCGTTTTGAAATTATTTGGCTACAATTTTTGGTTGCAAAGATTAAAAGCATTGTTTTCAAAGTGTTAAAGAATGCTTCCAATCTGCTTGATACAACTAAAATGAGCTTCATTGGCTTAACGTTTCTTCTCTGAATGGGAAAATTTATTGAGCATCTCGTCGTGGCTGAAAATTGCAAGCTTTTTGGATTGGCCTGGGTAGGTGCTTGTGAACAAAACTGTTTAGATTTAGATCTCCAACATGTCCCATCTGCTTCAGTGACCCTGTCAAAGTTGACATCAGGCAGCCCAGCAAGAAGATTGTAAGTAAACAAATGCATGTATTTTAAGTTGAATGATCTTTCAAAGGAATGTATATTATACGTACAACAATTTTAAAACAGGTTCTGCAAGGACAAAAAGGAACCTCTACAAAAATGTAAGACTGTTGTGAGTTCCTTTAAACAAAATTTTCCTCCAACAAAATTTTCCTCATCAAAGTTACTAGAATTTTCCCTCCAGCAGGGCTACTTTTTCAGCGCACTCATCTTTGTCTTTCAACTGCTTTTTTGTTGAACCTAAAAGCATGAACATTTATAACGCAAACGCTCATTGGCTATTAAAATAAGTACAAATATTGAAGACCCATTGGTCATAGCTTCAACACGAAGTCAAAGAGCCTATGTTTCCACTTCCTTAAAAGAATATGTTTAATTCCACTAAAAATAGTTTTCACTCTTTGTGCTTACTGTGGTTAATTCAAAGTCTCGCTAAATCGAACAAAGTACCATTAATAGGATTTAATAACGGATGTTTGATAATTGGAGCATAGTTTGCTTTTTTTATTCACTTTATTTAATGTTGGTTTACAGAATAATAGCTAATAAATAGCTAATTAACACCAACTTGTAACAGTAACAAATATAACTAAGAAGAATCGTGATGTTTACAAGCATCCATTATTAGAAATATATGGTGTGCATAGTCTACACGAGCAAGTAAGATCCGTTTGTTTAATCTTAGCTTTGAAAACTTTGCAGTTTTCTGTCGATCGAATGTCTAATGGTATAAAATTCCACAATTCATTACATCTAAAGGATATTTTATCTAGCCCATAAGTAACAGTGTTCGGCTTTTTGTGTGTAAACGATTGATTTCGCAAATTATATGCAAGTTAAATATTTTTTTCATATATACTTGATTTCAGTTATTTATTGTTTTGTATATTTTTGTTGCTAGTAGTTGTAGGTTCTTTTGATGTATCCTGACATCATTTTTTGTGAGATAATATTTTCAAAGCTTGATTCAAAATCATTGTAAGTTTTTGTCCGGTGCCCTTTTATGGATATTTTCAATACGTTTTCCAGATTTTCGGCTACAATACATCCATAAAAGAGGGCAATAGTTAAAGTGACAAAGTATAAAGGTTTTCATCAATAGTGATCTTTTATATTCATTTATATAAGGGGTGATTCTGACACGGGCATTTATCTTTTTACCTGCTTCTTTACATAAGTTTTTTATATTTTCTTCAAAGTTTAGTTTGCTGTCTAAAGTTATTCCAAATAGTTTGGCATTTTTCGTCTCTTCGATTGTGGCATTTCCTATTTTAATATTTGTTTTTCAGTTCTGGTTTGTTTATGTTCAAATATCATAAAGTTACATTTGCCTTCATTTAGTAACAATGAATTATCCTAATTTATATATTATATCAGCAACATTTTTACCTACTGTCCATATTGTATTATCATCAGCATAGTTACAAAGAATTTCTATAATCATGAAATAGAAAATATCATTTAGAAAAATGTTAAATAATAGGGGGCCAAGAACTGATCCCTGTGGGACTCCTTGTGTAACATTTTTCCACGTGGTTGTTTGAGAATTAATTTTCACTCTTTGTGTCCTCTCTTTTAGGTAATTTTATAATAACATCAGAGATTGTTTACTGAACCCATGCGCATGTAGTTTAGCAATAAAGAGGTCATGTGAGAGGCAATCAAATGCTGTCTAGATGTCTGCTGTCTAGATAAATTTCATTAATAAACAGCAAATGACCCCCACCATGCTTATTTCTATTTTTCCTCTTGGGCTCAGAAAAGCCTGGTCTTTTTAACAAATTGGTTCTAAAGGAATTTTGTTTTAGAGATAAGCACGAGAACTAATTTCCCTGTGATCATATCCATAAGTGGATCTAATTTGTTTCTAATAGAATTTATATTTAAGTGCCCAAAAGTTACCTTTTTGGATTTTTTAGTTTTATGCTATGTAGTTACTCGTATGCACATTTTTCAATGCTGGCTTTGGTCTGTTGTCGTGCGTCGACTGCAGTGCTTTTAGCTACTGCGCTGTTGTGTATCTTTAAATCTGATCCGCATACACCCCGAATTGGATCGTTAAAAGGAATAATTTAGAGGCATTGTTAACTAGGTATCCCACCTGCATATGCGTAACTTCAATGTATGTAAAGCGCAAACACTCAGAAATTGGCAATGAATACGATGCCTGTTAAAACAATACCGAGTGTTGTCATCAATGATTTCCCTAGAAAACAGCCTAATTCAATAAGAATCCAGTCATGCCTATTTTCTTGTTTTTCTTTCTAGAAAGTTTTTGGCTACAAGGATGCTGAAGGAGGTATGAAGCTTCAAATTCTATTTTTCTACTTTGATATTCTAAAAATCTTTTATTTCAGGAGCAAGTTGCTTGATTATTATTGAATTAGAGAATAAATAAAAAAATAACATTCTCCATTAATTCGCTGAACAATGCATGTATCGTTACATCTTGTTTTCGTCTGCGCCTTCCTTGCTTTCGAGAAGATTGCTGCGTGGTATAATTTCATACCGTATAAATTAGAAGCTCTAAAAGACTGCAGCAGTGTTTTTCAGCAAAAGGTCGTTAATAGATGTTAATAGATATATAGATGTTATTCATAATAAATTTGTGCATTTCGTGATACAACATATTCTGGAAACAAAATCTTCCACCGATTTTATAATGGGTAATGGCTGGTAATGTGTTTGCTAGATCTCCGAAACAAATATTTCTTGCAAAAACCTCCGAAATAGTTTCTAAATGATTGGTCAAAAAATATTTGTTTCCAAATCCCGTGACAGAAGCGCCTTATTTTTAAAATATAATTAACAAGTCCGACATTCTATGTAAATTTACATAATGAATCTCAGGTTTTGAAGTTTCTTACAAGTCTGTCTGGGACTGTACACAAACCTCGTGTCTGCTACAAGAATAAATATGGAATCAGCTGTTTATGATGATTTGAGTACCTAGACGTTGGGGGTGTTTCTAACTTTTCCTAATTGCTTAATATAAGCAGTTTTCCGTTTCTCCTTCAAATTAACAAGATAAAGATTGAAGGGTACTAAATCTTCAAGTATGATTTTCCTGTATTCTCAAGATGCGCTTACTTAGAAGCAAACTTGTCTTTCAGGCATAACATTTCCCCTTGATTTATGTGTCTCTGGCAGTTTGCTACCTCTGTTTATGAGGCAAATGCTGGTTGTGGTATCCCTGAAAGATGCAGTAGGGTCAATGTGAAGGGTGTGCGTTTCTTTAAAATGAGAGCAGTTTTTATTTGCCAAAATCTAGACATCTGTTACTAATCGGTCTCGAAATCTTTTGAACATTGAAAATATTCTCTTTTTATTATAATTAGCTGTGAAAGTAAGAGCATCTTTTTGATTTTTGGAGATTTTTTTGTTTACGTCTTCCTCTATAGAATACACAGCATTATGATAGTATAGAATTTACTGCTTTGTAAAGCTCCTTTCTTGTGTGTCTTACGATTTGGAAGTTTCCTTTGTTAACTTCAAAAATTATTTCTGAGTGATATTATTTGCAAGCCAACGTACAGAAAAGGCTAAATTAAAAACCTACTGCTCAATGTCCAAAGTTTTAAAAACCTTTCAATAAGAAATGCATTACAGTGCAACAAAAATATCTTCCTGTTTCAACCATACCTATGTATGCATACCTATGTATGATTAGTTTTTACGCGCTGATGCTCTGCCTTTAGTGAAGCGAGCACTATAAAACAGACAGTTAGATATAATTATTATTCATTTTTCATTATTTCTAGATGCTGAAATTTGCAGTTTCTCTGTTTTTTATAAGTGGTAAGTTGAATTACCTTAGAAATTAACATTGTATTTTGTCGTTTATATATTAGCTGAGTTTTCTGAAAGCCTGTATATCGTTGATATAAGTTAGTTTAAGGACAATATTTTAAAAGAGAATCTCTTCAGAATACAATGGGTAATGTGATTATAATAGCTAGGGCAATTTCGTATCTATTTTGAGACTTTCATTAGACATGGCTCTGCATTTTGTTTCAACAATACTACTGCAATCAGAGAATCGAATTGAATAAAGATGTAGATGATGATTCAGCCGCCAGTAAAATAATGTATTTATTAATACTTGATTAAAACCAAAACTGGTCACTATTTATTCAATACAATCATGTTTATTGAAGCATTTTATGATATCACTACCATAAATTGTGTGAGATTGCTTAGCAGTTCTGATGGCGCCTAAACACCACACCCATTTATTACTGGGCGTTGCTACTAGATTTATACAAACCTATATACAGCTTCGGGAAAACCAAAAGCAAACAAAGAACAGTAGATCTACCTGTTTTTTAAACGAGACTCTGGTACCAAGTATAACCTATCAAGCATGACGCCTTATTGGCTGGCCACAAATACAATGACGTAATATGTTTGCTTGCCACCTGTAATATAACAAAAAGTGTCATTTCTCCACAGCATGGTTCTATTTAATTCAACAGTTCATCATATTGTCGATTAAGCAGTTGATCACGATCGCGTTGTCAATTGGCATTGTAATGTCAGCCTAACCTATTCTAATATCCTTTATGGGTGATATCAGAACCCGCGCCACAGGGGGGCAAGGGAAGCCATAGCTTCCCCATCTTTTGCGCTAAATAAAAGACTAAAAGATACCAGCCTTTAGATTATAATGAATGCATTGAATCAAAGCCCGACAGTAAAACAACATAAGCAAATTAATTGCCACAATTGGGGCTAAAGGGGGGAGAAAGAAATTTTCTTTTCATTGCTGGTCCTCCAGTTTCTGATCAGTGGCGCAGGCCCTGAATATGGGTATATCTGTAAAACTTATATCGTTGGTAATCAACATGAACTCACTGATATGTATATGTTGTATATGGCTTATTGTCATATTGGCTGAGCTGAGCTAACTGGACCAAGTCTTTCGGATAAGAGATCCACAAACAGGCGATTTCAAATGTTTTTTCGAAAGTTTCCATCTTCTACAGAAGTCAAATGAGACCTAGTTTCACTACTGAATCTTTTTGTTAATATCGTTTTGTTAATATCGTGTAATCTTTTGTCAGTAAATTAGATGTATTTTGTTTTTTTCGGGCATCAAATCCAAGATTTTTGCTAAAGTTATCTTCCGCTGAGCCATTACTCGTTACAATGAATACGTAGGCACATGCATTTACAAACGTCCGTAATGAAGCCTTGTTTCTAACTACTTTTTATTCAATTTTCCAAGTTTAGGCTTTTGTTAAAAAATCCTGTCAATATTTCCTTTCTTGAGGACATTGTTAGCCTCGTGTTCGGCCCCTATATGACGTGATGGGGGCTTGTTGCTCTATTCAATAAGGCCTTTTTGTCCATATGTATTGAAACACTCCTAGGGATATTATAAAGGTCCATCTGCAGCCTTGTATCACTCTTGATAGCTAAATGGCTGTAACATACTAATTTCAATAAAGCTCTTATTTTAATATTCTCTGTACTTTAGCCAATTGCTATGCAGATGTCATCTTCAACACAGACAACGCTGAATTGACTGAGAATGGCACAACTCTGCTGACTGGTGATCTCTTAAATAAGAAATTTACCTGCTCTAACAATATAACATGGACTTTCAAACTTGCCGCCTATAATCTGGAATCTGAGCATTATAACATATTTTCATATGGAAAGAAAGTGTTCTTGAAAGGTAGCAATCCCCTGGTCATCAGAACAAGAGGTGACATTGTCGTGAATACCACAGTTGATGTCAGCGGTGTGCCACTGAATGCATCAGGATTGCAAAATCACCTTGGTGGTTTCGCTCTAACAACAAAAAATTGTTGTTTTGTTGGTATGTAGTCAAAACCTTTTTTTATATACCCGAATGAAGTCTTGAGAAATTGATTTCTTTGTGTGCATATAGTGAGTGTATATATATATGATAGTATCCCTGTGATTTTTTTACATTTTCTGTCCTTAATTCTATAATCTCTTGTTAAGACTTTGTCAATTTTTCCCAGGAAATTTTCAGTTTTTAAAACACTTGAATGACAAGTAGTTGAACGTTTCAGCCTATTTCAATAGCATAACTTTAATGAACATATAGAATCCGAAATACCCATAAAATCTCCGTGCAAAAATGTGAATCGAAATCTCCAACAGTGAACTACAAAAATTTGAATCAAAATCACTCTTTCAAAGCCAAGCAGACACCGGAATATGACTGACACCTCTCGTCTTTCAGGGGCTGGACCAGGGGCTGGTTTTACGTACCATGGAGGAGGATACGGTGGTGCTGGCGGTGGGTCATGGATAGACCCCAATAATAACTATTTTTATGGGAGAAGCTATCAGTATACCGGAGAGATTATAGGCGGTAGCACAGGTGTGTATTTGTATATTATTACCCAGCATTGATGGTGAAAGTCATCCTAATAACTACTCTTTGTGACAAGGACAGGGCAAGTACAGTTACTTGAAATGGGTAATATGCAAGATGCTCTTCCATTAATTCACCAATTTACGTTTTACGGTATTAGGAATGCAATATATACTCGCTGTGTGAAATACAATTCCTGTCAAAATTACTTAATACACCAAACAGCTTCAGTAATGTTTCAATATTTTCAGTTTTTTTTCCCAAAAACTGCGTCTTATTCTATTTTATCTAAAACCCTTAAGCCCATTACTCTGTGCTTCAAGACCCCAAGTTTATAATCAATGCTAGTGGTGAGGTGGATTTGTAAAATTTGAGGCGCCATAAAACAGTCTTTTTGCTGTGTTGTTAAGAATTGCAAACGATTCATGCACGTCAAAAATTTCGAAGCTGTTTCAAATGATACTCCATATAATTCTGCAGTAAGCAGTTTAAGCCAGCGTTAGACAGTTGTTTGGCAAGGATGAATGCTGAACTCCATCCTTTTTGTGAGTTTTTTCAGTTGATTTAGATTGAGCCAATGGAATCTGTAGATTTAAATAGGCAGCAATTTGACGTAAATCTCTTGTGACCAAAGAAAAATAGTAAAGCCTCAACAAGTTGATTCCCGTACGATGGCTATGGTATGACGAGGCTCATTTTTCTCCGTGACTCGAAACAAGTAACGATCTCTTTAGGTAATGTTCCTTCTTCTACAGCAGGTGATTTGCAGCAGCTCTAAAAGAAATATCATTCCACAATCCTAGCTGTGTAAAGTATTTATCTTTGAAGAACATTTTGCTATCTTTGAATAATATTTCACGTGCACATGCTTATCACATAAATCTCATGTGTATTTCATTTACTGGCTATAAGACACAGATTAGATAAGCCATATCGAAGGAAGTTTAAATAAGAAATATTTTTTTTGTAGGTGCCATTGTTTATGATTCTGATCCTGGAACAGGGGGTGGAGCAATTGCCATTCAGGCAAATGGTAGCCTGGTTTTAGGTAAGAATCTGATCTATCACAAAATGTGTCCAAAGTGTCCGACGACCTTTTAGCATAAGGCTTTATCTAGCGAAGTACCCTGACAATTTTTTGCTCCCTTTTACCCCATCCATTGCTCTAACCCTGTCCTTTCGCGTCGGCTGAAAACGATTCAGAGGTACGAGGTAGAAGTATTTGATCAGTCACGAAGTCGTCCCAAGTATCCGACGACCTTTTTAGTATAAGGCTTTATGTAGCAACGTACCCTAACAAATTTTTGCTCCTTTTCACCCCATCCATTGCTCTACTCTGTCGTTTTGCATCGGCTGAAATTGATTTCAGAGGTACGAGGTAGAAATAACCGCAATATCATATCTCAATATACATTTGAGCAGTGTAACGATTCTTTAAATTTACTTCATTTGTTATGTGATTTATCCTAGTTGGTTGAGATATGGAATTTAGTACTGAAAATGAATTTATCTACCCCAAAACTCGAGAGAGACAATTTACAAACACCGTTTTTAGTGAAGAATAGACGGCAAAGACAGAGAGCTCAACGCTTTGAAAACACATATTATATTTAAGATATTTGTTACTGTAAAGCTTTTAAATTTTTTGAAAATCATACATCCGTATAAGATAACAAATAAAGGTTCTTGAATAACAGTAATATGGAATTAAGGGAAGCCTTCTTTTGAAAGCAAATATCATGGTCCTTTTTTAGTTGCAATTTTTGCAATTCATTTAACATTCTTATGTTATTTGCAATTTAGAAATGTGCATGCTATAATTTGTGCATGAATTAAGGGCGATCTACATGTTCCAATCAGCCATCTATCAGCTCACCAGCAGTTTTCAGGAGCCGCTTTATGTGTGAAACAACTTGCACTTAGTTGCTTCTAGCTAGCAATTCTTATTTCCTTGAGCTACCTAACTTTGCATTGGCCTTAAAGTGCTAGATAACCTTTGATTAATGAGACGACATCCTCCAACAAACAATGCTAAAATTTCACCGAATGGGTTTGCCCAGCCATTCTTAAAGAGTTGAACCCAAGAATAGTCTATATTATTTGCTTCTATTGTACTCTTTTTATCATATTTAAATAAATTTCAAAGAAATGTCTATAACAGTTTTTCTCGTCTCATTAATCAAGGTTTGATTTTAATTTTATTATAGGATCTCGAGGAAAGATTATTGCTAATGGATATAGTGTGACGAACACTAGTTACCCAGCATGCTCCGGTGGCAGTTCCGGCGGTAAAATTGTGCTAGCTGCCAATAAGGTAATTGCATTCTCGAAGATTTTTTTGGCTTTTGTGGGTCGAAACTTGATATTCTAGCTATGACCCGGAGGGTACGAATCCTAGTAGTACTAACTTTCATAATATTGATAAATAAACCATTAGAGCCACAGCTTGGTTATCGACTAAGTATATTTACTTGCCTTTCGGCTTGTATGTTTGGTTCCTAGGTTTTATGCTATATGCTTGCTCACTTGTTTGCTTGCTCACTTCTTTGCTCGCTCACTTCTTTTCTCGCTTCTTCGCTGAATTTGTCTTCGTGTTTTCATTTTTGCAAGTTTACATACCTGCTTGTTTACGTGCTCGCTTGATTGTCTGGTTGGTTGCTTGCTTGCTTGCTTGTCCGGTTGCTTGCTCAGCTGCATGCTAGCTTGATTGCTTGTTTGTCCTGCTGCTCGCTCACTTGCTTGCTTACTTCTTTGCTTGCTTCTTCGCAGAAATTGTCTTCATGTTTTTCATTTTTGCATGTTTGCATACCTGCTTGCTTTCTCGCTTGCACGTTTGCTTGCTTGCTTGCTTGTTTGTTCGTTTGCTTGCTTGCACGTTTGCTTGAATGCTTGTTTGTTCGTTTGCTTGGTTGCACGTTTGCTTGCTTGCTTGTTTGCCTGGTTGCTCGTTTAATTGCTTGCCTGGCTGCTTTATTATTTCTTTGCTTTTTATCTTTTTCTTTATATCTCATGTTTGATTATTTGTTTGCTTGCTTGCCAACATGTACACTTGGATGTTTGGCTGAGGGATAGCATGCCTACTTGTTTGTCTTTTCATGGTCTTGCTTGCCTGGTTACTTCGTTGCATGTTTTCCAGCTCACAAAAAAATCTCATTTTCAGGTCGTGTTAGAAGGAGAACTGTCAGCAGTTGGAGGTAACAGCGGAAAGACTTCAAATTACTCTGATTATTGCGGTGATGGAGGAGGTGGTGGCGTCATTCTTGTTAAGTCGTTTAGTTACCACACAGCAGGGTCATTTGTTATCAAAGTAGAAGGCGGCAAGGGTTTGGTAAATGGTACCAATGGAATCAAGAAATTTTCCAGTAAGTCCGTGAAAAATAAGTTATGATTGCATTTTTCTCTATTTCAGAATTATTCTTGCAGTGTTCTCGAACAGTTTACCAACCAAACACCCCCTCTCACAACGAGGCTTAGTTTTCCCAATCATAAACCTCATAACAATTTGCTGTTTATTGCAAACCTGAACTTTAATCTTTATCTAATTACGATAAAATTTCCTATTATAAAGTCAATCGATTACCATGTGCTCATAACAACATTTAAGATGATGTTGGATGATGCATAAACTTTTAACATAAATTTTTTACATACAATTCAAATACCAAAATATTTTCTATAAGTTGTGAGAAACTGCAACAGCTCTGTAATTCACAAGTAGCAGTTTCTTTAAAATGCATTCAAATATGTAAGTTTTTATCAAGTTATATAAAGCAGTATAAATTTAGGTCATAATACGACATTTTATACTTTGCAGAGTATTAACTGTGTACTTCAGGAAATTCAGCAGTATGATATTTGATAAAAATACTATTGTAATATTAATGACTATTCTGTAAAGGTCTACCAAATTGATTTCTGTTAGCAGTTTTTTAAGCCTTATCAATGACACTTGCTGTTTTTCAACTATTGTGCTTAGGGTTCTGGACAAGCTTGAGAATTCTTTCATTGCTTAGATATTTCGATCTTTTATCTTTGAAGGCCAAAACTTGTTCATCCAAATAAATTTCGTTTTCTAGAAGAATTTTCTGAGAAATTTACCAATTTTCTAAAAATTCCTTATATTTTTTTTAGAAACAGCTCTTTCTCTTTTCCCTAATCGCAGGCCTTTTTGGTCAGCAGCTCACTGCCTTCGTATTTGTTTGTAGTATATTTTCATCCTCGAATTTTCTTGATTATAGCCAAACATATTCAAACAACTGTGATAAACACAACATCTTGTGTAATGACAATCAATGGAAATCTAGCAGACAACTTTTCAAAACATGGTAATCTGTCAAGCGTGAACAACGATATAGGATGCACGCAATGGAGTTGGAAAATTTGCACGTTTACATTTGAACATGACTTTGAGTTTTCAAAGGGAAGCAATGTAACAATCACTGGAAGTCATGCTCTCAAAATCGTTTCTCTCAATGGACATTTATCTGTTTCAACGAATTTGGATCTAAGTGCTCGTGGGAAAATGGGAACGGCGAAAATGCAATCCACATTTTTGGGAGGCTATCATAATCATGGCAGTGAGCGTAATACAGGTAAGCTCCATCTTTCTTAGTTGATTTTTTTAAGGAAGTTCCCCAGAGGCCTATATTAAACTTTCAAAAAGGCCACGAGGAAAGAGCTAAGAAGAGGGGGAAGTGAGATCAAGTCTTTTGAGTTTATTTCTGGAGGAAAACAGGTTATAAGAATCCGTGAAGCATGAAGAAGGTAGTGTGAAATGAGAGATAAATCGTGGGACTTAGCTCATATATATGGCATGGATAAATGGAAAGTGTGAACACAGGACAAATATATGTTGTTTTTGAGGAATATGAAGTGTAAAAGGATATGATTTATATAAATTTCATGGGAGAGTCTGCATATGGGAGTATCTCATGTCGGTGGAAGTATGCTCAGGCAGATCTCCTCTTAGAGTCGAAAAATTCTTAGAGCATTTAGATAACTGATTCGAAACAAAGATAAATCTCAAAACAATACAGTCTAGTATCTTCCAAAGTCTAAGAATCGTGTAAATAATTTTGTTTTATAACGGGCGTATTAAATTGTAAAGCATAGAGACTATAAATATTCTTGTACATATCTGCTACTCAATATGATTAAGGCAAAATTATGGTTATGATTGTATTATATGATTATAGCATTGTATCTCTTCTGATGTATGAAATTGTGTACAAAGTTTCTTAATTTTGCTAAGCCAGTACTCAGGGATTCATAACTGCTCGGCAGTTTTAAGTACCCAGTTTATTTTAATTTTTTCCTGTATTCAAAGGACCCGGAAGTGACGTCAACGGTGCGGGACATGGTGACGTCAACAATACACTATCACGATCGTATGGCATTGATCCAACTCTTTTAATTGGTGGCAGCTCATGTCGAAATTGTAAGATTTACATTTCAATCTTCTTAGTCACAAGTAAGACAAGTTTAGACAGGTTTTTCTGCTTCAGGTTTTTCTACTTCAGGTTTTTCTACTTCAATGCCTTCATTTTTAATGAAGATTTCTGTTCATTGAAGAAATGTAATGAAGAAGTCGGACATAAAGTGCTCGATGCCGTATATGCACAACTTTATATTCTTGTTGCGTAATAATTGGATTAAAAATGAAACTCGGAGTCTTAGTACCATCATGTTCTATATACCAAAGCGTACCTTCAACATATTTATATATTTCTTACCATGCTTTTTTATTTTGTTTTCTATTTTTACGATGTTTTAATTTTGATATAACGTTTTGATTATGCTGTCATTGTAGCATAGCATCCAGTGTAATTACCCTCTACTCCAAATCTATGAGCTCAGCTTTGTAATTACGTTTGCGTAGAGAATGCCCTGAAATGTATTTCTGAAGGTGCATGATTATCTTTAGCGAATTAGCATGGCTTATCTTGCAATCTCGCCTTTCGTTCTAGCGAGTCTATCAGCAGCATACGGTGGTGGAGCAATCGCATTAGAAGCAAAGAAAGGCAAAATTTTAATAAGTAAGCAATATTTTTAAGCTTAGCTGTTGCAAACATTTTTCTCAAACTGAATGTATAATCATGCTTGTAAATTTGTCCAGAATCGTGAAGCAAGTTATCTTTATTGAAATTCTAAAATATAAGAGATAGATTTTTGTTTTTATTTTTCCTAAGTTTTCATAAGGGCCGTCAGTGGATTTTTTATGGGTTCGTTGAAATCTATCTGTCTGGGTTTTCACTATGCGAAAGTCTAAAAGATAATTTATTTGTAGCTAATCAATTTTTAATCCTCAAAGCACAGATGTTTCTATTGTACCGTTTTGTATAGATATAGTCTGATACATATATCTAATAGTCCAATTTTCCACTACTTTCTTCTTCCATCTCTTATCTTCTCACTTTTTATGTGGGGCGTGGGTCTCGGGCTTGTGTTCTTGTTTTTTGGACCTTGGCTGTTCCTATTGGAGACAATTTTCAATTCTTTTGGGAAAGACTATTCTTAATTTTGAATGATGACAATGCAAGCAAACTATAAACATGTTTCGGAATATTAAAACGGTTTTATTATTTTCCATCAAGCCTCCAATCCATTCTGCAAAGTGACTTATATTCTGAGAAAAGGGCTGTTATACTTTGACGTTTCCTTTGAAAATGTGCTCATTTGAGTCTTCCAAATCATTGACCCTTCCATACACATCAGTTTATATATCCAATATAAATGCGTATCATTTGTACTCAATAAAAATTTCTACAACCTTCGCAATTTGATGCAAGCGTTCTGTTTCGTAGACGGAAACATATCTGCAGATGCCTATTCTGAAAACCCCGGAGCCAGCTGCGGTGCAAGTGGAGGGACTGTCATCCTTGATGCAAATGAGGTGAGTCACTAAAAGCTATGTCCATGCTTAAAGGCTCCTGCGCAACCGGCTTGCTTTGCGACTATAATTCCAAAACCGGCCTAATATCGTACTGCATGAAAATGATAAAAACAGTCAATTTCTTCTTGCGTAAAAAGACAGCTACTGCTAAGCATGCCGGTTGCGCAAGATCTTTTGATTTCAGCCTTAAAGTTTTACAAAACCATAAATCTGTTTCACTGCCTGCAATTTATAGAAATTGAAAAATACTTATCAGAAAATTAAATCAAGATTAAACACGGACTGGTTACTTAAAACCATGTTAACCCGTCAAAAAGGTCGGAACAAGGCAACATTGACTTTGTGAAACTGTCGAGAAACATTTCACGTAGGGATTCCGGGTGCTATGTATTAAAAGTTTCTTAGAGATCAACCAATAAGCAAAGCTGGTTTTTAAAAGCGAGTTATATCGTTTTTTCTTCTTTTTCATCTTACTTTTTTTTCTTCCTGATAGAAATTACTCTTTTATCTATGTTAAGTCGTGCATGTGAAACCGTATCATTTCTCTTGCCTTGTTTTGTCTGTTACCAGTAAGCTGGAAATTATAGAATAGGAAAATTTTGCGTCATTTCTCTTCTTAAAACCGAACCTTTAGTTGATTTTGAGTCAAGAATATGTTATCGATTACTTTCATATTTTTTGAATTTTCTTGTGTTTCGATTAGCTTTGATGAAAATTGCATCTTTTTTCTATCAATTTGCTGCAAAATATAACTAAGATTTTTTGCAACAAACGGAACCTTCAGTCGATTTTGATTTTGAGTAAAAAATATGTTTTCGATTACTGTAAAATCTCTTGAATTTTCTTGTGTTTCGATTAGCTTTGATGAAAACAACATCTTTTTTCTATCAATTTGCTGCAAAATATCAATAAGATATCAAATTAAATCATAAGAAGGTAAGCGTATTCACGATCCTGTTTTTCAATTTGAATTGAGACCTGAAAGCTCTACCGGCTGGGCTTATGAATAATGAATTCTAACGTTAGGAATTACTGCTGATGATCTGTTATGACATTTGAGTCACCAGATAACACTTCTACAATGCTAATACTAAAATGAAAATACGAACATCAGATCCCAGGGAATCACTTAATCTTCTTATACATGGGAAGGTCCACCTGCCGTTAACAAATTTCATCCAAAAGTATCAAAAACAAATTTAACAGACTCAAAATTTTCAGCTAAAAAGTGTGGAAAAGACCCAGAAATATCAAAATACAAAATCTTGTTTTTGAGCACATAAAAGACGACTGGTTATGGTAGTTTGGACTGTTTCCTATAATAATCAATTTAAACACGCCTGTTCATTCTTTCCTGTTCTTGACATTTTTATGTGTTACTTGAACCCATAGGTATCAAAAGGGTTTATTGTTAAATCAGGTATCCAAAAGGATCAGATCACAAGGAAACTTCTTATCCATAATTATCGGATGGAACTCCCTGTATTTAAAAAATTCAAGTGACCGCCCTGGTCTCCATATAAGGTCTTGCTTTCGGAAATGAAAAAAGTTCCACTAAATGAAAGTCTTTCTGACCACCATGTGGACAGTTTATTGCCCGGATAACTTATTTGGACAGCTGGTTAGTTGATCAATCCATCACAATACGTGTCACCGTTTCCTATGCAGAATTGCCATTGCGAGTCATTTCTACTGTTGTTGTGAAGCTTTACCCACTTCTAAGAATTACGTCATTGCACTATTCTCTCATTGAGTGCTTTTCAGTCAATGCAAAGCCTTACTTTATTCATTTTACCGAGCTTCACAACTCATGATCTCATAAAATTTTTCTTCAAAATTATTTAAGTAAAATGCACAGCCACAGGGGAGTATTAAATGAAAACTACGAATTAGGCACAGAATAGATGCCGCTCTATTCCTTTGACATGTTCAAAAATGTACCGAACCCTAATCGTGCCGAGTCGCAAAGGTATGCCTCAAGATGACCTGCGCTTTTAAGAAGTGCAGAGTCTTTAATTTGCCGTTTTTTATCTCTTTCTAAGAAGACTGAGTCACTGCCCGAAAGAGATGCCGTAAGCAGGGTAGCGGAGAGGATTTATGGGCCCCGGGTCAGATCGGGCCGGGTCAGGACGAAAGATTAATAGCAAGGCAAGCCCAAGGTGGACTCTTCTCGCGTTTACGGGGAATGCTCCTCCAACAGAGTTTGAAGACAGTTCTTGTGAAAATTGTTATCATGGCAAAATTACGCTGGTGGCTTTTACTTCTGTTGGCTATTTAAATATAATTTACATAGATGTGATATATTGATGCCATAATGCATAAAAATGAAAACATCTTAACCATAAGATAAGGAATTCTTCATGACTACACGAAATGCCGGAACATGGCATACTAAAGCAATTCAAGTTTTTCGGTACCAAAACTTTTTTGGCAATTCTTTATATTTTGATTTTATTTCATTTAATAAATTCAAGCAAATAAGATCCACCGTTGCAAACAGATGTAGGTTCCCCAGTTTTTTTGTATGACGTTAAGTCACCTTCACCTTCTGTTCTTAAAAGCAATAGGTAGAGTGCAAAAAGCTTGATATCCCTCCAGAGTCAAAAACAGACATTGCTAGCTTTTCAAATTACTTAAAATCGTTCAAAGCAATAATATTGATTGCAAAAGGGTTTAAATTTTTGAAGCAAGTTGACACTAGAATAAAATTATTGCAGCTAAGACAAACCACAATCAATCCTGAGTAGCAAAACCTTGCAAACCATTTAGATGAAATACAACTGTCCCAAAAATATCGAAGACCATAAAAAAATAATAAAATTGATCTCTATCTGTGAGTGTAACCCAAAAATAGGCACATGGTGGTTTCTAGTTTTGTTCAAAGAATTTTTCCTAGAAAGCTACAAAATTACCTAAAGCTACAGGCTCTGTTTCAGCGAGATAACATAATATGATTATTGCTGTTATTCCTTTACTTCATTCATTTATAGACCGATAATTATTACTATTAATGACAGGTTGTGATAATGGAATCCCAGGTTCAGTGACCCCTCTGCCTCCCTCTCCTCAGCACTGGTCGTAAGTCGCCTTTAGCTCTCCTGTTTTTTGTTATTAGGGACATCTGCCAACGTCACATCTGTATGTAAACCCAGCTTCTTATTATGTTGAGTATCTCAGATCTAGAAGTTTTCAGAAGTTTCTTATCTAAAGAGTTATACACTTTTTTGAAATATAAGAACGTAACATAAGATAGTAAAAAAGACCTACCGTAAATTCTCTTTTTAGCCCCCCGGGGGCTTATTGTTTCTTAGCACTTTAAAGGGGGGCTTATAAGAGAGGGGGGCTAAATTGAGCGAGGGGGCTTAATGAATATTTTGTAATAAAACCGTTTATAGTGGTAAACTAATTTTTTGTAATTTGCAAAAAGAAAAACATCAAATCAGCCTTCTATCAATAATATTGTCATCGTCATCGTCATTAATTATTAATTCTAAAATATCTTCTTGGGCCATGTCGCCTTCTGAATTCGAGCATTCGAAAAGGTCGACTTCATCCCTCGGAGTACCAACAGCCTGTAATTTTGGTAAAAGGCTCTCACATGGCCCGTGCTTAATGCACATCGTGCACATTAAATCTTTGTCTTTGGATCTGTCATGACTGGAAGAGACATGGTGTGAATTTTGATTTGATGCGAAGTATTGAACGACCAATGAATAAAATGAAAATCTCTGTTTTTGTCAAGTTTACTTATTTCAGCATCAGTGAAAAATTGGGGGGAGGGGCTAAATTAAGAGAGGGCTAATTAAATTTTTCCTTCTGAAAAGGGGGCGCTAATAAGAGAGGGGGCTTAATTGAGAGGGGAGCTAAAAAAGAATTTACGGTAATTAATCGAAAGGTGCTCTACATTCTATGTCAATAAACAGGAAATAGGTGGCTAGTTTTCGAAGGAATCAACTCCACCCGGTCTTTAGCATAAGGCTATTCGAGCAGTTTCCTAAGATGGATGGTCATCATCTATGGTTTCTTGATTTTTTTTGTTATCTTAGGGATCGGTTTCTAATAGATGGTTTTTTTATTAAAAAATTGAGTGTACTTTGAGGTTTGTTTTGTTAACCGGAATGAATGGTGAATAGAGTCTATAACCTGCTGCCAAAGCATAAAGATGGATTCCTTCCTAATCGGATGGACCTCGGGGCCTATTTCATGGATCTTTAACGACGGCAGTAGTTGTCAATAACTGTCATGTTCATCAAAATATTCATGAGAGTTTTGCCTGTTTGTTTATCATGGTTGTTTGGATCGTAATATTAGTTAGAGCAAGTAAAAAGCCATCATAAAATATCGTTGTTGTATTGCTACGTAGGACACCTTTACGCCTCATAAGCTCGAAAGCAATAATATACATTATTTTCTAGCGAATTGATCAAACTTGCACGCTCTAAAAGGAGTACATATTCATAAATCCGCTAGAACTCTCTAATTTACAAGCAGCCAAAGCTCAAACATCATTAACATCAGCAACATAATCAGTATCATGTTATCATTGTCATCAACACCTCTGTCCAATTCTATACTTGACTGCCTCTTCAAATTCTTTATTCACCAATCCAATATCTTTCTTTGAAGCTAGACATACTTTGATGAAAAAGTGTCTTTCGGTGCATCCCGACACACATTTAGCTTTCAAAGAAGATGTCTTTTTTCACGGGAATGAGTCCTGTCCGAAATTTTGTGTCTGAAAAAACCTTTTGTTAAACTGTTTTTAAGTTTCTCCGTAAAGATTCTTCAATATATTCAAAACAATTCCATGTATTTAGAACCACAGGTCTTCAAAGACTAAGCGGAAAATGAGTGACCGACTTGGCCAAGAAAACTGTTCTTCGCTCGCAGTTAAAATCTCCTGCGACGCAAAAACCTATTTTTCATGATATTCCAAACTATTTGCACTGGATATTCTCATCACCGGCTTTTTAGATGCCTTGATAAGAAAATTAAAAAAGACTTTGTGAATATTTCTGATTGTTTGAGCGTAGATTATTGTCGTAAAATTAATAAATGTCTTTGGGAAATGGACAAACTGTTTGCTGGCGATGAGGTGTGAATAGAGTGGAACTAATTAGAACTTTCGATGTACCTGTTCTACATACAGAGCTTTTTGCGCAATCGTTTCTCAAGGATAGCTCATTGAAGGCCACCCTCTTGGAATTCACAGCAGATAATGACAACTCCCGATGAATCAGTTTGAAATTTTTCTGCTGAAATTCTCTTTATTGTTATTGATTATTGCAGTCGTCAATGTGATTTGTCATTATGATTTTGATCAAATGATAGCCTGACAAGAATTGACCAGGCTTAGAAAAACAAAGGTACTAGATTAAGGTTCTAGACTCTAGTCTTTCTATACGATACCAAGTAGCGTTTATTAATGTCTTCTCTTCATCTTCGAATACCCTAACTTTCTCTCGTGCCATCTTTTTTATCATCCACAACAGAGCTTCGTTTCGTTTAAGTACTTCCCAAAAACAGCCTATCAACAATGCCATCATGTCATTGCCACCCGTTTTCCTTGCCTTATCAAGATCATTTTAATCGTCACCACTTTCTTTTCGACGCATTAATTCCTTTTTTTCAACATTACTTTTTGTAAAGAGGCATGGACTAGTCCAGAATTCTTTGATGTTGTATTCTAGCTATGGCTTCTTTACTCTACGGCTGTCATTCTCTAACCATGTTAAAATAAGCTGCTCAAACAAACAGAAGCTTGTAATTGTAATGTAACTGAATTTAGAACAAAAGCTTTTCTTTGTCATTCTCATTTTTTGTTTAAAACAATGAAATTTATACACATGTTGATTCTCTCAGCAATGAACCGATTAAAAATTTTTATGATACCTTATCAATCTTTAGTTTGCTTTTAAGAAATTTAAATTGCTATTCAAAAACTGACAGTTAACAACCAGTGCTTCCTTTTCTATGTGCGTGTATGACAGTGCTGTATAGGTAAGCTAAAATGTATTCAGAGATTGAATGCAGAATCCAGTTGACCCCCGTTAAAGGAGCGCTTGAGAATGCTGCGAAGGCGTATGTGTATACCTTTGCGAACACGCACTAGAAACCATTCATTAAGGTGGAGATTAGCCTCTTCAATGTAATGATTTTTACGGTTTATTCAGGAAGACGATGATATGAAGTGCAAACAGCCGTAAAGAGCAAACATGCTATGCTTCGCCGCTATGTAAACATCAATTGGCTTATCTGATAGCTCAACAGAGCAATATCGATGGTCTTCGTCTTATTTTGAGCGCAAAGAGAAATCTCCGCAATAATCTACACCAAGATCTCGCTTTTATGTTCAACGTCAACCACGTTTTAGAAAATGTCCATTCTGGCGTGAGTTAGCAAAGGATGGTACACAATATTATCAAACTTAGTACTTACATAACAGCAGCTGAGCCCCACTCATTAAAAACAGTTTTTTTATCAAATTTGAAGTTTCATGATGAAGTTTTTCTTGCAATGCCTGATTTTGCAGATAGTGATCAAGGGATACGTAACCGCAGACGGTAGCGACGGCAAGCATAGCGGCGGCGATGGAGGCGTAATCTCTACAACCTCGGCATACCCAAAAGCATTGGCAAGGCCCGGGAAATGCATCGAAAATAATGGTGTTCCTGGCAGACCTGGCACTGTAAAAGGTGGGAATTTTTTTTTGATTTTGTTGGATAAGGTAGTAAGTTTTTTGCTCATTTTTTTTAATCTCGGCATCAGAACTTCCTAATTTTGTGTGGAATATGTCTGTTGATTAATTTTTGTGTTGAAAAACGATCAGTGAAGGTAAGTTATTTCTGACAACAATCTTCTAACAGCAAAAACTAGTTTAAAGGGCTGCTTGAAACCTGCTTAAAACGCTTAAAACCTTTGAGAAAAATTCAATTTTAGATAATTTTTCTCATAATTTTCCAGCTAATTATGTTTGCTCATGTTTGTAAAAAGACAACTAGGATTTCACAGATGATTTACGGGGGTCTCCGATAGTTTGATGACAAAATATTTGCACTCAAAACGTTCTGCTTGAATAAATGATTCTACGTAAAAGGAAACGCGAAAGCCATAACACACGTCACGTTAATTGAGAATCCTCTCAGCTAGAACGTTGGTTTCCAGAGAATGGTAAATTATAATAAGATTTAACGTTTTATATCGACCAAAATATTCATAATACTTATGGGACAAACAGCTGATTTTCTCAACTATCTCGAAGCTTTGTTTCTTATTGATGTTATTAAAAAAGGTCTTCCCCATTTTTCAAAATATGCGCGTGTAACTCCCAGCGATATAGCATACGAGATATCGTTTGTTCACTTTCAGTCGAAAAAAGATGAAGGAGCTGTCTCTCCCTGGGGGATTGGAAGGGGAGAGGGGGCAAAAGATGCAACAAGGCTCTTTTTGCGTTATAAAATTCGTGGCGTAACGGAACAGTGTGGGACCCTTATTGAAAGTAGTGTTTTGGGGCCCCTATACTTAACTAAATTTGCGTCAAGTTTTATAGCCTGAGTGCTCACTCTATGGGGTTTTCCTGTAAAACCCAAAGAAATAACATTCAACAACATATAAAGGGAAATTCTGCTGCCTGAGATATTTTCTATGATCTTCATCTAAGCTTTTCCTGGATTTTATGCAGCGTATACAGATGCAGCTCGTACATGCATTTGAAAACATGTCCAGAAAGATCAATATTTTCAAACTGCTTCATTGAGGAAGTCAATTAGATTATTGATATTTGTTATATTCTCGTAAATCAAATACAAAATTTTATAACGATATGGAAGAGGGAAATCTAATTGACATGCTATATCTTGCATTATTTTTTAGCTGCTCACAAACCATATTCAATCTTTTGCCAAATTCGATGATGCTGTGAATACTATTAAGAAGCATATGTTTGCATCAAAAAACCCATCTGAAAAGGGTGTGACCAAAGTTTTTTTGAGGCCATGCCCTCCAGAACGCCAGAAAACGCCCCTTTTAGAAAATACTTTTTTTCATTTCTTCTCAATTTTTATAAACACTCTGGTTCAGAGAAGTTATCAATAACTATAAAAATAGATAAAATTAGCTTGAGAGTAACAAAATACCAAGCTAACGAAGCTAGAAATGAACAACAAAAAAACCCAGTCAAGAAGAACTGCTACTACATAGGAGTAGACTATGCAAAGATGCGTTAGAGTAAACCTTCCAAAAAATTTGAAGCCTATTATTGCAAAAAGGTGAGGGGGGGGCTATAGCCCCTGCTAGCCCAATGGCTGCGCGGTGCCTGCTTGTTTATGATCGTTTTTCGAGAGTTACTACTGTATGCTCTGCCTTGAAAAGCATACTAACTAACCGGCAATTGTCCACCCAGCCACAATTATCTTCCTTACAATAGACAATAGACTAAAGACAATATTTGATTGTCCTACATTTTATATGAACAATAGCTTGACCTGCGGTTGAAATCTTCTGGCGAAAAGTCTGGAAAAATGTTTTTGAAAAAATCTATCGATCCGAAAAGTAATTGTTACGGAAGATAGCTTTTTCTCTCAAACGAAGATTAGATAACGAAAACTACGTCAGTTTCTTATAGTCGGGCGTCTTTGCTGTCATAGAACTATTCGGACCCTCTAGTTCAAGTAATAGTGGCATATATCGTTGATCTGATAACCCTTTAGATCTCAAATCTTTTTATCTAAAAGCAGTAACGATATTTAAAGTTATTTCGTTTGTTCAGATTCTATTGAAAAACCATCAACAAGACACCCAGTGTCGCTTTCTGCTCTCTTGCACTACAAAGCGAGGTGTTTCGGAGATCTTTCAATACGTTTGAACATCCGTTTTTAGGTTTGGCTTTTACTTACCCACTTGTGTAAATTCAATATGAAATTTATTTTCCTTTAGAGGAAACTTAAAACATAAACGTCGTTAAGTATATTGATCCCTATAAACACACTTTGGTATATTTTGCATATTGAAAATTGAAAAGCTGCTAAACTGGTCGCATTTCTTGTTATAAACGCCACAGGCGTTACAGTAGCTACTATGCATATGTAGGTAATCAAAAAACATTATCATCAGTGGCGTAGCGTCCGGGTATTCAAGGTATTCAGTGAATACCCTGAGATTTCTCAGAAAAAATATTAATACGACGTATAATTGTAATAAGTAAAAAATGTTTTGGGGCTATTGATTCTGGTTGAATTCGTTACCTTCAATATTCTACATTTTGTACAAGTACAAAATATCACGAAATTCATGGAAACAATAACGCTGCGAAGCATAGAGAAGCTGGGAGATCTTTGAAGCTAATTTTGAAGATTGAGCTACTTCATGTTGTATGGAGATTGGTCATGAATACGCAGTGAATACCCTAGACGGTACTTTAACCAATCAAAATGCTCCTTTCAATGAATAATATTTGCCGTTAATCAGCTAAAACAATGGTTCTGTACGCTGAGAAATATGCAGCGTACAGCCTCAAGTTGGTTCAAAATAGTCTCGTTATGAGATCGATATAAACAGTTAATGGACGTCGGAGCGGTTGGAGTGATGGAGCTGCATCGAAAACAGTAAACATGACTTAATTAAAAAACTATTGCAATGTCTGTATTACTGTTTCATAATCATTCTCTCATTTGACCCCTAATCTTAATCTACCAACAGCAAAGTGGAAAGGTAAGGTAGGCTGCTACATAATACTACACTGATTCAGATCTGTTCCCTCTTGAAATGCCAATTTGTTATTGCTTGCCAATCAGGGATGTTTCTGTTTGTATTATGTGATAGAATTAAAGTAAATGCAGATAGGCCTGGATAATATCCTTATAGTTGCCTGGTGTATTCAGTTATCTTGTTGGCCTATTTTGTTTGCATTATTCGAGCGCATTTATTTGCATTATTGTGCAGTCTCATCTCATTACCTTCGATTCTTTCAAATATTAACTTGTATTGAAAATATCACGATTAGACCATGAAGAAAAAGTCTATACTGCATACCACAAAATCATTTATAACTCATGTAATGCCCTATGTGAATAATTTTGAAACTTTCGAAAGCCCTTTTGTATTAAAAGGTATTAAGAGTAGGTGTTTACAGTTACTTCCTCTTTACATCAGTGCAAATGTTAGACGATTTAACAACAACTATTGGGACATATTTCGACCAGTAAAATTTTTCTGGCTTTCAATGATATGTTTTGATTTGAATTACTTTTGATGAAATGGTTAATAGTAATATGATGAAATGAATGAGTTCGAAGAGTATATTTGAAGGGTCCTTTAGCAAAGTATCGTTTTTATCATAGCAATGCCCTGACAGTGCAGTACTTGCCAACCGAACCAAAAAGAAAATTAGATAAAATGTCAATAGCTAGTCCTCTTAATCTTCCTATTATCCCCCTATTTTCATCAAGCCGCATCGAGCCACACCCTGCCCCACCCTTTTGATTAATAGAGAATACCCAGTTGAAAAAGTCACGCTACGCCACTGATTATCATTTAACAACTTTGATGGCAAAGGGTAACACCTCACGTTCAGAACGTCTAATGTTCTTACCATTGGTGACATAAAACAAATAATTAATCCCCTCGTAACCTTATTATTTTGTGAAGATGGAATACGTAATGGAAAATGGAATGCCCTCGTAACCTGATTATTTTGTGAAGATGGAATACCTTTAAGAGGCAGCATTATCAATCCTTTTGCAAAGATGCAATTATTTTGTCTAGCTCCCCATTTGAAATGCATCGTTTTAATGCATCTTTGTTTCCTTATTTATTTTGTATACAAATGCCACCTTCCGATTTTCACACATGTGTTTGTTAATTGGATGGTTCAGAATGATAGCACAAAGCAAAAAAACATAATTGATAAGGTTTAAGTTAAACTGCAGATAATATATAATGCAGCAGTGTCAGGTTCTGGCGAATCGTGTCCTTTCTCCCAAGATTTTCGTAAGTCATGGTTGATTCCACGTAAATGTGGCGATAGCTCCGAATTCTGTTGGTAGGTTGCCTGTTTTATTGGTTGCCTGTGAAAACAGTAATGCTTGCATTCCTTGCTTCTCAAGTCAAAATCTGACCTGTTTTTCCAACATCTGACATGCAAAATCAACATTTGTGCACGACTTTAAACGAGATTCTGGTGTCTTTAGCATTCTATTTGTAAATAATAGAGGTGGAGATGAGGAAACTGGGCTGTCTATGATCGAGGATCCAGTCTTTCTTTTGGAATGATTAATGTATATTTGATCTTGTTTTCAATAACAACCTTTCATTTTGATTTTATAGACGTAACATCCTGCCATTAGTTATTATGTTCTTCCTCCTAGCATAATGTATTCAATTAAATCAAGGCTTCAGGAGAGGTTAAAAATTAGAAAATTCCTCAAGCCGGAGGTATTAATGGAGGTATTGAATTGTATTTTTGTATACCAGCATAATTTGTATTACTGCCAGCCAGGTAAGCCTTCAATGCGAAATCGGTTTTCGATGTGCGTCCCACAAAAAGATGGACATTTCCACCTCAAGACTTCACTGCCAAATGGCAGAGTGTATTTTTACATAGTTCTTCAGATATACATATCCTTTTTTCACTGTTTTCTTGCGCCATTAAGACAATTTTTCTATATTTTCAGGCCTTCTAGCAACCTCACATTAGCTTTCTTCGAAGTATATCGAAAGCCTATTTGCAATATCTCTGACTGTTACATTTTAATATTCGTTCAGCAGATTCTCTAAATTAGCCAAAAATTCCTGTCTTTTAGAAAGGGTAGAACACATTCTCTTTCCACACTCTGTAACCCTCAAAGAGCTGCCAGGTCTTGATACGCAGGATTTAAGTGTCTCCTTATGTGGGAAGACAGGATTTCATATAGGATTTGATTTGTACAGTTGCCTGATGATCGGATTAAGCGTGGCACTCCGAGTAGCAATTAAGAAAGGTGTTGTTCTTTACACCAAAAGCCTAGGACTTGATTTGATTTACTTTGAAACCGGTAATCGAGTAAACTTTTCTGATGATTCTGAAGAATTCAATTATGTTGTCAAGCTGAAGAAATTTTTTGTAATCAAAGTTAGCTGATAGAGGTAAAAACGGATTTTCTATTCTACCAAATGTTACTAAATGGATTTTTTGGAACAGCCGTTAAGAGGTCTTATTTCAAAATTTACATGGAAGATTTCATACTAGGAATCATTTCTTTAGTCTTTTGAAGATCCCATAATTGATCAGATTTCTGAGAAAGATGTCAATGCTTTATACGTCACTTTTTCATCCAATATGTTATGTACGTTGCATTACAAATCATTTCTCTTGAATTAATTTTTTTGGTGCAATTTTAGTTTCTAGCGGGAATCTATTGTTAAAAAAGCGAAGAGATCCCATCATCAATAGATGCATCAAACAATTACAGTTTTTCAGCTGCAGTTTTTTATGATTGTGAAACTGCTTAAAAATGCTTTACTTAAAGCTTCGGACCGACGATTAAAGAGTTAATGGATAATTCTTATCAGAAATGCATTTTAGTTTGCTTAGGTTGGGTCACCTGACCTGATTCTTCAAAACTCAGAAACTACAATCGAGAATTCGAACTCTGGGCTCAAGAACTTTGGCAATCAGATATGCCGTTTTGAAACATAACAGAGTGTCAAATGAACACGTGTGAAATCCATCTTATGCACGATTGCTTAGCAACTAATTTGAAGATGCAAGGATTCAAGTCAAATTGTAAACACGAAATTAGGAGGTAGCACCTATAGAATTCTCAAGTGTTGACGACCCAAAATTCGTTTATAGAATTTTTGAATTTGAATCCGAAAACCTGAAAGATGATAATTAAAGAGCTCTTACTGTGCAAAAGCAGTCCGATGTCTTGCGAATTGCCTGCGATATTAGCTCATGCGCTTTCCCCATCATATCACTGTAATTTGGTCTCGGTTTTAAGCCAGTATAGCAGTGTACGAAAATTTTTATAAAATCAAAATCTTTCATTGGCCATATCTCGCCAGTTTACATATTGAACTGATTTAATATTTAGGGTATTTTAAGGTATTATTTCAGGATATGTTTTTTAATGTAAAAACTGTTTATAGATATGTTTTTTAAGGGCATCAAGTCTAAGAACTCTAAATGATTTGTTGCTGAGCTCAGGTTTGAGCAGCTACCGTATTTTGTGATCAACGGGAAAGTCGTTCATGTTTGTGTGGATGGAGGAAGGTTTATAGGCGGAATTTGCCTATAGAACTTTTTTTGATGACAGTATAAGCGGGGAAGCCATGGGTGGAAGAGAACACTCCTCCATACCCTTATCTCCTACTGTTTAAAAAAATTGATTGGTTTTCAATCAAATGCTTCCTTTTCTTCAAAAAGTCCACAGGCGCACAAACTCCCTAATACCTTGATATTCTTACAAATATGAACATCTCTTGTTGAATAAGTCCTTAACAGCTGCAACATTTAATGCTACTTACATGATTCATAAAACAACTTTTACCGTTCTTTTTCAAAGAAAACTGATAAGTGAATTAGACTCTGAATTCGTCTAGACTTGAGGCCGTTGTCTGACAAAAAGCGTTGGTTTTCCATATCTTTCTTTTGCGCCGATTACGTCTTCGTTGTCCTTAAGATCATTTAATATCTAAATACTTCTTTACGGGTTTTCAGTATCATTTATAAATCAAACAAATAAAAAAGAGAATTAGAGGTAACTCTAGAATGGATATAGATTGCAGGTTAAAAATATTTTGCAGTAGGGCTTCGCTGGACATGCCTAAAATATTTTGCAAACAAGGGTACACGCTAAATTAAAAAAGCTCCGTTGTACTTTGCTGGTACTGACGTCTAAGGGGCTCTAAGGAGCCTCTTAATTATGTTGAGTCAGCATTGCGACTGCTGTAGAGCATTAATAAAGTGCATACATTCCTTATGCCTAAATCAAGAGTCATTCCAACTTTCACTTGTTTACTGTGAGAAACACCAGTATATACTGTGAGGTTAACCCTCCTGAGATGAGCTCTTTAAAGATTACAATCTTTACGAAATATAACAGATATATAAAACTAATTTAGTCAAAATTACCATCTAAGATATGAACATCAGTACCGACATTATCTAAATCAGTTTAATTTGATTTCCTACCAGAGTTTCAGAAGCAAAAGCCAAAATAGAACGTGACCTTGGTCAAGTTAAATCTGATTCTCTAGTCAATCTGCAAAATCAGTACCTTACAGAAATCTCTGCAAAACAATTAGCTTTTCAGAAATTTCAGAATTCCTTCCCACAAACTTTTTGATTAACCGTTGTTTTTGTTTGTGCAGATATAAGTGAGTTCGTTGGAGGTAGCGCCAAAGGGGGGCTGCCTTATTCTCTCTGTTCTTATATTTGTTGGATTTACTGGAAACTTTTAATGACGAATTTTCAAAGTAATAAGTTTCTATCACTGAGACTTTTACTGGTGTGTTTTTTATTCTGAAAAACTTTGCCGGAAAATTGGTCTTTTTGGCCCTCTCTATAAGCCAATCATTTCAGGGAAATTTACAACCAAGTGATCTTTCTGCTTTTTGCTTGAGGCTTTCAATGGGACAAATGAAAAGCTTGCTCGCAGAACCAATAGACGCTATGAATGTTTTCAAATCTTCAATATTTCACACGTAATATCATCTTCTATTATTTATAAAGGGGTTCCACACTTTCTGCATATTGCGTATGTTTGTTCTGCCTCGTGACGTTGCTAGCCAATGTCCTTTTAAAATGAAGCAATGAATCGTCTGTAATACATGAATATCATTTACAATCTTCGCCATTTTATTTTTCGCTTTTTCTTCCAGTACCTGGAATAAATGTTCGAAAGATTTCCAGGTCATGCTTCTCTTCAACTCCTCCAATGACGACATCAAGAACATCAGCAATATCCTCCTCCACCGCTTCTTTTAAGACCACAGGTGTGTCTCTAATGCTTCCTTAAAAGTAGTGTTGATGTAATTTGGAAAAAAACGTATGTGGTTATTCCATAGAGGTGAGTTATTCAGACACTTGAAAATACCGCAATGAATATCTTATGTTTGAATTGTACCTTTTCCCGTCTGCAATAATAATATATTCTTATTTAATAAACTTTGAACAATACTTTAGATAAACTGCCAATCGACGTTCAATATTCCCCGAATTTTGCCTAATTATAATGATTGTTATTTGTGAACGTTTCGACTTAAACGTGACAATTGCTACTCGGCCTCCAGACAAATGAAAAATGCCTTGAACATTTTAACAACGATCAACGGTTAAGATTTTAGGACAGCCTGCCATATACGCCTTCTCTGTTATTATCTCAATATATTATCATAAATCTTCAGTTATCATAAATTATCATAAAACCATACACAAGTTCACCAGACGATACCACAGGGAGCATGGCAATACAAAGCAGCCCTGTGGCGATTTAAAATCAAACAATCGAAATATAAAACTAAATAAACTACAATTAGAAGATACAAAATGGAAGAAAAAGAATAAAAATGAAAGATTAGATCAAACTATTTCTAGAAAGAGGAGAGAGGAAATATGCTGTTTGTATCAAAAATTTATTCAAATCATTTAGAGGCCTGGATATATTTTAACGTTGCAGCGAGAATTTTCGAATTGATTTTCGTTTCTGTTGGTCTACCTATTTGGTCCATCTTTATCCAAGTCCGGGGCCAGTAGCGGACTAGGGGAACAAAAAACACCTCATAGATAAAGATGTATTCCCCCGCACAATTATTCGCATCTCATAAAGTATACTTCAGCACATGTTCAGTGCTTCAAAGAAGATGCTTGACCACTACATGAAAGAAACCTATTACTTAAAATTCTCGAATAAGCCCAAAAAACTTATCGATTTCAGACATCCTTACTATGCAAGTTATCGTTTGTTTTAATTGTAATGAGGCAAGAGATAGTAGAATTCTGGAAAAAGTCGAAGAAAAATGCAGTTTACTAGGATCAAACTAGCAAGGCTAGGATTGCAAGACTAGGATGCAAATAGAGAGATTAGGATAGATTTATTTACATGAAGAAATTTGGGAGCAGACTTCCAGAACCCAAAAAGCAGGCTTTTCAATAAGCGATCAAGAAACCCCTACACAAGCTTAATGGTATCATTTTCTGTTGTTAATTTTTGTATAAAGCCCTGGCGAAACGACTAAACATGTTTAGTGAAATATTTAGTCGTTTCGCCAGGACTTAACTCTTATATCTTCCTCAAACGCTCATGTTACATACAATTTTGCCAAAAATCTGTGCCAATCTAAAATTCACATTTTACATACAGTATATGCTGTAATAAAATGATTGTTTTTCTATTCTGTAGCTTCAGTGAATGTTTTTAGCCTTTTATGATACCCCAAACACTTCTTTACAATTTCTAAATTAAATTACCATATGCCGGAAGTCTAAGTAGAGACTATTTTATTACACTTTGTCGCACGTCTGCTTTTATTTTTGTTCTTTGCTTTGACAGTATCGACAGCTTCAAGTATAGGTATGAATAACCAGCCTGCAAACAGCTCAAAGCAATCACGCTTTACTATAACCGAAAATACTCCACTTACGGTTGGCACCAAGGCGATAACAACAGCATCAACATCTGATGCATATACTAATGCTCGTAATGAACTCCGTAAGCGTAACTAAAAATTACATAAATTTTATCTATAAAGTTAATTACTGTTGCTTTATTTGAAGGTGATAGCGATAAATGCGTCCTCTTATAAAATATATCCTGGCTTCATATAATATAGTATCAAATGATAGGATATATGTTGAAATACCTCATCTTAAATTTTGTCTAGCATTTTCATCGTAGTTTAAAACTGCTCTATTAATTTTTTGACTTAAGTCTGGAAATTCCTTCAGAATCTGCATCTCCTTTCTATGATACTGACAAACATACAAAATCCTTTTAGAAGGCAAAGTGTTGCTCTTCCCTTCCTCCGTTTCATCGCGTTTGCCCTTTATTGTTTGTCGGTGATATTTGAATATTGACCTCCTTTGTACAGATGCTATTTATCTCATTTCTTTTGACGCGGTATTCGTTATCTCTACAGATTCGTTGACTATATCAGCGACTCCTTCTTCATACCAACTAATGCAGTCCACCTCAGTCGTGAAGGACAGAAACAAGATTTCCAAAGAGGTACTTCTTTTGGATGATTTGCAGCCTTAACTTTGATTGACCTGGATTTAGTGTTAGTGGTGTCAAGTTAAAATTTAATTTTAATTGATGGTATGTTACCCAAACTTGCATTCATTTACCATTAGAGTAATATGAGATGGAGCAATTATAAAGGTATTGGAAGTGAACGAAGGATATTACGAGTGAAGTATGGAAGGTGCACAAACTGCTGTCAATATTGTCTGAAGTCTCTACATTCATTGAATTTACATCTGATACACGAATGCGATCAACGCTTATCTGTTCTCTTATCTCCCAGATTATGCCGTTCGTGAACAAAATAGTGAATTCAGGCTCAGCCTTAAGAGTGTCAGAAGAGCTCGCTGCTGCTGTCATTTCAACAAGAGAGGTAACAGCTGATGACTCTCATGTCATAATGGGTGTGATCGATCAAATTGCCAATGCATCAATCTATAAACCCAGTAGTATGGTCGAATGCCAAAATGTTACAATGGTAAGCAGCGTTATAAAGGTCTCTATTATGCCTTACCTATTGTTGGTTTAGGAAACCAGCCTCTTTATTTTCCGCAAACAGTTGAGTTTAAATCCACAAAAATCCACCAAGCTACCGCCAAATCCCCTTGGTTTTATTCAGAAGCGGATTTGTAGCTATTAGCCATTTGCAGGTTCCCAGTACTTATACAGTTTTCCTTTCCATCTCATGTGCCTAACAGCCTATTATACACCTTACAAAAAGTTTTGCTTGGCGTTCAAAATGACTTTTTTGAACATTGGTTCACTGCCCTTAGCTGATAAACCGTAAGCTTAGGTCAATGTAAAAACAAGGCTAAAAAGCATTGAAATGAGTTTTATAGCAGATACATACTTTGGTATATCTATTTATAGATCTCAGGTCTTCTCTAGGCCCAGGTGTCTTACTGCTAGCTCTAAGAATATCATTCACCGAAACGTTTCACAAGGTACATTAATGTGATGCTGGATACCTTAGCTATAGCAAATAGTTTTTTTACACTTGAATGCTGCAATATAAGCTACAATCCTTGTCAAAACACTTAAAAAACGTCCCTAAACTTTTCACGCAGCCTCCCCTCCCCCTTCCCCCTAAACAATGTTGAATATTTTTATGTTTATAAACTTGCTTTTTGATGTGCAAAGTTCTGCTTCAATCAAATAAGAGTAAAAATTGCTAACCGACATTGTTAAGGAGGGAGGGTAAGAGTGGTGTTCGGTGTTGGGAGTTGGGTGGTCCGGGGGAAGTAGAAAGAGCTCTCTTTTGCGTTTTTCAAGTGATTTTGGCAAGGATTGAATCTCTTTTAAAGGAGATTTTCAAAGAGTACACGGTGATATATATGTACTTTAAGGGCATCTAGAATTTCTGCATGCGTGCAACGTGCATGGCACGGCTTCATTCGGAGCAAACGAATTGACTAAATCAATTGACTGCCCGTCATACTATGGTATAAAGAATGGTAATCTTTTGAAAGAAATTTGTTTTCTTATCTAGAATGTCATAAGAAGCTGCTCTAAAATGGCAAAGAGTAATTTTGAAAGGGAAAATTATCGCAATCTTTCATCGGTGAGTACCGTTAAGATTCAGTAAGACAGTGTTTATCATAGAGCATGATTAGTCTGTCCTTCAGCAGGATTTGTTAGACAGGTACAATCCGTTTATTAGGATTAGTCTTTACCTCAGTACGTTACCTTGAGATAAGTAAAGTTCCCTGAGTAAGATAGTTACGATTAACAAATATAATTCGTTGATAAGTATCTATTTTACTTAAGTAAGATTCTGTTCAACGGTAAGTTAGATTGTTGAAAGTTTAGGTAGGGCAGACGTATTTCTTATAGTACCATAGTAATTGTAAACTGTTGTTTAACATTGAAATGATTTTTTCCTTTCAGGAACTTGTTCCAAGAATAACAAGAACGTTAGAAAGTCTTGGTGACGTTATAGGCAGCGTTTTGAAAGAAAACCAAACTTTTCTTATGGAAGATGATATTCTTGGTGAGTGCGTGTTTCTTTTTAAAAATTTGAAGCTAAATATGACAAACTAATTTCTCTAATCTTTGAAATTCACTATTTCCATTTTTTGAAGATTTTCTCAAGAACTATCAAGATGAGAAGGTTCTTTACTTGATATATTAAGAATGAGCTAGGATTACTGGGACTAATTTTAAATGCTTATTTTCAGTTGATTTTCCTTCCGTTTTGCGTAATTACAATCCAGATATTACAATCCTTGTCAGTATTGTGACAGAACATCAGATAGTAATTTGATAGTTAATTCTAGCAAGTGCAACTGCCGATTGTGTCGTGTTATAATTACATGCCCAGTCAAACGCCAAATAAAGAGAAGATCAAACATCAAACAAAGTGGAATTCCAACATTAGATAATAAATACCAAACATTAAGAAGATTGAAAATCAAATGTCAACAATGAAGATCAAACACCAGATTAAGCAATAAATTAAAAAAACTAGTATCTCTATCTTAGTCATCTTATGTACATTGCGTTTGATGAAGTTATATATTTTACTTTGCAGCAATCGAAGTCACCAATGTTGATACAACAAACCCTGTTGACAGATCTTTTCCATCTTCGACGAAAGCAAAAAACAGAGAAGATATAGTCATCATTCCAAAAGAGATTTTCCTTGCAACAACAGGTTCTTGTTAATTGCCTTTAATATTTCATTTCAACTGAATAGAGGAGTAAATCATTTACTCCAGCATAATGGTCAAGTAATGTGTGTTACCATTTTATGTTGCAAGCTATATAATGATACTATTATTCCTTGTTTTCTACAAAAGAAATGTCTACATTTCATCAATACATGAAGTACCTTCGGGTACTGTCCAGCATTTAAGGATTGGGTTAATTGTTTCAGGTGCTTCAATATATACATACACATTCTGCTAAAAAATAATCTCATCTTTTTTCTTTAGTGCGTTTTTTACATCCTGCTGTCTTTTTACATAAAATAGCCGTTAGTGCTATTGGTTCCAAGAAATTTTATCTTTTTTCTAAAATATTACTAGATAACTGAATACTACTTTCGACAATTGGAGTTTCAACCAATATTATGCGGAACTTGGAATTTTGCAGCTAGACTGAAAGCACTATTCAAAGCTTTGAGCCAAGCTTGGTTGAGAAATAGAGTGATAATAGAAAAAAAATTTGCTAAAACTACGAAATCTGCATAAGAAATCTTTTGTTATTCTGTGTTAAATAGCCTGGCTTGATTCTTTAAACAGGTAGCGTTGACGTCATTCTAGTGCAGATGAGCACAAACTCAACATACAACAACAGGTAGGACTTAATTGTCTTCCGTCATGTACCGATATGTGATAGCATTAGAACGTTATGCTTCCACTATTCTTTTTTCTTATTGAAAGTAATTTCTTCAAACAGAACTTGAAAATTCATTGACGAAACGCCTATGAAACTTCAATAACAAAAAGATCCACAACTATTTATTTTTTTATAAGCATTTACTGGAATACTATTGCATGTAGATGAAAGTTTATAAGTATAACATAACATAATATTTTATTTAAAAAGGTTTCTATAGATTTAATCTTTTGTCAATGTAAGTATGATTCCTTAAGGGAACCAGATTTAGCGAGTCTTTAGGAAAATATTGCCTTGAGATTAACCCTGAATACTGAGCATTTAGTGAAGAATGAGAGAAAGAAAACCTCTGACTCTTGAGTTGCTAGACTGAATGAGAACCTAAAACTTTTTTTGATTGTACCATCTATTCATTGATCACAGTAATTAGCTATCAATATACACTTTGTAGCAATGCAGACAATAACTGAACTTGCATCACATTTTGCTTCCAATTCTGTCAACGTTTTCTTCACATACTCTAATTGCTGTCAACGTTGAATTCAACAGACACTTCCAGACGTTATTTTGTATTTTCAGCCGCGATGTGAATGGATCAAATGTCCTGGCTCTTTCGAACATTATTGCAGTCAAACTCAGCAAAGGAGATTCAAGTTCTCTAGTCAAGCCTATTACTATACGTAATAAATTATTAAGAGAGGTATGTATTGCTCCTATTGCGCTGTGGATCTCCCTTTCTTTCATTCGTTTTATGAACCGGCTTATTTTTCTCGATATCTTTTACATGAATTGGTTTTATCACAAACTTTTTTTACCAAGTATTGGCTTTATCAAAAATATCCAAGCTTTACTAACAACATGAGTTTCTCTCGCCGGGTGCCATTATCCCTGTTTGATACTGAGCCTTGCATATTTGCGAAAATTTTGATGCTTTTTGGTGCTTTTATGTTCATTTTTCGATTCTTTTCTTTGTTTACTATGCCTTTCGGCCTTTGCCTTCAACCTCGTTTCGTGATCCTTTTTGTTATTCATAGATTTCCCATGCGTTTGTCCTTTTCTTCTTTTTCTCAAATCCTTCTACAGTTTCACCTACCACAAAGTAAATTATCAGTGACCTTTAGAAACACTATTTAATTTCAAATTCTTCATATATTTTTAAAGCAAGCTTGTGATCTTTTATCTCAATGTAAAAGTTGTTAAGGAGCCTACTAATGTTATTTATTTTTAATCATTTTCATTAACTTATATTGTTAATACTTTATGTACCACTTAGCCTGACCTTTCCTGCCAATGTTTAAAGTTTTCCTAGTAAAGTTTTTGTTTTGCTTGGTATTTAGTATGAGTTTATATTATCAGTTCTCTAAGATCGTATTACCTTACAGAATAAATTACTGTATTGTACTAATTAGACACGAATTTGTAAGACAGATCGTAACAGGAACTTTGTTTTTGATGTGCTACATACAGTTGGTCATTAAGAATATTATAGTTTCATGTTAAGTTTAAAGGAATTGGTCGTTTGCCTACTTTTTTTTCTGTTCTTAAAACTTTTCTGACAAAATCTCGTTTAGAGCTTTACCTCCCTTTTAATTTGAACTTCTTCAATGTTTCAGGTATCTGAAAACCAAGTCGTTCGAGGTGGATTTTGGGAGGCTAGAAGGTAACCCCGCTAGCCAAGAAACTTCACTTTGCTCAAATACTTTTACTACCATCAAAGAAATTCACAAAACATTAATGGTTGGGTTGTTTTCAGTAAAAGTTTTTGCTACAAGTTCTGAAAAGCCTTTTGAGTCTCTTGAAAATGCTCTTTATTTTTTGCTCAAAAGTTTAAAAAATTTTCTCGTGTGTGCGTACATTGAAAACCAGCTCCTTGAATGTGGGGTTGTTTAGTGTGTTAGACTAAACTACCCAGCCCTAACAAACAGTTACCTCATTATTTGTTATATAAAAGCTATATGGCTAAGTGAAGTATCTGATTTTAATATAAAGTTAAAAAGGTTTTTTAAAATTCTTACATCTATAGAAAAATGCAACTACATGAAACATCTGATTGAGAAAAGTGTCAGCTCTGTTTTTAAAATGCAATGCTGACAGTCATCGCCGGTTTTCCCTCTGAAAAGACGATGAAACGAATATAAAGAAACGTGAATTAAGTCAGAAATTTTCCTCAAACCTTTCATCAATCACCTTTTTTAATTTTCTCATTCTAATCTAACTTCACACTTCATCAACGAAATTATCATAATTTTCAGTGGAGATTCGTCTGGGGGATGGTCTTACAAAGGGTGCTCAACAGCTAGAAAAGGGGATGTTGTCGAAACCAAGAGCAATCATATGACAAGCTTTGCCGTGCTCATATCTTTTAAGAAGGAAAAGGTAAGTTTACTTTAATTTGTTTCAGGCCATACATTTTGGCTTCAACCTTCCAATTTACCGAATTTCCTATAGATATCCCAACAATGCAAATGACAAACTGCAAAAACTTACTTGATTTTGAAATTGCGTATGAAAAAAAGTTAGAACTAAAGTGCCATACTTTGATTAGAAATTTGGTTACCGATAACAAGCATTTTTCCTAAACTTTTTTTTATTAATCAAGATTTTCTGAGGGAAGGGCAATTTTTCTGGGGGGCGCTATTTTGAGGGTGGGTGCTTTTCAAATTTTATTTGATGGTTTCAGGAGAATGTTATTCGAGAGAGCTTTTTAGGATGAGTGCTTTTTAAAGGAAATACGGTAGCGTTAAAGATGATGTTGCTTCTTAGAGAGCTCAAATCAATATACTAAGTATTTCAGCATTTGTGAAGGCTCGTCTGTTTTTAAATGCTTTAGATTTCCAAAATATTAATTTTTAAAACTGTAGCATGAAATATCAGAACAAATTTGACAAGCGAAAGTTACATTTGATAAAATTTTAGCTAATGTAGGTTTTGATTGGAAACTGAAATTCCGCCTAGCTTCAGGTAATCTATAAGCTGCCAATAGAAAAAAATATTTGCACAGAATCGCAATGATGAAAAAGTAAATTTTGATCTTCCACTTAGTTGTAAAAATTGAAATACTCTTCTAAATTTTTCGATACCATGAAATATAAAGAAGCGAATTAGCATTTCTAATGATAAAATTATCAACATAACGATAGTGATAATATTAAATCTGAAATGAAAGGTCTTGCTTCTCTTTTTTTCCTTCTTCTTCTTCCTCCTCTTCTTTTTCTTTGTTTTTCTTCTTCTCTTCTCTTCTCAACTTTCTTCTCCTTTTCCTTCCTTTTTTTCATTTCTACTACATCTCTTTTTCTTCTTCTTTCTTTTCTACTTTTTATCTTTCTTTTCCTTCGGTTTCTTTTCCCTCTTTCTCCTCTCTCTCATTCTGCAAAACAAGACCCCTTGTCGAAACAGTTTTTCTCGAGCCTTTATCGTGAACTTAACAAAACCTTTTTCTGTCACTGTTCCAACAGAGCCTTCTTATTCAATTCCTTACTTCCTTCCGTTCAACCTTTATTATCTTCTTCAGCATACGTTCATAGATATGACTGTGTGGTGTCCCTTTTATTTTTCATGCAGTGTCATTGCATGTTAAGACTTAATAAAGTTAAGTATTCCAGTTTTCACATAACATTGTTCCTACTTCTCATTTCGATTTTTTTCAGATTCCTGACCATCACGTGAAAGCTCTTGGCTTTATTACCTCCATCGGCTGTGGTATCTCTTTGTTCTGTTTGCTGTTAACCTTTGCAACTTTTGTCACTCTAGAGTAAGTACTATCGGCTGACTTTATGAAAATCTGTTTTTGTCTACTCGTGTTCTGCAAAACATTTACGGATTTCAGTTTGCTTCAAATCTGTATGAGTCCCTAAAGTCCAGAGGAATCGCTTTTTCAGGTATAAAGCAGTAAATGTTTTAAAAGAGTTAGTTGAAACTGGTAACACATTCGCATAGTAGAAAGTAAAATATTTTCTCTAGTCATTTTTTGCTATAAAGAGCACAAGATTAACTAAAATATAGTTGATTTCTACATGATTGCAAATTAGCAAGTTTACATTATAAAAGAGATGTGTGAGAAAAAGACCGTTTCAGATTTCACCACCACCAGGAATTTTGCAAACTTGTCTTTTCGACATCTAGACCTCTAGAACCTGGTAAAAGAAATCTTCTTCAGGGTCACATTACAGATGATACTAAAGCAAAACATTTTGTGGGATACAAACGTGTTTTGCATTACTTGCAATCTTCATTTCATTTCCATTTTTTAATACTCTTGTAAATATAATTGTATCTATTACTGGCTGGTCATTTCAATAGTTTCGAAAAAACGACCTACAATTATTTTCATTCTAGTTAATGATACACACAAAAAATTAATTATCTTAAAAAAGAAGGTTTTTTTACAACTGACTCGTATTTTTTCAAAATTTTTTACAATGTTAGATAGCTAGAATATACATGTTTTCTAATTTCAATATGTAAACTTATATACAGGCTCGTGTGTCTACAAAAGTAACTTTTCTAGGATTTTTCTCATGGCAACAGATTGTAAAAAGTTTTACTTTTCATTGATCTATAGTGAATTAGAATTTTCATGCTTAAGATGAAGTATCAAGTATCTTGGTATAATATGAGCAGCAACTAGTAATACACATTTTTCACCACTCCACAAAACGCAGATTCCTAACATTGATTATAGGATTCTTCATTTTCATTCAACTTTCCAAAGAAAGCAGAGTTACTTTGTTTTGAAAATGTTTTCAATTATTGAATCTGAATCTATTTACGTGAAAAAATCGTTATAGCTTTGTATGCAGGTAATGGATCTTAAAATTGTATATAATTTGCTATTCTAACCTGTTTACCACATGGTATTCTCTTGTAATCATTCATTCAAAATGTGTTTTAACAAAGAATCAATACTGCCAGTTCTATTGGTGAATTTTGTAACTGCACTGGTAGTAATTGCAGTAATGCTTCTGTCCATAGCTCGTTGGATCCTGAAAGAACTGCTATTCATACCAACCTTGTCGTCGCGCTTGGTATTGCCCAGATTGTATTCCTTGCAGGGATAAATGCAACAGAGAACAAGGTATGACACCATATGCAATCTTAGTAATCATGTATCGATAATCAGGCCCTATGAGAGTTCGCTTCGCTTCACACGAGCCTTCATATTTGTGACTCTTGTTTATTTTGAAAATTGTTTCATGGAGGACACGTGTTGGTAAACAAATGGTATTGACACACAGGTGCGGCTATGACGTAAACCTTGGCATTTTTTAATATTTTGGTTTCAAGAAACATAGTGTTTTCACATTATTTGCTTCGAATGTTATATGTTATATTTCTGTTGGAAAACAATATTTCAAATTGTTACAATTATGTTATAAATCAAGGGTGCCAAAATATTTTTACTCTCAACTGCAGAGATTTCTGCTTTATTCAGTTGGTTTAAAGCTCCTGATTCTCTGGTGCACAGTCGCATTACATTTTTAGATATTATTTATATAGTTATTAGTATCTAATAATATCTAAAACTAAAGCCTTATTAAGCCCAAACAGATCTGTTGATGCAGCACAAATTTAGCTTTTTATTGGGCCTATTCGGCTTCAGGACAATTCTCGTCTGTTTACATAACGGCCTATTTCATGAATGGGCCTAGCACTGCAGCACCCGTAGCATCCATCTTCATCCGGCTCCTGTCTCAAACTATTGGATCCAAGGTGCTACTTTTCTAGTGTTTGTTCTGTCAGCATCGTCGTCATGTTTGGCAAATTAATTATTGCATGCCACAGCATACTCGGAATCTTATGTCAGGTACAATATGAAAAAGCGTGCACACAGTGAATTTTTTACAGCCTTTTGTACACACAAACTTTAAATAAAGGAATAAAGGTTTATTCCAGGTTGAATAGTATCCAAGGGTGGTACAATTCCTCAAAAATTGCTTAAAAGACCTAACTGCTCGAGTCTTGTTTACATATTTTTTACTTCTAAACTATGTGCGTCACTTTGTAGCAAAGAAATATTTCTAACTAGAAAAGGAAGTTGACTGAGTTATATTTTTTTTTAAATTGAAATTAATTTTGTTTTCGAGTCACAGACGCTTTACTTTCTGAAGTTTATTTATGTAGATGACCTTTTCTATCGGAAGAAATCCCATTTTTTTAAACAAACGATCTTGCCCTTTTTGCGTAAGTTATAAAGATACTCAATACCTTTGCCGACAACTGGGGGCAACACCTTGAATAAATATCTAAATTCTACTGATAAACCGTGCCAAAAATAACCAGTTTATAATGATTTAATGTGTTATAGGTTGTGGGTAGATAACACAAAGTGGGTTGATAATAAGACTTGAATAATTGGATAAGACTTGTGATTATGTATCACATGTCATGGCTTTGCGTACGTCTATTTACAATTACTTGACTTGCTTATTGATTTGTATGAAAGTTGCTATGCTGTTCACAAACTGATTTGAGGCCACAATTTCTGTATTGTTGTTTAGAGCATGAAGATCATTAAAACAATCCCCTGAAATGATTTTGAGGACCTTTTCAACTATTATTCACTCTTAACATCCTGGAGATAAATTTCTTTGTTTTCCTTAATAACCTCTACTCTCTGTTTGACTTTCTTGCAATTTAACAACGGTGATTGCCTAATCTACAAACAGTTGTGCACTTATAAAGCTAATGAAATTGCGAATGTGCAAGTGCAGGTGACAACACAGATTTCAGTGAAGCTTTTAGTTCATTTAGATTAAATAAACGTATGTTTGTTTGAATTCCATCTGCTTTCACCTGCATTTACAAAGCAAAACACCCCATGGTCTGCATTCTTGCAAATTTGCTTAAAGCTTGCAGTCTCTCCTGGTCGTGCAGTTCTATTACAAAGCTTTAGTAGGCACATACTGCCCAGTTTGCCAAGGGAACGTATTCGTTAGAGGATATCGAAAATTGGTAGGTAGTTCCTAGTTTATATCAGTAAGGATCGTAACAATGTGCTTCGTTATGTGCCCGTGAGAATTTCGAGCGTAAAAATCATGCAATGCACAAAAGCCTGATCATAAATGAAAGATTATATTGGAAGATTCAATTGAAGATATGGAAAGACACCTTTGAGCAAAGGAGAACAGACTAATAAAGGAACGTTGAAGAGCCATTGCTGTTTCTCTACTAATGCTTCTACGCAGCTGATATTTGTGAGGCCGACGAGAAGAGAAATATATGATTTTTGCCTGAATCATATATGGCATGTTTCACAGGCTAAAGACGACATCTTCTTCGAAACTCCTGATATCATTTTGTTGTTTTCTCTGCATTGTCAAGTGAAGAGCACCGTCGCATTCAACTAAGTGTTGGTTTGGAGCAGTATTGAAGTTATCTGGAGTAGTAATTCGTTACAGCTGCGAGGAAAATATCGATACATAAGACAGTAATGAATTACCATTGAGATTTAGGTAATTAATTTGATTCACTGCCCTTTCGGAGGAGACATGGGCCATGCAAGTGATGTCATCGTATATAGTGTAATTGGGATTGTAACTGTGATATTAAACACAATAGAGATAGTTTTGATAAAAAGAACAAAATCTAAGTTAAAGACGTACCAGCAACTGCTGCTGAGCCTTGCGATCAGTGACCTCCTGGTAGGCCTAACCAGTGTAATAAACAGCATTCTAGCAGCACGTGTATCGACACAACTTTCAAGGCAAGTTTTCACTTTCATGGTCATCTATTCATTTACAGCCTCGGTTATTAACCTGTTTATAATCGGCGTTGATAGGTTAGTGGCCGTGCGGTACCCTCTGAAGCATGTTATCTGGGTTCGAAAGGGTACGATCATAAAAGCTGCCATTTATTCCTGGATTTTCCTAGGCATTGAGGTAATTGCTTTTACTTCAATAGGTATTGCCATTCCTAGTTCTATGCATGGGCCAGTATTATTTTATTTATGGGCATTGCCGATAATTATCATTGGGTCCACAATTGTCTTCCTCATACTCTACGGTTGTATCTGTTATTTTGCCATGCATGCACAAAGCAAAGCTGAAAGAATTCTAAATGACGATATAAATGCAAGAGGAAAGAGGCAGCTTTCCAGCACCAATATTGCCTATATTGCAACTACAAAGAAAGAGGAAGCTCACATTAAAAAAGGCATTTTTCACGAGATTCCTAGTGGGCACACTTCTGCGATGAAATTGCAAAGCATTTTCACCAGTAATGCTCTGCAGGCAGAAGAAATCAATCAAGCAGTAGACCAAGAACAACAGATGGCTCTTGATAAAGATCCTTCAGGGCCCTCACCTCAAGCAAATCTTCAGCCTTCAAAGGAAGTGAAAAAAACCAAGCCTGTATGCAGATATTGCAAAAAGCAAAGAGCACTGGTCATCACTTGCAGCATGGTTGTTTGTTCGTTTTTTGTATGTACCTTGCCTTTTGCCATAGAAACTCTTGCATCTACTAGCCAAAGGTTTGAAGTGCTTCTTGTTGTTAACTCCCTTTGCAACCCTCTAGTGTACTTCTTCAAAGGCCTGTGGGGAGAGAAAAGGCTCCGCTCCAGCAAGAAAAAGAACCATATTCAAGTTGCTCCTAATTCGGTTAGTTGTCAGTGCGCCAAGCTGAAGGACGTTAAAAACTGCTAGTTGAATCAAACGATTAACTGATGAACTAATGGAAAACTGAAAGGAAGTTAGTGACATCAGATACTCCCCGTCAGACTCAGCCCTTTTTTTACCATTGACACCAGCAGTCATGTAGCATAAGGATATATAGGCAGCACTGCTACCAAATTAGAAGATGGCTTCTCGAACTAACAGCGTTTTATTGAGGGACGCTGATCAATTGAAATACTGTCTTTAACTGGTTTTAAACTCAAGTTGGCTTGAATGCGTCATTTAAACTTATAACAACACAGAGTCGGTAAGAGAATATCGAGAATTTGGGCAAGTGAATAGCATTTTTGCTCAGCAACCGCGTGTTAAACGGCTCTTGGTTTAGTCATGGCTTGGCATATTATGTTTAACTATGAGCTTCGTTTCTCATTGAAGAAAACTGCAGATGCTGGCATTGAGATAAATCTGCACTGAGTGCGTTATCATTCTGATTTTGTGTTATTTACTGTAGACTGCATATCTTGGTAACCAACTATCCCATTTTAGGAAATCTTTTTTGCTGGATTCATTTTCTTTTTAACCATACTGGTAATCCTGTTTGTCTTATACCTTTTTGACTTTGTTGCTATTGTACCTTAATTTGATTTCAAAAATGTTCTCATAAAGATGTTGAATTTTTATTTTGTAATCTCTAAAGCTCGTCTTGTGATCCATTTCTTTTTGCATCTTACTAACTCCTTTAAAGTATGAGGGCAAATCTTCTAAAGTATTTCCTTTTCAAGGGAAAAAATAAAAACATTTTTGTTTAGGATTCTTTCTCCTTCACATAGCTGATTCTTGAACAAGGACAAGGGCAAGGCCTAACTTAATGGTATATGGTAATGGGAAATAACTTCCCAGTGAGTTCTTGCATTTTGTATACAAACCATTCTCTTTAAGGCTGTTTTAACTTCTAATGTCAGAAAAGTTGTTTTTTTGACGGTATAAGAGTCTTGCACTTGTACGGATTTGCAGGATTTGCATGAACGATGCCGTCTAGCTATTGTGTTACACAGGGGGTTTCCAGGTTGCCGGCAAAGTAGGTGAACCCCTCGTTTTTGCAACGGAATTTTTTATACCAAGGGGGTTATTTTAATTGTATCTGAAGGCTAATAGACATAATCATAACCAGAACTGGACACAGGGTCTCTTCTTTTTGCTTAATCGAGCGAAAGGCCCTTTACTTAAAGCTAGTTGCTTTCTTTCTCCGTTGAAGCTGAGCCGAAAGGTCATTTACCAAATGAAATGTATAACGTGGATTTAGATATACCATTCTTTGTAAAATATGACTTGAATAAAAAAAAGAAAAATAAACTTTCGCCATGAAAACTACTGAAAGCACCTTACTAGCCATTTGGAGAACAGGCTTGTTGCCTTGCCGAGTTTCAAAGCTGCAGACAGATTTTTCTTTTAAATAAAATTGAGCTTGTCTTTATTTTTCTGAGTTAATGATAAGTAAAATTGATAGCTAAAGAAATTAGAGAGTGAAAAGAATCCGTCAGTTCATAATCGATCACTATTTGTTGATATTAGAAAAACTGTCCGTCCTTATTATTCCCCAAAACAAAGCACAAGCCGTCATCCACTATTTAGAAATAAAGTTATAAGATTTTTTATTTATACGTGAATATGCCGGAGAGGATTTAAAACTTAACATATCTGCGATTAAACTGTTCATAATAACTGAATTTTTGAGTTGTTATTTAAACTTCTAAGGCCCTTGGCCAATGCCTACGCCAAGACGGAATAAGCCAGCAAAAATAAAGTTTATTTATTTTCATCTTTATTTGTTTCCTTGTTCCTTCCTGTCTTCATTTTACCTCTCTTCTCTCAGCCTTTATAGATTATTTCATTTCGTTTTTCCTCTATTTGCTATTTGTTCTCGTTCTTGTCATTCATCGCCTTTCTGCAAAATTTATGATTCTTATTCTCTATACACAAGGCTAGCCATTTTAATGTCATTTTTAGTTTATTTCTAAGACCAGACGTACGTTAAAGAAAACTCTGTTCCAAGTGTTTCAGTATGCAACCTTTTTAAAATTAAGAGCTTAAATAGACATTGAGTAACTTTCAAAAGACATTGAATAACCCAGATACGCAAAAATCACAGGGAAACTGCTGACAAGAAGCCTATCAGGTATAGCCTGAGTTCCAGACCCTGATCTGGGGTTCAGGCTAATCAGGTAGTGTTGAGTAAAGGTCTAAGCATGATCAATTGTAGAACAATTTCATATTTTTTAAGCATTTCAGTATCTTAGAATACTTTTCTGCGTATGTAAAACTCTACCATTTGGTCCATCCTCAATGTTTCCCATATTTTTCAAATATTTTGACAAAATGTTGGACTTATTATACCAATAACATTTTAAATTATTCCCTTTCTAGTTCTGCTTGGCACATAATATTATACTTATGACCCTCATTAGAGGGGTATAATCGCGGCCCCTGCCTGCACCACCTCGGCTAAAGAGAAGCTACAATCCCGCACAAAAATTTTGTGACAAAATTCAGTTTTTGTCATTTTCCACTCTACCTTTCCCCTGTAAATTCGACTCCCCTCCTTTCCCCCCGAAGAAATGTTAGATTTGTAGTTCTATCATATTTGCTTCAAAATCATGCATCTAACATTGAATTAAGGGAGGGAGAAAGCTACTTTTCAAAAGAAAGAGAAAAACATAAAGTTTTCTTGAAAAGTCTGAACTATTTTTGTCCGGGATTGTTGGCTTGGTAAGCAAAACCAGGCCTAAATCATGGCCTAAATCGCTTTTATAGCCATGATAATTTGAAGAGTAGGAATAAAGGACTGTCTCAATATAGTGACCTCTTTTGAGATCAGGAAATAAAAGTCCATAAAAGCTGATCTTCATTTTGTCCAGGTGAAAAAGTAGCTTAGACAAAATCCTAAAACAAGTTGATTAATTAGCGAAAAAGATCCAGTTAATCTTGAAATGTTTCTTGCAACAATGTTGTAAGGCTTTACGCATAACTTTATGTCTAGAATTATCGTCACACCCCTGAAGGTCAAATTCCTAAAGTATGTGTTTTCTTTAAAGGTCGTTAATATTTAACATTCTTTGTAGTCTTGAACTTTTAATTAGGTTAGAACAATGGCTTAAATCTTCATACGTCAACCAGGCAATGTACTTTCTTTGCAATGGTTTTGTTTGGAAGTTATTTTATCTAAACATTGCGGGGAAGATAGCAATTTTCAGCAAATATGATGTTCAGCCAATATAATATGAATTTTCAGTAATTTTCACCATAGTCTGCACAATGATGTGAAAGCCTTGATGCTCTTTTGTTGGCTGGTTCCAAGGGACATAAAAGCTTGGCATTGAAATCACGGCGATGGCTCTAGGTCTTAGATTTATTAAACTCCGATATCTCCATTCTAGATTCATTGAATTAAGTGAGTTGAGTGCGCAATCGTTTTGTGGCCATATGTCTCGCTTGGTCCTTTCCAGCCTCTCATTACCGAAAAGAAACCTTTGAAGCCTGTAAGAAAACAAATCTGTTCTTGGTTGTTGCTAATAATTAGCTTCGATTTTCAGTTGCAGTCTGTGTTCAAATATTTCTCTTGATTTCTTAACATAGGTTTTGATGATTCTTGAAAACAGGCAGTAGGAGCAATTACGTACTTACAGGCGACCAGATTTTTGATCTTCTGCTGGTAAAGATTCATTTCTTGATGTGTTGATATCAAGTGTGTGGAAAAGCATTTGCTTTGCTTTTTGTTGCTAATGCTTTTTTCGAAAAAGATACAATGCATGATCACCACTTTATGAAACCTTTTTGGTCATAGATTCACGGATGGTTGCTTAATTCAAAATAGAGTTTTTTCTTTGCTTCAAAAAGTTGTAGGAACTCGAGTTTGACCCAACCTCAAGTCCTGGAAACAAGAGGCAATACGAAATTCTTTCACCGCTATTATCCTGTCAAGTTTAACAATTCTATATACTCCCCTGCCTGCACCACCTTGGCCAAAGGGAAGCTAGGCGTGGTAAGCGAAACCAGACCTAAGTCATGGAAACAACATTGACTTGCTACTAAACTGTTTGTGCTCCTTTTGTAAATGCATTCTTAAATTTTTATAATTTCTAAAGTACGATCAAAGTAAAGCAGATTGAATACCTAAGGATTTGTTCCGTTTTTTAAAAAGTTTGAGAAGAATAGAGCATTTACTGTTTGTTATGGCAAACAACATCCTAAATGAATTTTTCCAACTAGATTTTGGAGCTTTCTCCGTGGACTCTTCAGAAATCGAATCGAAACTAAACAACCACATTACTAACTAATACCTTGCATTATCTAATAAATAAGCTCATCAATTTAGAAAAGTAAAATACGGAATTTTAGCTTTTCAGTACAGAAATATTTTCTGTGCTGTTTCAAGGTATTACAAACATCGAAGTAATGATTAATTTCTTGATTTGTTTTTTCAAGTACTGAAAGTTTCGTAATACTAAAATTCTTAAATGCCAAAATACTTCTTTCTCGAAAGACAAATCACACATAAGAACGTACGAAGACATGGCATAGGACAAAGCACCTAATAGAAAAGCTTCCTTTTATCAATGTCAGTTAAATCAGAATTAAGTACGTTAAAAAGAATCATTGTTATCACATCTTGAAAAGAATTACAATCAGACACTTTGTTAAAGCTGAGTTGGATCAGTACTGTGGCTTCTTATTTTTTTTATTTTGGGGTCGGTTAGTTACAATTATAAAGAATGCGCTATTATATACCAATAGGTCGGCAACCTTTAAAAAAACAGAGTGCTCGGACCGCCATCCAGCATATGCCTAAGGCTTTCCTCGTAATCTCTGTTGTATATTCTATGGTTTAATTTCTATAAAAAAGCAGCGACGTTTATTGTAAAGATCAATATTTAGTCTTGTGAATGACCATTTCATATACGAGCCAACTTCAATTGGTATATTTTTCCTTTTATTTGTTCATGGTCAAATATTGCGAGAATTTGAGTCATTGTATTCACATCGTTCCATGATTATTACTTTTTCTTGTTTATCCTGAAACTTTGAATTGTTGACAAGCTTTTACACATGTTTACAAAATCTTAACCATTAACAAAGGGATGCCAGGTTTCGGTGAAGTTTTTTTCAGATTTTCTAAACGTGAAATTCATTGTAAATTCAACGTCAATATCATCAACCCTAGGGGTTGACCCGACCCGTTGCTCAGTGGCGTACCCAGGGCTGTAGCAGTGGCGGGGTCTGGGGCGCTTTTAAGGGCGTGGTCCAATTTTTTTACCACGCCCTTAAAACACTCGCAAATGCGGGAAAACGCCCTTTTGCACATTTTTCCCCATTATTTGATTCATGTAAGCTACCGTAAATAGCAAAGCATTTTACAATTGTTATGGACGCAAGCATACAGTATACTACCCCCTCCCCCCCCCCCAATGAGTTTTACATCGTTTTTGGACAAATCTCGAGGACCATATTTTAGAAAAGTGGGGGGAGTCCGGACCCCTCCATACCACTGCCGTTGCTGATAAAAACTATGAATTAATTTGAAATATTGCATAAGCAGAGGTTTTTGGTCAATTTTTTGATGCAGTAATTCAAGTGCTGGCTTTGGTTAGTTTGATAAACATTTAGCTCTTATAAACGGTCAGCGCTTTTTCCACCAGCCTTATGCATATTGAAGTTTCTGCTATCAATTCAGTTCGAATACTCCAAGTATATATGCAATAGCCAGAGGATTAATGTGATGAAATAGCGATGCAGAGAGTACACCGTGTCGTGTTTTGCCAGGATTAAATATCAATTTATAGACCCATCCTTCTAGTGTCCTGTTTGCTTTAGAAGTTTTTCTCTTTTGAGAGCTTTGTCCAATGTGGTGTATAATTAAGTTAATTTGGCATCAAGAGACGACGTTTCGAAGCTAGTGCCCAGGTTCTTGAACGTATACCAACTGCTCGCTGTAATTTGTGTCAATTTGTCGGCTTAAATGTTTTTTCCAATGAAAGCTGCTGTTTTTTCAAATTTGACTGGAAATTTTTCAATAAAGTGCAGAATGTGTTTAGTTTGTATTATTAATGATTGAATGGCTTTCCCAGACTCTTTGGACGTCTTAATGTGGCTCAAAAAGCCACTCCTTGTACTCTTATGCTTGTAACCATATAGTCTCGTCCCTTCCTATTGAATTTGAAAACATTAATCGCCTTCATTTCTTCTCAGGCTGCTTGTACGGCAGTTGCTGTTCTTCTGCATTATTTCTTCACTGCGGCTTTCTCGTGGATGTTTGCTGAAGGAGTGCACCTCTACAAAAAAGTCGTCTCAGTCTTCTCTCATGGAAGCAAGCTAAAATTTTATTACGTCATTGGATGGGGTAGGTACTGACTGACTGACTGGCGAGAGCCTAGGAATTTGTCTTTCTTATCATTAGCTCTATCTTACTTTTAGTCACGAAGCGAGAAGTAGAGGAAACGTGTGTTGTTTTAAACGGAAGAGCCCTCTAAGCACTTAAAATGACAAGAACTAGAACCAAAATTAACACCAAATCTACCTCAATTAACTGCCCATGTCAAAGGAGAGATATGTTGGTTTCGTACCTTGATTGCATTTGTGTAAAATTTATTTAGGGTAGGTGAAACGAGTTCCGGAAATGCCTGGTTGGCATAAGCTGTTCGAGAATAAGGACTGTTGTTAAACTCCTCGAAATGTGCATTGTTCGAAAGTTTTCACGTGAACAGCGATTTTGAGATTTACCATTCCCTGCATACTTTCGAAAACTTTCCATTCGATGTTAGGTGTGTCCCAGTGGCGGAAGCTGAGCAGGAGTAGGTTGGGTTGGCGTTGTTGGAAGTAGCAGGAATTATTCGAGTCAATTGTCATTTTCCTGGGGGCATTTTCTTATACTACTTCTTAAATCAAGTATCCGATTTTCGAGTTTATCCTCTTGAAGTTTACGTAAGCTAGTTATTTACGGTAATCGAGTGAATGAGATATAGCTAAAGAATAAATATGTAGCTTGTCGTTTGAATAATTACTATCGAAAACAACCATAAATGGAATGTTCTAGACTTGTTTTCGTACAAAAGTTAATAAACTCCGTAATTTTGTGTCGAAGACTAACCCCTGCGGTGAATCAGATAAAGTATACATTTTCAAGACAAACATTTAGATCTTAAAAATCTTTTTGTCTAGGCTTGCCAATTATAATAGTCGCTTTATCAACTGGAATCAGACCTGATGGTTACGGAACCGAATCGGCGTAAGCTTCATGGAATTTTATTTATTCGTCTTAGACGCTTTTAACTGCTTTTAACATTATACTTTCAGTGTAATAGTCTCTAAGGCCAAATTACCGAGATTATGAAAAACAGGAACACCTAGTAGAATGATTCAGTTAATCTTTTTCATTTTGGTTTCACCAAACACCCTAAATCACCACCATCAAAATTTGTGAGGCTACAAAGTCTTAACCATTTGTTGGCATCAAAAGATCTAAATCTTTAAAAAGATCCGTCGCTCTTTAGGCTCGAAGATTGCGATCCATCTAAGGGCCCCTTAAACCTTTCTCTTCGAAAGGGCGTGTCCTGAGTGGTTTAAAGGTTTTTTAAAACATGAAATGTGAATAGCCTGCCAGTATCCCAGCGTTTTAAAAAGCAGTTTAATCTTTTTACAAGTTTTCTTGACCATATTGATCAAAACTGCTAAATTTCTGTATGATTTCCGATGGCATTGTGATAGTACTCGCCTACTAATCAGCCTTCCCTTGCTAGATTACATGCTTATATAGTAAAAACTACCACGCCCCCTCGCCCCATTCAAAATTAGGGTGTACTAATTTGGATTGCGAAAAAATCGACAATTTTTATGGCAAAACATCAACGTAGGGGGCACCAGGTTTTTGGCGTGATTGCGTGATCGGCGTATTTTCGATACGTGAATTCGTGGAACAAATTTTTATTATGCGTGAATTCGCGAATAAAGATTCTCGCGTGACGTGCGAATCAACATTACGCATGGTGTGATTGCGCGAAAATGACTGCTGCAAGCGATTTTCGAAAGAATGCTTTCGTTTTTACAAGCAGAAAGTCTTGGTTTCCGATACAAGACCAGATTAATGTCTCCGTTATTCAGAGGTTCCAATACAGATGGCTCTGCCAACTAGAACTTACTCCTAATAGATGGTTAGTAAAAATTCAGGGAGTTTCAGGGAAATTATTTTACGCGTGATTGCATGATTCAGCATGGATACCTGGTACTCCCAACGTAGTCAAGCAAGATCTCAACGCTGTTCACTGTGAATTGTAACCTTCCTTATATGTGATATCATGAATTTCATACAGAATTTCTAAGTTGATTTATTGTACGGAAAATAGGGAGCTACATAGAAAATCACAGATAATCAGAAAATCAATAGAATCGACTTTCGTCGCAACATTTCGCAAATAATGGTCACGGTATTACTGGCTACAATACACACGCACACATTCAAGATACATTTAACTGTATCCTAGCAAGACACCTTCAACCTGGTAGTAAAGCGACTTTTCTCAAAAAAACATATTGTTGTCAAACGTAGAGAAGTAGTGGAATAAAGTTACCATTACTGCAACTCTATCTTGTTCTACTTTGAAAAGCCTGATTGTACACCTTTTATGTAAATTATTGCTTATTTAAATAAAAAAACCATATTTTTGCTATGTAAGTGTAACATTTTTCATTGGCAGATGTTGGATTTCTCTAGATGGTGGGCTCATATGGGCCTTTGTTGCTCCTGTTATCATCGTCATCATTGTAAGCTGCTACCAGATTTTTCCAACTCATATTTTTCTCTTGAGGACATTTTTGATGATTTAAGTATTCTTACTGTCTCACTTTTAAAAGTATAACCCAAATTTAAAAAAAGCCAAATAAAAAAATGAAAAATGTAACAAAAGTAGTTGTTAACGGAATCTTTCTCACATATTCTCTTAACTCAATTTGTTATTTCTATCTTGTTGTTTACGAATTCATACAAAAGCAAGAAAGGCTTGTCCTGAACGTTGTTAATCTTCTGACGTCAGGTTTATAAATAGGATAATGATGTTAATCATTTAGCCATGATGAAGAAAATCGACCGTAATCTACCTATACGCCCTTTAATCTTTCTTCTTGCAAACATATTGTATGAACGACTATATAGATAATCTCATATGACTGCCTTGCAAAAGCTTAATTTAGTCTTTTTCAAAAATGCTAAGCAAGGCTGTCTTTTAAACGTTGCAAGTCATGTAGCTATTTACTTTTTTATCCAATAGATAAACTTCATTGTGCTGATCATCGTTGTAAAGATTTTGATGTCTTCTGTGAGCACGGTTCAAGTTGACTCGAAGACCAGCCAGGAAACAAACAGATCTACTCAACAAATAAAGTAGGCCTTACTATTAAAAAAATTCACTAAAACCTTTCTCGTGCGTAATTAGTCTTCATATTATTTAAGAATCGTATTTACGGCGTCTAGGTGAAGATTTCCCATAAAGAAGTACTGATGGTGATTGGTGTCACTGACTTTTGCTCCATGAATAAACCAGGAATGGGCTCTATAGTAGATGAATTGTTGTATAACGCCGACGTAAATCATTATTCCCCTTATTGTACACTAGACATTTGTGGCTTAAAATGATAATGTTTAAGATTTACTGACCATTTAGAACTTATTAGCTAAGATTTAGTCATTTTGGAAATACAGTCTAGTCAAGAAAAAACTTTTTTATGTGCCTGCATGGGGTTTTTAATTTGGCGTTTAACAGGCTTAAGGCAAGGTATCTTTTAAATACAGTAATTGATTATTAAGAACTCAAGTTGGCTCCAATAAAACAATTTATGAAAGCCAGAATAACAACAACTGGCTAAAAGTGTTTTGTCTAGCAAGTGGTGTGACAACTTTGTGGTAAAACTTTTGATCGTCGCATTCAAAGAGACTGGTGTCCTACTTTTGTAGTCCATCATTTATCCTTAGGATGCGGTTGTGATGCCCACGACCCTAGTGGAATAGTCATCTTTCAAAGATAAATGGGAGGGTCTCTGATGCCACAATTTCGTTAGTTACAAAAAATATATATTAAACCTGTGTATTTCATGATCTTCTATCTTTCTTGTCTTCTGCAATGTTATTATTATCGTTCTTAGAGCTGGAGCTAAAGCTATGGTCATACTAATGCCAATTCTTGGTTTATCTTGGGTGTTTGGCCTTTTGGCTGTAAACGAGGCCACCATCGTATTTCAGTACCTCTTCTGCATTTTCAATTCCATGCAAGTAAGTAGCTGAGACGGTTTTAGGACTTGTTTTTTCAAAGATGAAATTTTATAGTTATGGGAGTGCACAATTATTCAATTTTGACTAATTATTTTTGGTTTTGAAGCAATAAAAATGAATTGCTAAATCTTTTTGCTAGGGGCTGTTTATATTCTTAATTCACTGTGTTGGAAACAGTGAAGTAAGGTCAGCATTCAGAAGACTTCACGAGAAGCACACGGTTTCAAAAAGTATTGGAGAGAGGTCCTTTGCCAAATCCATTTCGAAGGTACTACTTAATTCATTGTCTCGTACACTATTGTTTGCAAAATGGATCATCATTTCCAGTTTATTTGTCTTTCATGCTCCCTCTCGACGGCCACTTTACCCGAAACTGTTTTGCATATCTTACGAGTAGGGAGCTGGAATTATTACCATGTAAGTCTTGATTATTATATTATTGATCATGCTATTTTCACAATTTTAACGACAGTCTGCATTGCCTTCACAAGTTGCAACGGAATTGCATGTATCGAACAAGCTTTTGTTCATAACCCATGTTCTAAGGTTTCGTTGCATTCCTACTGTGATCAATCACTTCTGTTCGAGTTATTTGAATAAGAATTCATCATAATCCACAAGAGGTTATAAATCTCTTTTTTCAATACACTTTTATGTTTGCTTTTGAGATTTGAGTATCATTTTTAACAGCACACTTTACCTTTGTCTGTTCTGTAATTCCTCCTGCAACACTCTACGTCCAGGCGCATTAATCCGCTAGAGATAAGATATTGACGTCAGAGTCATATTTCGAAAGGTCGGACTTTTCGTCTTTTTGTTCCACAAACATGGCCTGGAATTATGTTGCAAGATGTTCTGTATCCGAAGATCCCTTAAATGTACCGCGTATCAGAATCAAGTTTAAGTCCGTTTCCCTTCATTTAATGTCCTATAATCCAGGGGCGCAGCGGATCCTAATTTCTTAATGGGGCTTTGTATGGATCTCGCCCGAACGGGGTCTCCTACGCCTTAGTTTGTAACAGGTTATATTTTTAGAAAATTGAATGTTGGCGGTTTTTCAATAAAATCCTCATCAGGTAAAGTTCTTCTTTTGGAATGTTGAAGAATTAAAAACATTTAAAACATTTTTAGGCTATGGAACTGATGACCGACACTGTGATCGCACTTGTAAACGCGAAGCAAATACTAGCTCAACTTTTACGATAATGCGCTTTTGCTTCTTCATATAGGCGTGGTTTTATTGAATTCAGCAAGAGAGTATTCATGCTGTAAGGTCATTTCTTTATTGAGGAAAAGTCCTTCTCTTTTCTCTCAAGTTTCAAAAGCCTACAGGACTTGTACCTTTTGTGACATAGCACTGTAAGGACTTAAATGTAAGTTGCGATGAGGTCTCCGAACTACAGTCCCAAGGGTATAGGGTTCGAGTATATGCCATCATCAAACTTTCACCTGGAATTAAAAGAGTCACCAGCTCTCTGTAATTCCAAGGATGGGAACCACGAGTTGTGGTTACATCGAGTTGAAGAATGAGGGCCGCGCTTAGTAAGCTCAACTTCTCTGTCTCGTAAAACTACCTTTGAAAGCAAGGTAACAGCCAATGAAATGTTAGTTGAGTGTCAATTTTATGCTCTGTTTTGAGCGTCTGTTCAATGCTCTTTCAGTTTTTGAAACCGTATTTCTTGAGGTTCTTTTTTGGAACTCCATAAAATAATTTATCCTTGCATTTAATTCCCGTCAGAAATCTAAATCTGGTTCGCCTGGAGCGGAAATACTTGTAAGGCGAGAAACCCCTACGAGCAATGGTAAGATAACTGGAAGTACTTGCTTCAATCTAATATTCTCACATCTTAGGTTACAATTTTGTCCGTGAAACTATTACAATTTTTTAATTAATACGCCTAATTTTGCCTTGTCAAACATACTTAATGCTTGTGTCTTGAGCACCGTCTGGTTGGAATTTTTTTATCCAGGAATGACCTTTGAGTAAATGCGACCCAAAAAGCTGACGTCTTATCTCATAACCAGTCCTCGCTGTCTAGGCAGACCAATTGATTTTGTCGGTGCGTTGGTTCAGAGCTTTGTACATACTATGGCAACAGAACTCCAATTGTCTGTGACACAAGATGTTTGGTTACTATCTGGAGCCGATTTTCAACCATAAGATAGATAACAACACCCAAGATTTGAGATACAGTTCTGTTTTATATAAGCGTCTTCCGTTATTTATTAAATGGGCGTAAAGATTTAAATGAGAACTCACTCTATTGAATTTTTCTAGAATATAACATCTAGAATAAGAAGTCCAATTGTAAGTCAAGAAAAATTTCTAACGTACTTTTAAATAGGATGTTGAGCATTATTTTTGTCTTGTCAAAACTTTTTCAGAATCCTAGACTACCTTTTACTTTTTTACAGATGGCGAGAGAACGGTCACACCCAAGGTATAACTGAATATTTCCCTTTATATGATATGGATGTGTCTTAATTTGGCTTTCTAATTTTGCACTTTCTGATCACTGTCGGCCTGTTTGTTTTGAATCGAAAGTTGTTTTCAAGTTTAAATCGATCGTCTCAAGTAACGAAGCAGAAAATCGAATATATTTCTTGCTAATATTCCATGATGTGCAATTCATCAATGAAAGAAAGGCTTCTAGATCCTTGCCTAGAATCTCTTTGAGTTCACAGTGATTAATATGCGCAATTTGGAGAGCGAACATCTGTTCAGAATTCTGGGTTTTTGTGAGAAAATTTGGATACTTGACTGAGAATGGCCGTATATATGTAAGAATGTGCTAAATTAAGAATTTCTTATTGGAATTTAGAAGAGCAAGATCAAGAATTAGAAGCTGGAGTCATTGCTGTTGAAAAACATTTCAAGAGAATTATACCCATAGTTCCCTGTACTTACGATCTATATATCTATACTTATAACTAAATCTTTTCCAAAAGTTATACGTACCTATGAATGGTTCGCCCTTGCCACCATTTTGCTATTATGTTACAAAAGTAGGAGTTCTAGTAGAAGGCACTAAAGATGCGAAGATGACGTCATCTTTAGGTGTAATATTGCCTTGTTTGTTTTCCGTAGACGCTATCTGCAGGCCAGATATCACTGAATTCCTTGAACGCACCAACTTATAATGACCACTACTACACGGATGATGATCGTTAGCTTACCGGTAGGTTTCTACCTTAATTCATTGTAGTTTACCTTTTCTGTATTGAATTTTGGAAATAGCTTGTACGGATCTACGGATCATGAGGTTTTTTGACCGGAATTGACCTGAAGCTAGATTAAACTCGTGTGTCACAATGTATATTAACCATTTTAAGTTTTTAACGTAAAAAAGTCTGCATGCTTAAAACTATTTTTCCTTGGATGCCCACAAAATAGAAATCATGACAGCCTTTGTAAGTGGCCTTCTTTTTTTATCATTGAAAGTGAAGTGGCAGATAAAATTTTAGAAAATTTATCCTTTAAATTCTCCTCTCTTGCTTTAAACAACCATGCCCATTCTTACCGTGGCTAGAAATGAGCAAATTTAAGACGTAGCCTTATCAGTTTAGATAGTATCAAACGGATTAAAATGGTGGGAGGTGGCATACCTTCTGGTTTGAACTCTAGGTCAGTTTTTGAAAGTTTTTAATATCGGAACAGTTGTTTTGGAGGGTTGTTATATTTTTGAGAAAACCGATTTTGTATTGTGCGCTACATCAGAGGTGTGAAACCACGAGCTTTTTCAGTAAGCTTGCTATATCCCTTTGAGCAACAACTATGAGCTTTATACAACTTAGAAAGCGTCTTTGAATTCAAAATTTTCTAAAAAGATGCAGCAGAATATGTTTTGCGATACCGTGTGTAGCATTGATTGTACCAATATTACTTTTTGTCCAAAATATGTGGAGTTCAGGCTACTCCAACTGTGAATTCCAGCCCAACCCAGAAAGTGTCCTTAATCTTTAAATATCTGTTGGTCTTGTAAAAGACACTGTGTCTCTATGATGTATGTTACATGGTGTATTTTTAATTTCTGGCTAACGCAAGATTGATCTTTACGAAATTTTGAAAGCTCGAAAGATGGTTTTTATGATGCTAAATTATCGTCAATACAACGGTGGTAGATATATAAGAACCAGCAAATTGAAGTTCAGGCTGACTATTCTTAATTGTTTCGAAAATTTGAGGCTTGATTGTTCTTAATTTGTTTTTGATTTTTTTGTAAATCAATTCAGTTACAAAACAGACATTTTACAAAACTATACTCTGAAAGAAATATCTGCTTTACAACTCGGATACGATGAATGACTATACTCGGGATAAAGCAAGCTGAGTATTTATGAAAAATTTATGGAATTTAATGAAAAATCAAAAATTAAGGCCGCAAGCATAGGGCAGCTATAACTGAAATTTTTCCCTGCTTCATCACCGGTGCGGTCATTTACAATTAAGAATGGCAAGAAGAAAAAGAAAAATATTTTCAACACAATTAAGGTATTGCCGCATTCAGACATTAAACAATACAGGACGATAACAAAACGAGTGTTTTTTATTTTCGGGGGTATAAACAGTTTGATTGCTAGTTAGTGTGCTGTAAGTTGGGTTGGGGGGGGGGCGTTCAGGTCTTTTTCGACAAGAAAATGAGCGAGACATCCTTTATTTACTGACTTTTAAAATTACTGAAAATGGCATCCCTAGATGGCAAAAACTTCTCGTTTTTCAGATTTTTAAAGAGGTTCACCACATTGTTCAAAATTACATTTTAAAGTGGCTCAGTCTTTTTTGGTTCTTAAATGTTGATCAATTTTGAGGTTAATGTTCTTATTGAACGATTTCTATAAAAACAAGGGGTAGTTTTAATAAAGGTTAACGCTAGGACGCCTTACCAGGTGGAAAAGTAATATTGGCTGGTAGGAGCATGCTGTAATATGAGATTTTTTTCATCGGTTCAAAAGGATTGCATTGTTACCATCTTAAAAGAGTTATGTTATTTACAGAGTTCCACATACCGGTATGATCCTAGCTACGTCGGGTACACAATCGAAAAATGAGGATATAGAGCAAGACAACCAGCTACTTCTAGCCTAAGAAACAAAACTTGCCCCCAGCCTAGTCTACTCGTTCTTGCAGATTTAGAATTTTTTGCAAGTGAATAAAGCCAAACCTAATTTGGAGACAAAACACTAACAAACCTGGCAACCTAATTTTGCTTAAAATTATGGTTGGGTGAGGTTATCTTTATCAATTAAATTGATAGATATATGTGATCATATCTTCAAAACAGTTTCAAGGATTCGTTGAACACAAACTACCAAAAAGCTTAAAAGAGTTCGGGTTATTTTGCATCCAGATAGGGGTCAAAATTCTAGATGAGACCGAGCTTAATCACCTGTCGTTCGGTAATGTCTTATCCCCAGCTGGTGTTGCATTCAAGATTCCGTTTCTTAGCTCTTATAAATCTGCTTTGTTAATTCGCCACACAGGATTGCTAGAAAGAACTTCGATTTTGGTTTCTCTAGTTTTATGCTTCAGGACCTTCCAGTATGTAATTCAACAGACTAAGAGGTTATCTGAAATTTTTTTGGTATTCATTTGCAAAAAATTAATCTGGTTAAAATTTGACAAGAACGAAAAAATTAGAAGCAAAACTTAAGTGCGTGATTGAATCTGCAGATTGCTGTCAAATCAAGGAAAGTAAGCTCTTGATGTTAGGTATATTCTTCGAGATTAGAAGACCATCAATCGTATGAGAAACTTGAGCATATTTGATCGATTGGATTAACAAGGACTAAACGTATGGAGAAAGTGACTTAGCCAATGAATTGAATAATATCTATTGATAAGGCAGAACATAAGGTAACATAAACCTAATTTATGTTAATCCTTATAATGTCAGCAATACCTAATCTATTTGTGATTGACCTGCGTCATTCCCACTAAACATTCAATTTTTTTGACAAAGGGACTCCAACCAGGGGCAAGGCATTATTTTTTTGTAATAGTTTAGTTTTTGTCTTACTAATGGAATGGTAATAGAGGGTGGGGTAAGTATGTTTAAAAGGTCATGTGCTGTACAACACCCACTGTGAACACTGAATCTTTTCACTCTTGTTAAAAGCGTACGAGGATTTCACGAAAACAAAAGAATTTCCAAGGATTTTCAGATAAAAGAACACGATTTCCAGCAAAAGGACAAGTGATTCGCATGGAGTGACTCACCCCTCGCCTTTAAACAGTCAGAATTTATGAATCATCAAATAATAGGATTTATTATATGGAAAAAATGAGACGCATAATGAGTGCACTATCTTTATAAGAAAAATTTGGTAAGAACACAAGCCCTCAAAAATGGCAAATAATAAGAAAAATTTATTAAAGGCTTAGGCCAAGGTGCTGTAAAATGTCAGTTTCAAGAACTTTTGTTTGCATACGCTTTTCAATTGTTTGCATCTAAAGATTTTTTTATTTAATCTTTTGTGAATTGTTTCTAAAAGTATTTATCTGTAAGAAATTTCTTATTATAGATCTATGGAAGGATAATATAATTTATTGGCAACTCAAGGACGATCCAGGCGCAATAACAAATTAAGAACAGCCAACCTCTATTTACTGGCTCTAGTCTTCACACCAGAAGCGTGTACAACTCTGCTTATACGGCATCGAGTGAAGACTTTTTGGCAACTCGTTAAACAATATTTTTTCATTGCTGGCTCTTTATTAAAAAAGATTATATAGGAATAGCCTAAAAGTAAATTAGTATCATTATTAATTCAGCCGAGGAGATTCTTCGTTTTTTATTCTTTGTTAAAGTCCTTGCAGTTTAATATTGATGAAAATCGAAAGTTTAGTTAATTAAAAGGATAAGAGAACTTGCTCAATATAAGGTTTGACTGATCAGGTTTACAATACTTGAAAGGTCTGATCAAAGCAATCATTGTCGCCATTTAGTCAGAATCAAGTCATTGAACGTTTGCTATTCACGTTGATGAGCTATTATCAAAGCAGCTGATCAACACCAAAGACCTTCTGCAGTCTAAAAAGTCAAAGTCGGCCGTGGATTCCCTTTGCTTCTTTGTAACTCCTTTCATAAACACAAATAGGGGTTATTCATTCCCATAAACATGACCCCAGATAAATCTCTCGCCAAGGACAAATCTTCTCACCTAGAATCGAGCTAGGTTGCAGATTAGAAATCGTATATTTTAAGAGTTTCCATTAACAGGTTCTGAACTGTTAACGTTCTCATGCCTTGTATCTGAGATTCGGACCTTATTTTCATTTTGGCATTGCTCTGTCTAAAGATTTGCGGTCGAAGCCTTTTATTTAGGAAGAAAGAGAGCCCCCTCCCCCTTCCAAGATAATTTGCTCATCGAATAGAATCGTATATTGTATTTGTCAAGATATAAATTTGAATTGGACCTTTCTGCCTTTTTCTACGGTCATACTTCTGCTGAGATGCTGTCCATTAGATAACAAACTTAGCAGCTAATGTTTTCATTGAAAACTTACTGCTTTGTCAAAGTTCTAGACTTCCTTCCCAATCGCCTAAATTTAGATTTACCCTAGAGTGAGCAGGTAGCAGTTTCCTTCTCCTGAATTTCACAATATATAATTTTGCCTTTATTGTTTTCATTAGTGGTGTAGCAAAAGTTGCGACTGTTGATATTATTGCATTTTTTCTTGTAAAATTGTGCCAAAGCTAGCTCAAGCCACCCTTAAATTCTCTTATACAGCAATGTCATACAATCTGTCATCTTACCTTTTTATTCTACTAAAACACGAATAAATTACACGCATTTTCATTATTTTCCACGCATGAAGCTTTGAAGAGGCATAAAGAATTAATTATAACCTTTTTAGGAAAAAGGTTCCGTAACCCAAGTTGTCTTAACTAGTAATTCAAAATTTAGGGCTGGCTTTTGATCACCCTTAAAAGTACACCGAACTGTATGATGTTTGAAGTTAACTAGTAAATTACATGGTTTTCTCTATTTCCAGGTGGTGAACAGCTTTGGTCTTTGGAAGAGGATTCGGTCGATTGATAAACTTTTGGACATAACAAACTGACAGGTTTTTCATCATACGCTTTGCCACGAGCTGTTTGGAAATGTATGTAATGTAACAATATGTGTGCAAAGCTTTTATTAAAATCTATATGAATTATGCATAGAGCATACGTACTTTTGTATATACCATAAAATGTTGAGACCATCTGTTATTGAATGACTACGTCATTTGCCTGTTTTGACAATATTGACGGTATTGGCAAATTTGTCCATAATTCAATGTCCTGGCCCAATGAGGATGGAACAAAGCTCAGTTGCATCCCTTTCCTTCTCTATTGAAAAAAGGAGTTGGTTTCATGAATGAATAAAGATTAAATATTAAATAGATTACAGATTCACATAGATTAAAGATTGCTGCCTTCTTGTTATCTTTAGCTGATACCGATGATCAAACTTTCAGTTAGAATCCTTGAAGACGAAAGCTTAATTGGATAGATATAAATGACCCGTGAAGAGTCACTGGTTCGAAGCCTGCCGTTGTTGTGTCACTGGCTCATTTTTTCTTTAGGTATATTTTTCTAAATCATATTCTACTATCACTGAAAAGATAAACCATCTTGGTCTCTCGTGTCAAGCAAATCATCTCAGCCCTACATCTGGATAGTTTTGGATGAAACCTCGTAGCCCTTTGCGCTTCGGGCGATTAATGACATTCAGGCAATAGTCTATTTCATAGCACTTGTGGTAGAGTAATTTGAAAAACATCAGCTATTTCACACTAAGAGTAAGCACTGTCTTTGAAATTTAACTTTTAATTATGCATCGGCTTCGTAACATTGGACTTCTACACCTCGCAACTCTCTCAACAATCTTAATCAGCTAGCTTTTAGCTCTGCCAAGCAGTACACTGAGAATGCGTGAGGAATAATAATTATCTACCCTTCTACACACTTATAGGGTGGGGGGTAGAGATTTTCAGGGAGTTTGTAATCTGCCAATGTTTGCCTGTAAAGATACGGCGAAAGTTTTCTTGCTAAGCTTTCATTTGTGCTGCAGATTGATCTTTGCTTAGTTTGTGGAAATTTAATTTATTGTTATTTTGGACCCTAAATATATTGGTTTAATCGGTATTTCTAAATTGAGTTTAACTACATGGAGAATTATGAATGATAATAACAGGATAAGTTCAGGACCGTCGAGAGGGGGGGGGTAACCAGGGTAGTTACCAGGGGGCCCGGGGCCTTGAGGGGCCCGTAGAAAATAAGGTATGTATTTTTGGCTATGAGTTTTCAATTAGCAGCATTAGTAGGGCGGGCCCATGACCCGATTGATATTCGAAATTTAATCTTTTAACATGGGATCAACAAGCTGGTCTATGATGAGGGCCTTTTCTTGTTATGGTCTATAATTAAAACATTGACGATACGATCATAATATACTTCTCCGGAAGCCGAAAAATTCGATTGCACTTTCATATATCTACTTTTAGGTAAAATGTTTTAGTTATTCCTTGTGTGGACTTCCTATAAACGTAAAAGTAAGATACAATAAGGAACTTATTTCATCTTGGTAAAAGTAAATCTTCCATTCACGGCGTACACCAGAGAAGAAGCACATGCGAAGAACCAAGACAAATCCAAACGCTATAAAAGTCTTCATCAAAATCACTAAACGGGATCACGATCCAACCAACCCCTGCGATGTCATCTTACAGGCACAAGTCTGAGGCTCAGAAAAGGCAGGAAAACAAGATACGAGAAAAAGAAGCAAAGAAGGCCTCTCGCACATTGTTTGAGGTAGGTGCTTACAAAAGAGACAAGGAAGGTGATTTCAACTTTCAATAAACCTGGCGAAAGCTCTGTTCAAAGCACTGCTGAAGAAGAAGAAGACACAAACGGCTTGGCTGCTTCGGTAGACCATGACACCACAGAAAGTAGAGAAAGCACTACTGATTCATCATTAAATCAAGATAATGTTCATAGTGGATCATTTAGTTTTGATGTCGGCACATTGACCGGATTTCCAACGATAAAGGAGTTAGAAAAGGTTGTTAAAACTGGTCATTTGCCTCATTCTCCAGAGTTTCCCAAAGATTGCGACGGCCACGAATTTCCAACAACGGTCCTAAACGTGAAGCAGCAAAATGGGGAGGTAGTAAGAAGCTGGCTTGTTTTCAGTCCTACAAAGGCTGCACTCTATTGTTTGCCATGCAGGTTGTTTGGGCTGGGCACACTATTAATAATGGTTCAAAATCAAAATTGGCTTCTCCTGATGGTTAGGGAGCGAACGACAGCTGGAAAAGATTGTGGGAAAAGATTAAGGATTTCGCCATAAGGAAAGCAAGAAAAGCAGTTTTTTAAACATTAAATTAACTCTGATTTTTAAACTGATTTGTTTTAATGATTTGTTTTATATAGTCAACAACAAATTCAAGTGTTTCAGGGGCGTTGATTTCGAAATTCATGCCTTTTACAGTCCATCTAACTGCATTGCTAAGGGCGTAACCCAAAAAAGGTTTTTGCAGCCTTCGATGGTGGGGCCCCATGACAGTCCCAGCCCTGGGGCCCGGCTCGTCTCTCGACGGCCCTGGATAAGTTTGAAGCTGCAATCGTTATTGTTAAATTATTCATTGATTTTCTTCTAGAGTAATTGTTCTTTTGTTGAAAGGTGTCTGTCTGTTGTAAGTTGCTTGCCTAGTTAAAGAATTGCAGAAAGTCATGATACATTGTCTTTTAACTGCCCGCCGTTCGATGTTATCCATAACTGAGGGGTTTAAGTTATTGTTGGGTGTCCGTTATTGGGAGTTGTCCATATCGGGAAGTGCCCATTGTTTGAAGGTGTCAAGTTTCGAGAGGTTGTCCGTTGGAATTAAATGCTTTTCCTAAAACCTTCAAGTTTTGCCTATGGAAGGTTCAAGTTTACTGCATCACCAGTTTCGAGTTAACCATTATTGATTCTTCGCCAAAACACTCATTTTTGTTTAAGATTTCATTAAAATCATTACAAATCTTACATGCTCAAGACCATTTCAATGAATAGGGGCTGATCAAGCTTTCTGTCGTTTATGAAGGCTTTTCCTGAATAACATTTAGGTGAAACAATGTTTCTGCTTTTCTGCGCTATTTGGAAATATGCGTGAGCTGATTCCTATCACTATGCCCTGTTCTGTTTGGATTTTGGCCTAACAACGGTAAAGGTCTTGCGTGATGAGAAAGGTGTCAAGTTTCAGATTGAATTTTTCTTTCCTCGTCAGAAGCTGTCCCCCTCAGAAGATTGTCCATTCTCAAAAATGTTATGGTGGCTTGCTTGTACTGAGTTGCTGCTCAGTACGTATGTTTGAAAGACATTACCCCTGCGTGGTCCATTTTTCTGTCACATATAAGGGGATATTCAATGATTATGCCACACTAAAGTTTCCTTTTTTGAACCAATTTTCCAAATTTGTTTTATATCAATACTCTTTGAGGTCGTACTTTCCCTGTTCTGCCATGTTTTTCATCACCAGCCGTGTTCTTCAGGGGTTCCACTTTTATGAACAATTTCTGGAATACTACCTTCCTCATCATCAAAGTCGACGTCATTGATAGCATGCCATTCGGGCTCTTGAAACACCATCGTACACAGCAATTCCATGGGCTCCGACACAGGTTGGAAAAGGGGGAGGGGCAAGGAAAATTTTAGCACCCACAACAAAAGATTTTGCTCTACTGTTTTGCAAAAAAGCTCTACTGTTTTGCAAAAAAGCTCTACTGTTTTGCAAAAAAGCTCTACTGTTTTGCAAAAGAGTTGGGACCATGCTCCCCTCGTCACCCCTTCCCCCTTCGACAGAGGCCCTGAATTCTCTTTGGCGGTGGACTGCTACTCTTTGAGGTCGTACTTTCCCTGTTCTGCCATGTTTTTCATCACCAGCCGTGTTCTTCATCGTGAATCAAGGATCACCCACCGCCCCAATCTGCTGTGACGTGATTTTTGAACAGCACCAAAAGATGCCTTCAGTGTACGAAATTTTCGAGAGCGGACAGTTCTCTCAAACAATAAAAGCTAGGGCTTCGAAGGTAATAAGGTCAGTGAACGAAAATACCTAGATGGCGTTGACTTAGTTCGGCTTATGAATTCAAAGCAAAAATATGATAAGAACTTCCTTCAGACAACAAAAACTCTTAACCAAAAGGTTCTTTGAAAAACTACAAGAGTGAAACCCAGGAATGTACATCTCATCTTCGGCCATGTCTCCAAAAATGACCGTAGATAAGCATGCGTTTAGTAGACAGAGGCTAAATCCAGAGAAAATGGTTGGCGCAGACGACGATATCTTTGCAGGCACGTGGGAACCAGGGACGGGCTGTAGCCCCTCACTTTTTGCTGAGGCGTGATAATAATGTTGTGGCATCAATGGCAGAGAAACTACTATAGTTTATCAATTGTTCTAGAGCCCCCTTCCCGCCCCAAAATCTATTCCAGCGTCCCTGCCAGAGTCCAGAAAACACGGCAAGACAAAAATTTTAGGCCACGTCCTTTTACCGCCAAAAGAATACTGAAAGGGAAAGCTTTTCGTGTTCCGTGGTTTTGTTTTTTTTAATTTATATTATAGCATGTTTATATCGATTTTATTATTCGACATTTAAAAGAATTATTCTTAATCTGTAATGTTTCAACTGTTATTCTAGCAAAGTTTTATCGTAAGCGATATTTACTATCAACCTAAACACATAATTTTGTCTCTATTTATAGCATCTGTCACCCCTTATGACCATTTATAGCTTCTCCCTAGCCACGCCCTATCCACGGAAAAATTTCGGCCGGAGAAAGGTTAAGGATTTTTCTAGACTCTTGTCCCTGTTTTGATAGTATTATCATCAGTGCTACGTTTTGAGACAATAGTTTGACGCTGGAGTTTAACCTTTTGAGAATTAATATGGCAATTTAATGTTCACCACCTTTGTTCACTGAAGCAGCAAGGGTAGGTAAATAGTAAATCGTTGAAAACGCATTGTTTTCCATTTGAAAGGACACCCTTCAACTGGGGCGTGGCGCCTCAGCGTTTTCCCTCAAAAGGTGTTTTTAAAATCTGTGATCACCTGGAATTTTTCGAACATACGATAAACTGACGTGGCAATACAAGTGGAAACTTTATTTGAGACTAAGCTGGAGTGATTGAGGTAAAAAATGACAAGTTTGTACTTGAATAGCTTTCACAAATAATTTATTACTGTGCTTACATCCAGATAATTCAGCATATCTATGTTTACAATACAAGAGCTCAATCTTCGCAGCAACTTTCCCCAAATAAAATAAAAACATTATTTATAATCAATCATACTGACACTGTCCGGTAACATATGAATATTAGTAAAATTAATTTAAGCCTTTTTAAAATACAACTCTTCCTGAGAACCCTGTATCTGCTTCTAACGTCTGTACACAGCAATTGTCTGGCAAACTTTGTTCAACTATATCTAAAACGGTGCAATGATGGGGTTTCGCCACTGAAATTTACTTCGGCCTAGCCTATACCAATCTAGTGTAGGTTACAATATGATCTTAGCGAACTGGTTACCAAATAAAATATGACCAGGGGAAAGGGGGGCTGCTATTCAAACCAGCAACCGAAAAAAGTCGAGGAGATAGATTCTTGAGAAATCCAAGCGGTATTGAATTGAAATTATTCTGGAGTTTTTTCAAGAAGTCATTTCAAAATGGAGTCGAACTTTTCCCATGTGCAAAATTCGTCGTTTTTGGAGGTGAAGCTTATGTGTTAACATGAACATTAAATCTGCCCTTACTTAAGGTAATTTGCAATTGGGAACCTCAACTCCATATGTTTTCGAAGGACCAAATTCTAAGAACCTAAGTACGTCACAAAGGCTTTTAAAATAATTTTTTCTACCCTTAAAATATAAGAACTATGTCTAAAAGGTTTTTTCTACAATCTTTTCATTCAGTTCGCCCCTTTCCTTGTCAATTTTTTTTAACGTTCCTTTGTCTTTCGTCTTCTTGGTATGGCTTGCTAAAAAATTTCAGTAGCACGCTTTATGTAAATTGGTGAAATTTGAAGTGATGTTGGATGCGGTGGGTGTTTTCAATGCTTCAATGACTGCTGGTTTCGGATAATTTTCTTAAACATTCTCCTTATGTAGTGACCAAGCTTGGAACTATGTTTACTCGATGTTTTTCGCACAAATCTGTCTTCGCCGTTGAAGTGGCCCTTCCAGTCATTTGCACAGGTCGTCGTCACTGACGTCATCATCCATCTGGAGAGCAGTGTGGCTTCTCCTTTGCAAAACTGGTATTGTCCAGTCCAGACTTTCGTCGATCCGTCCTAAAAACAAAATTATTCATGTGTCGTTCACAACATATCTGGGTCGTATGAAATTTATAATTTTATAGGTTCTCAGAACTGTTCCAACGACCATTGGCAGACAAGTCAAGACCTTTCTTCGAAGGGTGAAACATTAATCTAGATGATCTTTGATTGACTGTTATATTCTTTGGTGAGCCAAGAGTACGCCCCTGTTCCCAGCTCCCCGATAGGCAAAGCTACCACTGTTTGTACGTCTACTCTACATTCCAGTGGTCAACAATTTTTCTTGCAACGCTGTTTATCGTGAAACCAAATCTTGCTAAGAATTTTTAATACATTCAAAATTTTGGCTTTTCTTTATCACAGGCCCTTAATCTGGATAATTGCCGGCGGCAAATGTGTTTGCCCGGCAGGCTTTAGATTTCTTCAGTGACCCTATTGCAGATTATGTTGGCTGATTCTCGTGAAACTTTAACATATCGCACCTTGTAATAATCTACGAATTTTGGACCTCACGACATTCATAAGAATTTAAACTACGCGTATCTTTTTTTATAAGAAACTAGGGTCCAGTGCTGGTAGTATTGCAATATACAGTGATGTCAAAACTATTTCGAGTGTCAATTCGGAAAATTGAAACTGCAAATTGAAGTTTTTTTAGCTTTGTTCAATTTGGGTAGGGCTGTTTCTTAACTTTCGAAAAATTGAGCCTGCCGTTTCTTATAACCTGTTTCTGATAAATAAAATGAGCGTATAGGCCTAAATTTATTTCTAAAATCATTCTTAACTTAAAGGAAACGATGGGTATATTCGTCAAGAAAAGGGAAAAAGAAAGGAAGCCTTTCAATGTTTCCAGTCTATTAAGGAAAGCTCAAAATTTTGAGAATGCTCATATAAATAATGTTGACGAAGTTTGAGGCTGGCTGTTATTCCTGGTTTATTCTTTAACCGTTTTGAGCTTCAATTGCTTTCTTCACTTAATTCTTATAAAAGAAAATGTGCCTGTCCTTCTAACAAAACTGCCTTAGACAGATGTCATTTTTGGTTGTTTCCCAACTGTTTAAAACCCTTCCTTAAATAGACATTTTAGATCGCTCTCCCACTTGCCTAGCTAAAACCAATGGCATACAAAACGTAATATACAAAAACATTTTACGATTTTGCCATCTTTGGTGTGCTCAGATTTTCAGTGCGAGTGATAATTTTTGCTGACCAAGTCATGCACTTAGTCATTTATAGGCCAAAGTAGTTCGATAAAACTTGATTTTTTATTTGCTGTTACCTTCATAGAAACGACAAAACCAAATGTTGATGGTTTTCCTTTTCCCGCTTGGCCATGCAACGGCTGGGTTTTACTATCAGGGGAAGCTTCGCTCAAGTCCAAATATGTACCAGTCAGTGTCCCATCGGCATTGTGTTCCAGTTCGACAGTTACACCACGTTCAGATACCCATGTGCCACTGAGTGGGCAGCATTCGGCATCACCAGGTTTCTGGGCTGAAAAAAGGGAAGATTCTTTAATTTACTAAAGGCTCTGAAGCATGGGCAGCATCTCGAGTCTTATGTTTAATGGTTGATAAACGAATAGACTCAGAACATAAAAAAGGGTCAATTTGCAAAGAATAAGAGCAATGTGAGAACATAACATAAGAAATATAAATATGGGAAACTTTTGCCATTAATTAGTGTCATCCCAGAAGAGGCACGGGAAAGCAGTCAATGCAGTCAACGGGGACGTAGGATGGAGGGGTGCGGTGTTGTTTTTAATTAGGGACTCATGTAAGTTAGAGCAGTAGCAGTGGCTGCAGTTGTACGGGGGTTAGGGGGCAGTTGCTGATAACAGTCTTCATGAAAAACGAAGGGCCTTTATAATAATTAACAGGGAAACTCGCGATTGTGAAAAATTGGAGAAAAGGAAACCCTGGGACCCTTTTTTCGTATTTTTTGGTAACAGCTCTATGAATGTAAAACCACACTAATGTTACAAAAAAGCATATACTGCCAAGAACATTTCGATTGAACCAGATGGATTAAGTTGGTTGCTGTCAAATAATATATTGATGAAAATTGCATATTTTTTCCTTACTTTCTGTGGGCTGCTTAAAGCAACAAATGGTTCTCGAATTGTTAAAACCATCTGGCAAAGAGCCCTAAAAAGATTTCTGGGTAACAATAACAGCCCTTTGGCTTTACAAACTTTTAAGACAATATGGCTACATGAAAAATTCCCGTGGTAGACAAAAAACCAAGAGCCCAACCAACAACTATATTTCACAACATCAACTGCGGACAAAAAAATTTTCCCAGAATTTGTACAGGCGTTGAAGTTAGAGAAACCTTTCCCAATTAAACTTAATTTTCACTGAGTTACTTATTGGTCACAAACAGATCAGTGCATAACGTATTTCTTAAAAGCATACCTTGGACGAACATGCCAGAGCATAAGCAATACAGGGTTGACAAAATGATAATGGTCTTCATCTTCGGGCTTCAAGAAAGCAATAAAAAATATGTTAGACTAGTATATTTTACAATGAACCTGGAATTGAATAACAATGCTAATTAGATGTTTCTCTAGTTGAGGGTTGTGCAAAAGAACTTGCGGCAAATATACCGAATGAGCGGTTGCTGAAAGATATTCACTGTTAGTGGGATTAATCAAACTAGATTAGAAATGCCAAGATTAATATTTCCTGAAAGCTCTGCAATCCCCTTTCAAAACCCCATCGCACAGCCCTCGAGGAACTGCTTCTCTCCACTCTCAATTTACAATTGAGATATGTATTCCTTGACTTCACGTGATGATCGTATGATATGATACCATATTTTGCAGTCATCTCAGAAGTCTAGATAGTGGCAATTTGAGACCCGCTTTACTTTTGCAGTTTTCAACATACCATTTTGGCTTAACTTATCAGGTCTAAATGATGAAATTATGGTCAACCTTATTGCAAATTGCTAAATTTAGCATCGCTGTCAACTCGTTCTACTAAACTTCAACTGCAAGGTGACAAAAACGCTTATAAAGATTTTCCATGTGCAACGTCATAGGACCGTCTCGCTTTCATAATCAAGTATAGAGCTTGATATTAATTGAAGAAAAACACAACCACAATCATGTAACTGCATAGAAAATAAAAGAAAAAAGAAAATTTTGCATGTGCAAAAATAATAATATACAATATGAGCCTGAAACTACACCTAGGATGTTGTTGAAAAGTTATTTTTGTCCTGCCATTTTTCCACATGAAGGAGAAAGCGAAAGCTGGAAAGCATGGCGGTTGCAAGCTGAAGTTCAAAGACCGCTAGTTAGTTGAACCCGAGAGGCAAATCACTCCAAGGAAATCTCGTACACCTTTGGTGGAAATCCTATTGTTTTATCTAAATAATTCTCGAAAATCCTTTTGTTTTAGGGAAAATCTCGTACGCTATTTGCAAGAGTGAATTGCCACTCGGTTGAACCAAGATAGAAATGCAAAGGCAGAAGGGAGTTGAGGGGACAATGCCCCCAATCATTTCCAAAATGTATTCAAAACCATACCAAAATCGCCTGGCATTAGCTTTTAGAATGTTTAGCCCCTCTATCCGTAATTTGTTCTGCGGTCTTTGGTTACGATTCAAGAAAAAAGGAAATTGAGTTTCAACTTTTCTTGTTTTCTTTGTATCCTCTGAAGGTTGAAGATATTGTCCGGAAAAAAAGGAACACTCCTGAGGACTAAATCGAGTGCATTTGCATGGGGATGGGGTACAGTCGCAAACCGTCTGTACATGGTGAAATTGGGTCGGAAATATGGAATTTTGCACGTAAGTACTTTGATGACTTCCGCTATTGCTTATCTAGAGATTATGCAAATAAAAACTTCGATCTATGTAATAAGCTTTGGCGCTTTGTTCTGTAGGGAAATTGCGTGCATGAAAGGGGCGGCAAAACTAACGGTAAACTAGATCGTGACGTAAGATATAGAACCAGACCACCAGACTGTGTCTCGACAAGGAAATCGTTCGATATCTGCTGTTTGTCGTACGATCAGTCAAGCCGGGCTGCAACTAAAGAGCTGCGTCGTTGAGGTCCAAAAGCTCTGAGTGATAGTGTATCAGAAAGATTTCAACAACAGAGAAACTAGCGATGATCAGAATTCAAAATTTTGTAAAATAATCCTTTAATTTCGAATCATCTGAAACGAAGCTCAAAAGAAATAAAACTATCAGTGACATTCAGTGCCAAGAGCTAAAAAATCTACCGATTGGGAAGGGCCTGTAATTACGACCCTCGTTCCACAACAGATATAACAAGTCTTACCGATAAGTATTTCGCCCTTACTGATATAAACTGATTGATGTAAAGTGATTTTCGTTAAGAGTTGGTTGCTGTCCTAACAATAACATAGCTTCACTAGATAGAGTTTCTAATGAATTTATCAATTTTCGAATCAATAAAACTTATTCACGATGCTTCAGACAAAAACTCCTCTTTCTTGCGGTTGTGTGGTAAATATTTAAAAAAGTATGAAAGAAAGTTTGTTATTAATCCCAGTGAACTAAGATTACAAAATCCGTCTAACCAGCCCTATAGCTGACGTAAGACAGTTTGGGTACCGGATGATTCCACACGCTGTTCTGGGGAAAAAGCACATGGACTTAAATACCGTAAATCCTCGAATTAACTCCCTGGCGGCTGATCTATTTTTATATTTTTGGATGGGGGCTTATTCGAGGGGGGGGGGCTTATACGAGGGAGGAGGGGCTTAAACGAGGGGGGCTTATTGACTTATTTTAGACATTAAGAAGACATTATTCAAAGACCTCGTTTATTTTAGTAGGAATTTCTTTTCGAGCATTCAATTAATTACTACCAAAAGATGAATTTGTTATGGTAATTTAATAAAACGCAATAGGCAACCTCAGACGGCAAAAATCATTAAACGAAGGGGTCCAATTCGAGAATTAACGGTAGCAGTGGGCACTTATTCGAGGTGGAGGGGGTTATTGATAATTTGTAGCACTAGGGTGGGGGCTTTTTTAAGGGGGGGAGGGCAATTCGAGGATTTATGGTAAGCAATGTTTCTTTGTCTGGCTAATGGAAAGGTTAATACGTATGTTAGACAGGCTCGATAATATTACTGGGAATGCTAAATGAAGGGTAAAAACCCCTTATGACCGCAAACGTTCGCAGATTAATTTCGGCAACGGGAGGAAACCGAAAATCCCCGCGCCCATAGAATAGCAAAGAACCTGGTTTGAGGTCAAGAGAACTTTTACCGGGGTTTCCCATCAGGGCCTGGCAGAGTCCAGTCGATTTGAGGGTCTTACAAAATGGCTACAAAATCGAGGGGTAAATCACTCCAAGAAAATCTCGTACACCTTTCGTGAAAATCCTATTGTTTTAACTGAAAATCCCCAGAAATCCTTTTGTTTTAGGGAAAATCCCGTACGCTATTTGCAAGAGTGAATTGCCCCTCGTACAAAATAGTCCAGTTTCGATAATAATAATACTACCACTTAGTTTATTTTGCGATTTATTATAGAAAATTAACAAAATCGAGCACAAAGAAATGGATGCTACCAAGGACATAATTTCGGTTCTTATTCTACAATTTGAGGGTTATCATTAAAAGACTACCATTTGAGGGTAATTTTTTAAAAACTTTAGCTTTGGCCCTCTTTGACCCTGACTGGAACACCTTCTATTAGGCCATAATAGGATTACCCACCCCCCCACCCCCTCCGTATTTTAAGATAATCACTGGAAAATTCAAGATAGTGTCCCTCAGAAAAACCAGTAAATAAGAAACCTAGCTCGAATAAAGTTTTCTCGAGTGGTGGCCCAAGTTTGTTTCCCGCAGAGTAACGGTTGTCGAAATAACTATTTGCTGGTTACATGATGACAGCTGAGATTCAGCCCTGCTTTAGTGTGAACACGTGAAGGATTCGCTCCACGTGCCCATCGAGTGTCTTCCGATTGAAAACGGAACATCTTTCCGAGGATACGCCCACATTTGAGACCTGCGTATAATGTGCTTGTTTACGATTTCACGATACCTCTCAGAAATTTGCACTAGACCTCTCAGAAATTTCTTCAAATGAAAGAAGTGTCGAACAATTTTCCGTTCTCTCCTTGCAATCCCTTGCATTCTTTATTTTCTCACAGAAAGCCTTAACTTTGAAAAATAATCCTAAAGGAAAACTAAAGTCTTAAATTACAATTGGAAACTACATGCAGCCTGCGATGCCTTGATTTGGTCATGGCGCATGAAGAGGAAGAGGAGAGTCTGTGTGAAAACCCCACGGGTAGGCACCTGGAGCCAGAGGTGGCGCCAGAAATCTTCCGACAGAGGGGTTGGAGCTTCCAACAGGGGGGCTAATATGACTAAAATGAGCAGTTTTCGTACGTTATTTTGTCAAATTTGCTCCGATAATAACCTAAAATTCCTCCGATGGGGTGAAAGATGCTTCCGACGGAGGGGCTGTAGCCCCCCTGGCCCTCCCCTGGCGCCACCACTGCCTGGAGCGTTTTCCGTCTCTAATTTTACCCCAGGGCCCGAGCTCATTCTAAACTGCTTTACCTATAACGGGTAGCAAGGGAGCGTTTTGTGAACCGAAATATGCAACAACATTCATTATTGGGTGCGATATTTCAAGCCTTGCCTAGATCGGACACTCGAAGTCACAGACCAGTTTCGGCTTCGTCAACATAATCCTCTTACAAACACACAAGATTGAAGAATTTCTGTAGGATTCTTTAAGAAGTCTACGACTTCCGCTCGATCCTCTGTTAAAGATTATATTGCATTGGTCTTTTATATTCTATTGTTGCCTTGAAAAGGCAGCATTTCAAATAATTTATCCTGAAGCGTCAACATTGGAAATTTTTTAAACCATCCTAACGGATCGGCAAATATTAAAACGGTGCTTATAAGAAGAAAATTCTTATCGAGCACTTCCTCTTTTAATACATTATTGCTAAGCATTATTGTTCATGCATCTATGAATAAATATATATTTTTTCTTTACGATTTTTTTCAAGACTTTAATGATTTGAACCCAATCAGGAAAAAAGTCTTTAACAAGTTTTGCTTATGAGATTGGTCAAAAATATTCCGGATAGGTAAATTTTTTACAGTGATTGATCGACTGGATGTAATTCGAAACAAACCCCGACATAAGTATCGACTTTAGTTGATATAAGCGTCAAGGAAAAATTACGGATTTTTCTTTTACTCTTGCGAATCTTACAATACGAAAGATCGACATCAGCAATTCAAGCAAGATGTTTTTTTTCTCTTGCTGTCACATCACCAATAGGCAATTAGCACGAACGTCTCTAGCAGCTTTCAAATCTCAGTGACAAATAACGAATAAAAGTGGTTTCGAGTGTCGTGACCTGACACAATAAATGTAAAAGTCTCACATGTGAAAGAATGATTCTGACTACAAAGAAAGAAAGTATAAATTTAGGCGTAAAGTATCTTGTCTACAGACTTAAACGCATTAGTTAGACAGATACAGAAAAAATTTAAAATCACCTTTGGTGTTGGATGTGCTGTCACCCGTTCGTCTTTGATTCGTGAAAGAGGAAGATTGTTCACATGCCTGCGGTTATATGGATGTCGAAATGTTGTTGTGTTGTACATGACATGCCGAGATGACTGTCACCATAATCATAATCATAACACACATTTGTCAGGAATTCTATTTTTGTCCAGGATTACATTGTTGAGACTAAAAAGACCTTAAACGGTACCATAAGAGGTGCGTTTGTTATAACGGTACCATAAGAGGTACACTATTGACTGACAATGATTAATCTTTCGTCATAGTCCACTTAAGGAGGTTCAAGAGCACCGAAGGCTTGAAAATTCATTGTATCCTCAGAATTCCAATATAAACAAACCTTTGTGGGGAAGGATACAAATGTTGATCAATCCGAAATTCATTGCATTGCACAGTCAATAGTGTAACGAATTTAAAAGTAGCGATAGTCCATTCTAATTTTCCACAGCTTTTGGAAAAACCACTTGAAAACAATAGCTAGCGGCAGGCCTGCAATAAGTGGTGTAGTGCTATAAAAATAACAAGGGGGTGAGGGGGGTGGGGCTCTTGCACAAAATGTTGCGAAAAAAAGCAGCAAGAGTAGAAATTTGCCAATTTTTGGTATCAACAAGGGGGACTACCCTAGCTCTACACCCCTGCCTGTAACAGATGCTGTAGCTTATTTGTTTTCCATTTCACTTGACTCGATGTAATTAATAAGTAAGTACTTACAAAAAGATTAACATTATTCAACATAACATGCATTTTTAATCTTAGGTACCTTAGGCCTCTAAGCCAAATAGTAAGACTAGTCAATATGATATTTAAACACCGGCACAGATAAAGTTTATTTCTGAAACAAGAAATGAGCTTTTTAGTGGGGGGTTTCTATCGATTTATAACAAGGAGAAAGCACTAGAGAAAATCTTGAACTTTCACTCATATCGATGCCTTTTTGCGCTTTGGTTTGTATGCACATCTGCTTCCAGACCTCACCTCAAAACCTGATGACCTTCCTATACATAATCCTACAATATCCCCTCTCTTTGCTGTAATTTGCATAATTTCATTTATAATTAGTTTTCTGATAAAGTTTCACTCGCTGTCATTAATTTTGGTTTTGGATAGTTGCATGTTTTATGTTGAAATTGCAGAGAGTTATAAATTGAAAGAAAAATTTATCGAATTCGTTCAGTTTGCTTTCAAACAAAAGATACTCATTGCGTAATCGTTGGTTTAACAGATTCTTTTCGGTTATTCTTTTCTATTATCTCGTCGTTTGGACCTTGACACCGTACAACAATACTAACTATGCATTGTTGCAAAGTTAGAAAACCTCTACTGCCGTTATCTGCATGCCCACCTTAGCTCTTATAGTCTTATCGTGCACTATGAAATTTCACCAGGGCCATCGAGAACCATACTAGGACCAGCGGCAGGCCCAGTCATTGGGCCCTATCACCCAAAAGCACTCACACATAGCTAAAAATCCTCGTTTTTGAGATAAAACTTTGTTCCAAATTGCATTTTGCAGAGACTCAGCCTCAGCTTTTTATTAATTTGCTCTCAACTTTTGACTTGTTCTTATAAAATTGTTCTTATAAAAACTGAGTGCAATAATGAAAACATATATTTATGTAATAATGAAAATATATTTTTATAGGTATGCATACACAATAAGATTTATTTGGTTATTTCAACGCTAGAGGCACTAAATGAGAATTCAATAAGACTGTCTTTGATTTTTTCATCAGAAATGACAAATTGATTAAAATGACTAAGAGAAGATTCAAATCGATTCAAATTTTGGCTAATCTTTGGTTATTGCTCAACGATCATTCTCTATTTGACGTAAATAACAGTGCTAACTTATTTAAAGACATGACTCATCAAGTTTCTGTGGTGACGCTTTCAGTGATGCAGTGGTTTTTATGTATCTCTCCATTCCACAGCTAGCTTGATTTCTGTACTGAAGTAAGAATGCATTGCGTTTTCACCAAGATCACCACAACAGTGAGTGTGCCCCACCTTTGCCTAGATCTTGATGAAATGGCCGACATCCTATTATCTGTGCAACTCAATCAGGGTTTTGGCCAAGGGGGCAGGAGGCCATATCCCCCCACTTTCCAGTAAGACATTTGATAAAGAAACAGTTTTTACTCCATGACCTTTCCCTTTGCATACTTTAGCAGGGCCGTATTTACGTCCCGTTGGGCCCTGGGTCCAAAGTTGATTGGGGCCCTTTAAAATATACCAAGACATTTCTGTCACGTGCACAGTACTTGGCTAAACATAATCAAACATGATCAACCAAATATAAGGCATGAAAAAACTTGTATCCATTTCGCATTTCAGTACATTCCCAATATAACTACCCAACTGCTGAAAACTTTTACTGCTGAAAACAATGATTTTATCGGGGTTTGAAACTCCCAGGACATCAAAATATGCTGCCGTTGAACATAAGCAAACAACGCGCTACTGTCACTTTGTGGACCTCAGTTCACACTCTTTTTTGTTTACCCTTTTCAGCATTGTGAAACATTTTTCACCAGAGAAACATCTGTATTGCAAATTGTACAACAAACTAAGCGCAATCATTGCATTGGGAAAAGCTCCAGCCAGGACAAGCCAAAGTTTCAAAAGCCCTGGGGTAAAAGCAGAACATGAGGCCCCCTGCGAGCTGAGCGAGCTGAAAATTCTTGCGACCACGCCCATTATTCCATTTTTAAAATGACATTCATTACTTTACGAGGCCCCCTAACTTCATTCAAACACAAGATTGAGATCAAGAGCATTTTAAAGGCTTTTAAAATTTTGCACGGGGCTCCTTAATTTTGCAGTGGGCCCATGGGTAAATGGGTCACTGTACTTTAGAGTAGCCTTGATTTCAAGAGCCATCGTGCAGTCAGCTTTCAACAGGAGAGTCGATCATGAAGTATTTAATATGGTTTTCAAGTTGTTTATAAATTGGAAAAGTGGAGTTGACAGGTAAAGGCCAATCTACCATATACTGACTCTACGAGTCAAGTGGCCTTAAAAATTTGACCGCAGCCTTTACCAAAATGAAACTGTATAGGACTAAACTATATGATCATTCGATTTACCAAAAACTTTTTTAAATAATCTTTTGGTGGTACCAAGCTTAAAAATGGCTTTGAAAAAGCAAACATTTTGAATCATACTAAAGCTTTTCATCTGACACTCTTCACAGTATAAACGTCAGAACACAGATCGTTATACTCTGAAGAGTGTGAGGCTAAATGCTTTAGTGTAATTCAAAATGTTTGTTTTTTCAAAGCCATTTAAAAACTTTCTTAATATCCAAAACTACGCTAAAGAGAGGGAACCACTTAGTTGCTGTTGTGCTCCTTGTGCCCCTGAGGATAGTGCATGCATGAATCATTAAATGGACGAGATCATTTTTCACCTATTTGAACTCATTAATGTCTATTAGGTTATTAAATGATCCTCTATTCTCGGATGCGCGAAGCTTTTTAGAGTTAGGGGATGTGGGGCGAAATTTTTAGTAACAGGTACGATTTTTATTAAAAGACTGAAAGTTCGAAATTTTTCTATAGTGGTGATAATAAAATGTCCTTTGCTTTTTAGCATTTTGTAAAAATATTTCAGTGGTCAACCCCTTGATTTTCTCTCTTTATACTTTTTGAGAAGGCATAGTAGAATTGAGGAAAAAGTTGCACAAGTTCAATTTCCTGGAATGTGGGAATAGAAATAACCAATGCGCCAGCCAGAAAGTTTTATAGCCAAATCATATTGAGTGTTTAGATCCGTCGAGAAGTAAGCTGAATGGCGGCGCCAGCCACTAAGCTCTGGGGGGGGGGACAAACCAAAAAAATTAAGCCACGCCCTTTTACCAACAGGGAACGCCAGTTTTGTCCGAAGTGAACGCCAATGACCAACTTTTGTTTGAAAATTGGCAGTTTGAAAATCATAGGATAACATCGCAAAAAGCACGGTGTCAAAATATTACCCCTCCCCCAACATTTTCTCATCGAATTTGGACAAAATCGGTTCTGCTGTGAACTGGGGGGGACGTGTCCCCCCCAGTCCCCCCGTGGCGCCGCTACTGGCTGATGCTGTTTTCTATTGTACCCCAATTTTCAGGCCAATTTGTTCAATGGTTTTGCTTTTTATGCACATTTTTAACCTGAGTTAGTCATCCGTTTGGCATTCTTTTGCAATTTTGTAAATCCCATGTAGAAACTCTGTACCAGCCATGCCACAGGGAATCACAACCTCTACAGCCTCGTTATAGATGTTGACTAAGAGGGAAAATAATAAACAAATTTGTTTTCAAGTTTTGGAATAAAAAAGGTGGGTGGAGTGTTTTTCGGTGAGATGAGTTTGGTAAGTCATCCTCATCTTCCTTATGAATTAAGTATTGGTCACCTTCTACAAAATATAGTAATCTTCATTGTTATGAAGTGAGACCGGAGGAGGGGGAGACTAATTTAGAAAACTGCAAGTTATAAAAGCCGCAAGGCCTAACTACAAATGTTTGACAAATTCAAATCTTTTTCAATTCTGAGAGACGAGAAAAGATAAGAAAGATTTATGACGGTTGAAAAATGCTAATGTTAGTTTATTTTTGTGTTTTTCTTCCGTTTTGTGATCCATGAAACTATTTTCATGTGTAGATGAAGATGGATAATAATGATCCTGTAACAAAACCACATTATACGAAAACTATTGTGTAGAATTGATACGTATGTCACCTCACTATTCGTTCAACAACCAAAGTAATTAGTAATTACTGAAACTATCTTTATCATAATCTGTGATATTTGCATCCAAACAAATCCCTTAATGATGTAATGAATTTTGGTATTTAAATTATGCATTGCAATTGTTATAATCAACTCGTCTGGATTATTTTATGCAATTTTAGAGATTTATGTGTTATAAGAAATAAATCTGAATGGAAATCATCCAAAGAGTTGTCAAGGAGAGCCTCCCAATATCTGATGAAGCTTTGCAAATCAACGAGGAGAACATGGATGGTGTTGATTTGTTGTCTACGGTTGTAATAAAGTTTAGCTCACAAGCAACACAAGCAACAATTGATTGGTTGATTGAGTTGATTAAAGCCCCAGGTACATTTTTATTGTGCGTTTTGCAGGAGCTTTGCCAGCTGTCACACCTTAGGCAGTTATCACATATTGAAACTATGTTGAATGAAACTGAAAGTAACATACATTGGGTGGTATGGAGTTAGCCATGTGCGAAGTGGTTCAGGTTCTGGTTCATTGTTTTTATAAATATCCACTCTACATGAATAATTGTAATTATGAATATATATAATAATTTTCAAAAATATTGTACAGATGTTTTATCTACAAAAAGCAACAAGCTTTACGTGGGTGAATTTCATAAAACAGGAGTTCTCTCAGTAGATCAATTAGTCAAGAAGAAAGCATCCTCTTCTAATACCAATCTGTTGCCTTTCTCAATTTTTGCAAAGAGTGTTATGTCACGGGCTAGGCCTTGTCATGAAATCCTGTAAAAACATGTTTTTTGTGAAGAAAATTCAATTTGTTATTTTCTGCATAAATTGTTCTTTTCAGTCTCATCAGGCGGAGCAGAGCTGATCCCATCCCTGAAGTCTGACAACCCTTCTGAGATTGGCAAAACATTTTATATAACAGCAAAATACAAAAGACTTCTTCATGCTGCAGAACATTTCAAAATTATGAAAAGATCAACTGAAGACCTCTGTGACGAGTTTAATTATGAAAACAGGCATTTGTTCAGTGGATTTAGAGATGAAGATGAAACATTTTTATCTTCAGCTGAAAAGCAGTATTTGATTAAGCAATGTCTTAACATGATAACATCACCTGATATGGGGTCAATCCCTGGTGTCAAAAAGAAAACAACTTTGTATAAAGACAGACCAGTCGGTAAGTCTTTGCAACTAATTATTACAAAAAATGCAATTATATTGTTTGCTTCACCATTTTCAACTGCAACATAATTATTAATTGTGCTTAATTTATGCAAGATTCATGAATTTTCCAATCAAAGAGCTTCCAACCCAGTGAATAATTTTTTCCCAAACCAGGATAATGTTCACTGCACCTTCCTTTTCCAAGAAAATTGAGGTAGGGTTGATAATTACAGCCATTGTTTGAATATATACTAAGTGTTTTCAATGTCTTCATTATGTCAAAGTTGTTAAAGATTTTATAAAACTTTCCCTTTTTTCAAGTATTATACATATGATTCTTTAAGAAATTTTGACAATGCTTGAATATTTCATCACCCTGTTTTCCTTTGGCCAGTAAATATTCTTCACCCTAGCTACAAAAAAAATATTAAAATAAGATTTGTTAGATTGAATAGAATGCAAAATTCAGACAGGTCTTATGTTTTTACGAAATAGCAACAAAGATATTTTTAATTAAGTTTTTTATTTGATAGTGACTAAAGTAAAAGCAAATTTTTATCCAATTTTCAGCCCTGAGTTAAAATAAGAATATCTTTTTAATAATTATGCATGTTTTATATAATATGAGAAGAAATAGACCATTTCTGATTGGTTATTTTTCTGATTTGTGTTAATTTCAAAACATTCAAATTTCAGTTCCAAGATGTTTGGCATATGGTGTTATAACATTGTTTCCCCTTCACGAGCCAGAAAAATTGAAAGCTCTGGAAAAGAACTGGTATGCAAATTTCAAAAAATGGGACATTCCAGTTGGTAAGTAAAAAATGAAACACTGAAAGTTTTGGTAATGAATGGAACACTGAAAAAAAATGAAAACAATTTAGTTACTTTGTCATAATATGGTTAAATTTAATAAGTAGCTTGTAATCATTATGTTAATAAAAAGTCAATTTATTTTTCTAGCAAAGTGCTCCATACTATTGTACTATATTCTTAGGAACATTTTAGGGTGTAAAGAACTAGGCATTGAATTCCATTTTATAAGGCAAACATTAAGATCAATGATTGGAAGCTTAGATATTGATCTCATCTGATTATAACTAAGCTGAACTAAGTTGAGTAGATTAGGACCTATGATTATATTCAATTTGGTAGCTTGTTTTCCTATTTTGGGATTTGTGGAAAAGAAGATTTTTAGTTTTCCTCACCATTCGTTTTGTGAATGTTTTTATAAAATATGCCCTTTATGTCATTTCACACAACATTATAAATTTTAAAATGTTTCCAAAAGCAATAATTCCTGTTCAGCAATAATTTTTGTATTATTAGAAGAAATATTTACCTATTCACAATGTGCATTGTTAATTAATTGAATGTTGCAGTCAACCATTTCCAAACCTGAAGACACCAAACAAACGATTATATCTGTATTCTGATGGGTAACGTTTTCCCTTATTCCCTGTAGTTACTGTTTGTTTTGTTTATGCACAAGATATGAAGTGAAAATTAAATATATTCGTTTTATCTTAGGTGAATTAAGAGAATACTTTGGAGAAACAATCGCACTGTACTTTGCTTTCCTTGGTTTTTACACAAAGTTCCTTATCCCTCCATGCCTTGTGGCACTCTTTCACAAATTTTTTATCTATGATGAGCACAAGGAAGAAAACGCTTGGTTCGCAGCTCTCAATCTGATTTGGACAACCGTTTTCTTAGAAATATGGAAGCGTCACTGCTGTACACTAACATTTGCATGGGGAACATTGGCTAGAAACAAAGGTTTGCTCCGAATAGTTTACAAAATCCTTTGAGTTTTTCGTCCAAATACTTATCTTTTGCGACTGCACTTTAGAAACATCGTATTTAAGACATGGATGGCGCGTTATGGATGTTATCTTGTGAACAACTGGGTTTTAGGTGCGAGAATGGCTCAGTGGTTAGAGTCACTGGCTAAGGATCCAAGGGTCTGTGGTTTTAGCCCCTGAAATGAAAAAACTTAGATGTCACGAAGTGTGATCACATCAAGAGGAAGAACCTGGACACTGCTCGATAAGAACAGTTTCTTAGTGTCCGAAAGCTACCTTCTGATGCTAGATAGCAAGGACAAAAAAAATTGGGCCTTGACTAGAAGTTTCGTGAGCTATTCTCCTCATCGCGCCTGTCAAGTCAGAACACAAAAACAACATTTTCAAATAATCTTGTAGTTTGAAATTTTAAACTAGAAACTTTTGAAACCCTTATGTTAGTTCCAAAGTTTGTTTTAAACACTTTTTGAGTAATGTTGAATGCAACTGTCCTTAGAAATTGATCCTTTAGAGAAGTCTTGAACTTTAGGCACCCATTTTTACGAACGTCCCATTCAAATTTGATCGGTATCTGGCCTTGGACATCAAGTATATTTTTACGACCTTTTCCAGAAGGGCTTGTTTAAAATTCAAGGTTCAAGGTTGTTTTTCTAATCTGTGCAAGTATGCATATTGAAAAGAACACAATGCTTTCCAAGCCTGTAATGTCTTATACATTCACGTCTGTTTTCATTTTTTGAGATCTTGTTCAAAGCAGTTGTCAATAGAAGTTCTTACAGAACGAATGTCCAACGTCATAAGTTAATAAAATTTTTTTGTGTAGTTGCTAGTTTTTCAAAATATTTTCACTAAGCGTACAAAGTTTTTATCAAATGCGTAACCGGGTCAGCCCCGAAGTTTATATTTTTGAATGATTGCCAAAAAAATACGTAGAAACCAGCTCAATCACAGGCTATTTGCTTTTTTTATACAAACTTTATTCTACGAAGGTTATAAGCGAAAAGTTGTTTATACATAAATTTATAAAGTCAGGTCAGTTTGCTCAGTGCAGAGGAAATCTGCTTCCTTTTTGGAAGACATAGCTTAGTTCTTTGTTCTTGGAAAATTGCTGATGAAAGAGTTATAAGCGAAGATTGGATTGCCTGGGTTTAAAAAACGATTGTCTGAAAAAATATTCCAATTGACTTATATAGAAAAATTTACCGAAGAATGTTTTTCTTCTTTGTTCAACCATTTTGCAAGCAATCCCTTAGTTTTACAAGAATATTTATTGTTTTTTCTGTTTTGTTTCTCTCCCTGTTTCCTGATGCAGATTTATTGTGGCTTGATATGACTTGATGTAATCTAAACATTCGGAAATAAACATTTAAAATGAACTAAATAGCTATATCCCTTTTCAAGTATTGTTTTGCTTGTGATTCCTGATAACTGATGGTTAAGTAGTTTTTTTTAAAAAATTCAGTCCGTGAACCCTTATTCTCGCTGACGTGAAATTTTTGCCCTGATAACGGTTTTTGAGCCATTGCCACTTCGGTGTAAAAGCAATTTAGCATCTTTCTCATTTCTGTTACCACGGAGAAACTAAGGCTACAATCGTTTGGTATTGTAGATGAATCTCGCCTTGTTGAGCAGCCACGTGCAGAGTTCATTGGTCAAAAACGAATCAGCCCGATCACAGGGCTACCAGAACCATATTACCCAACATGGAAAAGAAGAGTAAAGATGTACTGTGTCTCGTTTCCACTCTTGATGTTCTGTTTACTGTTTGCTGTTTTTGGGATGTGGCTATATCTTGATTTCCAACAAATAATGAAAAACCGATATAAGGAGAAAACTGGATTTTTCGTATCTATTGTTATGAGAATACCCAGCATCCTTTACGGTGCAGCAATATTTGCCCTGAACACAGTCTACAGCCGGATTGCTACTAAACTTAATGACTGGGGTGAGTGACACATACATAACTCATTTGGTATGAATACTTCGTAACTGTGTCCCTTACTACGTTGGTAACTGGCAACATTTCAAAAGAGGTAAACGTTAGAAATTCATTTCTTTTTTTCTATCCATAGTTGTACTTGCAATTTGTTCATTTGTATTGGTTGAAGAATTTCTGGGAGGGGCGGAGGGGGGTTGGGATTTGGCTCAGTCTAGGTGGATGATAATAGCTTGGGTACAGTTTTAAATAAGAATTGCTTTTTGGATAAGTTGCATATCCTTATTTTCTACCTTGAAATGTTGATTCATAACCTCATCACTTCAGCTGTTATGCCGAATTTTTCCTAGCAGCAAGGTAAAATGAGTAAATAATATCTAAAGTGTCTCATGTGACTATTGTCAAGGAAGCTTAAAAATTGGCCTCTTTGGTGGAACATTTGATTCCATCTTCATTACATTTCTTTGAAAACTCGCATTTGTTTATTTCTAGAAAATCATCGCTTGGTCTCGTCTTATAACAGCAGCCTCACTGTGAAGCTAGTGTTGGTGAGTTGCACCTTGCTATGTGGCATTTCAATAGAGCAAACTATTCCATAAATGCTTTTCCGTGGTCAAGAAATCAGGTCTCTTACCTAGACCCGCGGTTGGCAACCAGAATCCGGCCCGGGAAGATAATTTTTGTTGCCCACGAGATGATAAAATCATATTTCAATTTTTTATTTTCGGGTGACAAATATGATTTTCCGAGGGGGGGCAAATGTTGGATGGACCATATCGATTCAAAATGAGATTATTTTCATCAAACCATGAAAAGATGTTTTCACTATCCGTTGTCACGAATTTTTCCTACCTAAAACAGGACAGCAGAATCTTTGAAGGATAGGGCGAAAATTAACAAATGCAGGAAAAAAATCTTGCAGGATGCACTCATAGCAGTTGAGCAGGGCTCACATTTGTCCCTATTATGTTGCTAGTTGCTAGTGCGCCCGGAGGGGGGGCTATATTGAATAAATTTGTGTTTATGTATATCAAAGTCAATGACCTAACGTTGATTGGTGGATAATTCTGCATTCCCTTCCTTGGATATTTTCATCAGTTTTCCCTTTTGCACTTATGATTGTAATAGTCTTACCTTGTAAACCAGGACTAGCTAGTTGCAAACTATTTGTGTAATAGGGAGGTATGTAATTGTAATATACATAGTTAAATTTGAATGATTTTTTATTATAATCATCATCATCATTTAATTAAAACTATCGTATTCGTTTTTCTTATTACTTTTGATCCGCTTAAAGAAAAGGGTTGAAGGCTCTGGCCCACTCTTCAATTAGGTTGCCAACCCCTGACCTGGACAATGTCAAAACTGTCCACTCAGGTTTTGTTTTGAGATTTTTTGAGGAAATTACTTTACTTTTTGAACCAGTCGTCATAAATATCAGGTGCTTCAATAGTGCATTAAATCTACTGTTTATGCGTTTTTATGTCGGTGGCAAAATATGAATTTCAAATTTTACAGTAAATTTTATCTTCGAGATAATACCTTACCTCGTAGTTTAAGGCTTGTAACCTTGACAGGTGTGCTTAATCTCAAATCAATCATTCTTTTTATTGTAGTTTCACTCAGTGAACAGTTTTATCTCTCTGTTCTACATCGCATTTTATCTTCACGACATGGAGCTTCTAAGACAGGTTTGTTTCTGCTCGATCGATTGCCTACAAATTATGTTCAGCTCTCAGAAAATGCCGTTTGCTTTCTTGGCTTCGAATTCTAGTATTTGGAAATTTGTTCAGTCACAATTTACTTCGCCATCAAAATTTACTTCGTTTAATTATACTTGAAGCTGTTCTTGGCCAAAAAGGGTGATCAATGCTTATACTTCCTACAAGTTAGAACTTCAGTACTGGTACAAGATAAGTGGCCATGCATATGACGTCATATTTTCGTCTGTCTGTCAGTCTACTTTCGGAAGCTTTTTGCTGCCAAATAGTAAAGATGGTTCCGCAATAAACATGACTCAGGTCTGACGTAAATTTGCTCGGTTACATTATCCGAGCTTTCTTTTAACACTACGGTATTACCTGAGAGTCAAGGTTCAGTATTGATATTGTCATCCTTGCATTCATTATTTGATAGTCATTAATGTGTTGTATTTCGGCAACAGATCTCGTGCAGCCATAAGAGTGTTGAAGGATCATTCTCTCGATTTAAGCTGCTGGTTTATCGTAAAGAGATACCTCAATACCAATATCAGTTTTCAGATAAACAGCACGTTTTTAATTTTCTAGCTGTTCACATCGAAAAGTCGAAATAGTTGTTAAAAAGCAACTCAACAGCCTTTTTAGGGTTTATATGATCAGGTAAATAAATAATTAGAGGCCAATATAATTTGACCGCCACATCCAGATTTTTTCTTGCCTGCTGACGTCCCAAAACTTATGTTCGAACATTGAGCATAATTGCGAAAAAGATGCTTGCTCCTAGGTTATCGGATCTCCTAATATCTGGGAAAAAATTCTGTGGTTGAAAGAGGAGCAGTAGGTGCATATATCATGTCCTACATATGCCTTTCAGGCTCAAAGTCTAAACTTTTCAGTTCGTTCATATCACCAAGCGATAGGGAAAATTGCTATTCACTCAATTAGGTGATGATCTACAGATAATTTTCCAGTCTTTTATTAGACTGTTTTACAAGGTGGATTAGACTGTGCGAATTTCTTGGTCTGTAACGTGTCATTTCTTGCTAACTTCAATGGTGCTGTACCAATAAAACTCTAAAATTTGTGCATTATTTCTTTGTCATCTTTCTTTGTCTTTTAGTTTATTATACTCTTTAAATGTTATGCTAGGATAACTTTTTGAAAACTCAAGTTAACGTTGTTTGTCTGGAGACGAGCTTCTAACTTGTCCATGTTTCACTTCTGAACGGCGCTAATAGAAAATTAAAGTAAAGTAATACGAATATTGACAACTTTTAGCTGTTAAGCTTGACGACACAAACGAAATTATTACAACTCAACAATTTAATTGGGCTACACTGAAGCTGTCTTGATAACAGGCTATGCTCGAAACATCGTTATTTATTTGAAAAAATTTTCCCAGTGCAATTTACTTACGTTGATCGTTATTATAGCATTATATTGTACCGCACTCAATCTAGTAGATTTACACTGAAGCTAACTGCTAACGAGAATCTGTTTGTTTTTAAGTAGAACTTCCTAAGAGTCATTTTTATACGTTTTTTACTTTTTGAAAAAAAATATTGTAAGTTTTACAGGCAAATGAAAAACCAATGCTTTTGAAAAATGTCTCTGCATTAAAACATTAGAATGTGTTTGGATGGTGTAAAACTCACCATAGAACAGGATTTGCAACGGCAGTAACTAATTTGGTACATACTTCAGCTGGTGGATCAGCCTAGCGTCTTCCGTGTACATACTTGTAGCGTTGCGTGTTTCTAGTTGTTTCAAGATCAACTTCTATTATTCATTTTTCTATGCAGCACTTGGCTACTCTGCTTATCACTCAACAAACCATTCAACAAGTCCAAGAATCGCTGATACCATATCTTATGTTCCAAAGACACAGTGTCAAAGTTAAGAAAGATGGAACCAAGATTTCCGTAAAAAGGGAGAGAATCAAGGATAGGATTACCCGACAGGAGAAATTGCCAGTCTATCAGGTCAGCAACCTTGATACAATGTTATTTAGTACTGTAATTTTGCAAAGCAACGCTGTTCTTTTGATGCATATTTGTCCAAAGCTAAATTTTTCAGTTTTTTATATATAAACGACAATCTCTTGAATTGAAGTTATGGCGTACCTCTCAAGATACCTACCACAAAATACCTACCGCAAAATACCTTCCAAAAAACCTTTTTCAAGGTATATTATTGGAAATTCGAGAGTCATGCATTATTTTTCAGCAATAGATTACGAAACGTCATACGTCAATAGCAATTTTGGAATTTTAGGCATTGTTAAACTCTTGAAAGATTTGAAAGTACGAGAAACTTTAAGATTTATTAGGAATTTGGTAATACGAATAGAAATATTTTTTCAGGTAATGCGAAAAGAAATATTTTTTGCGTCACTTGACAAAAGTTCATATATTATAGCCTTTTAATGTTTTCAAATTTTTTTGTCTCTTGTGATAGCATTGTTTCGTGAATGAGTGGCAAATTTGTTTTGCCCAAGCTCTAGCTGTAAATTTATTTGACCTTTAATTTAAGAAACAGAAGGAAGCCCATCTTTTTTATGACAAATAATATCACCGCACACCCTTGATTGAATACAACCCGGACGTTAGAAAATTTTTCCAGCTTTTTGACTGGGCGATTATTCGAGTAAGACGCTTTATAGAAGGGGTGCTTTATAAAATGTTTCAGTCTGGAGTATATACTTAAACAATTGCAAGAAACTTTTAAGAAAAAACATACTTTGAAAACGATGCAATTGCAGCTGGATTAAGAAAGCAATGGCTTTAACTTTATTTTGACCGTTTACAAATTTCTTCCACTGTGCAATCCGATATCATTTTCCTCATATAAAGTTATTTACTTTTTGCTTCTGTATTTAAAGGGAGTTTAGTCGAGTAGGCCGCTTGTTGGAGGACGCGCGTTTTTCGAGCGGGCACTTGATAGAGGATTCACAGTATCTCTTATGGGTGTGTTGAACTCGTTAACTTAGTTAGCAATTTTTCACAAAGCTGTGACCTACTGCTTTCTGATTAAATTTTTTGTGTCACATATTTGTGGTTTTCCGTTTGTTTTTCCTTTTTTAAAGAAAAAATTTGTTACGGTTCTAGGCCATTCATTTGTCGAGCAAAGCTTTAAGGACTTTTCTACTGCCATTTGTCATTTTGTGTATTATCGTACGAGCAGACAGTTATTTCAGACGGTGATTGAAAGACTGATTCGACAAGAAAGAAGCCCAAGCACCAAAAAATGTCAAAAACTCAGATGAGTGAATCAGTTCTAAACACTCTATTTTCTGGCTCACGGCTTTTTCTATTTATTTCAAGCTGCCTGCCTATTGTTTTGAGTTTTTATTTTTGTTTACTTTCGTTAAAAAGATATTTTTGTTTTTACCCTTTCACGTTCAACGGATTTCCTTCAAACTGGTACAAGAATAATAGAGCAATCTAAATTAAGATATAATATTTTGGCTGGAGAAAGAATGGGGCAGTCGAAGTCCTTTTATCTGTTTTGCATAAATAACATGAACGACACTATACTGTCTGGGAAGTTGGGAAATTGAATTTTTTCTGAGAAGGTTAAGCTAACATTTTACTGCATATAAGTAGTTAATATTGTAACACAGGTGAGTGGTTTTCCTGGTTTTCCAAGCACAGAAGTTTCCAATATTAAGGCCATTTTAGGAATTCTTTTAACAAAAATCACTTTCGCGTCTAGGAGTTATATGTACAAAGTAGATTAAAACTTTAGTGTATCAGCTCCTTGTATAAATTTGTTTACAAATACACACCTTATATAGAAAACTACGGGGGTGTTCCACTCCATTCAGTGATTCAACTGGGATTTCTTGACATGCGCATCTATTGCATTGTACAGCAAATTAGAGTATTGCAAATATCGAGAAAATGTCTGACAGTACATTTTATGTAATTTAAAAGATAAGTAGAGTTTATAGCTCTCACTTGCTTTGAGAAAACATCTCATTTTGAATCACTGCTCCAACTTTTCCTTAAAATGTGATAAGTGAAACTAAAACTTATATACAGTTGCTATATAAGAGCTATATATATACAGTGGCTATATATACATAAGAGCTAAAATATAAAGTTAAACTTATATACAGTGGAATCCCAATATAACGAACTCTGAAGGGAACTAGAAGATAGTTTGTTATATCGGGAGTTCGTTGAACTGGAAGAAAACCTTTTTTAGCTCTTTTCGCAGTTCACACCTAAAAAACCTGGGAAGGGCTTGTTTAGGGTCTCTAACTTCTGTGCGCATTTAACTAAAAAAACCAAGCTGAATTCAAATGTTACTAATGGTTAGTCATTTAAAATGAAAATCTGTATGTTTCTGTTATTATTTGGGACCAAGAGATTGCCAAAGCTGGTATCACTTCCCTTCTAGTTAGCGGCTAAATGTCGTCTTCAATTACTTATTCTTATTTGTATTCTTCTGCTTCTCCATCTGGGTCTCTCAATAACGTTTGTCGTCGCTCATTGGCAATTTCTGACGCAATCAAACTATCAGCCAGTGCTTGAAATGTATCATCGACATGTTTTGCCGATTATAAAAATGATTTCCCACCAGATTAAATGATAAATGAACACCGAAAATAAATAAACAGAAATAACAGATGAAAAGTTTATGAAAAGATCACCAGACATTTAGTTCGTTACACCGGAAAGTTCGTGATACCCGGGGTTCGTTATATCGAGATTCCACTGTATTCTATATTTAACAAAATGGATATGTTGTGCATTCAAAGTTTTAGCAGCTACTTCGTCTTTGGGGAAACATGAAATAAACTGTTTACAGGGTTAGAGAGACAATTGTTTATTTTGTCACATAGTTAAGGTAGATTTTAGGATACTAAACTCATTTCATGGCTATTCCTACCAAAGGACACTGTGCGTATAAGACCTAAAAAATGAGAATTTACCCGAAGTTTGAATTCTCGACTCGAAATGAAAATATCTATTCCCTCGTATATTTTCATTTTTCGATGATTGATTAGCCCCTTTCTGCAGTTTTCATAGCCTGAGCCGTATAGTTTGAGGAAATAGGCCATTGTGAACTTTGAATGAAAAATGTATGGTAGTACTTGGGATGTCCCTGTCCTACGTTCTGTGATAATCAGAAAGTTGTTTCTGCAAGCCCAACAGGTAACACAAAATTGAGTGGCAAAGCTCTTTTCTCTGATGGACCATCCTGATCCACCATCGACGTGGTATCAAAAATAAAGAAGTTTTAATAATCGTACATGGTTTCGCCAATTGATGAGGGTTGCTGCCTCCTTCACAAAGTTTTGATTAAAGGGCCGCTCCAGCAAAAAAATTAAATTTCTTATTGGTTAAGAAGAAGGTTTATTGAGCGTGTGTTATGCGAGAACAATTTTTTCCAAAAAATGTTTACTTTCAAAGTTAGAAGGCTCATTAGTTGCACCTTTCAAACAAAAACCGACCAAAACTGGATCAGTTTTGAGACATAGCTACGTCACAATCTTCAGTTTCCGACGAGAGTAAAGGACGGACAGAGACAAGCTACTGCTGCAATAAACGTAAAAGAAAGGCACAGGAAATCGGATGCTTCTTTTTCGTTCTTTGCTCAGATACAAATTTCATTCTATAAGCAAATGGTGTCAAAACGAAAGTACCAAAACAGTACTTGCAGTGAACAAGCAACGCGCCGAGAGTGAACAAAGCGATGATATTTTCTTGCTCTCTCTGCGAGGACACTCTTTTTTGATTTGTAATCATTAATGCAATCTATTGAATGAGGCTTCTTGTTTTCTATGGCAAGAATCAAATTACTTTTTCTTCTTCTGAATTAAACAAAATGGTTTCTCAAGTAGCCAACCTATTTGTTGGTATCTGTGTCCAAGATTTTATATAAATAACGATGTCTTGCCCCCAGATTCTTTCGACAGGCATGAGTGTAATTTGGAAGTATCAGTGGTTCCGTCAGGGATTAAAGTAAATCTTGACAACGCATCAAATTCAAATTTGCGGTTCCTCTCAGTAATGTAATTTTGATCATTTTTTGCCCCAGGGAACTTTCGCTGATTATCTGGAAATGTACATCCAATTTGGATACGTGTTTCTCTTCTCAGCGGCATACCCTTTGGCTGCCTTTTGGGCTCTGCTAAATAATGTCATCGAAATCAGAAGTGATGGATTTAAATTATGCCGTTTGCACCAAAGACCTTTCTTTGAGTCTGCCTCATCAATTGGTGCTTGGCAGGTGAGTAATACAACATGGTATCATAGTATGATGGTATGATGGTATCATGATATCATAGTATGATGGTATCATGATATTATATTATATTATATCATATTATATTATATTATATTATATTATATTATATTATATTATATTATATTATATATATTATAATATTATATTATATAATTATATTATATTATATATATATTTATATAATCATATTATATTATATTAATTATATTATATTATATTTATATTATATATATTATATTATATATATTATATTATATTATATATTATAATTATTTATATTATATTATATTATATTATATTATATTAAGATTATTCTGTTGAACTATATTATATTATAATGAACCACTTTTAAATAAGATGTAAACTTGAATAAATAATAACAATATTGAACGGTATTTGGCCGATAATGCTGATAATGCTGCTTCCCCTTCATAATTACATTATTCACTATTGCAATCTTCAAAAACATTTTCTGCTATTTCTGTTTCTGAGAAAGACAAGTTTACTTCATTGTTCAGAATGATCTCTATAACAATTTGTTTTCTGATTCTACAGGCTGCCTTTGAAGTCATGAGTGTTGTTGCAGTGATCACCAATTGCTCGTTAATTGCAATGTCTAGCAGTACCAAAAAGTGGCTTGGAAATATGTCAGGCACAAACTATATACTCTTGTTCGTTCTAATTGAGGTAAGATCTCGATTTAAAATAAGATAATCATAATTTTATTGTTGGAATAAATATGCATTTGGTATCTGTGATTTAGCCGGATACGTGCTACAATGAAATTATTGAAATAACTTGTGATAAAGAGGTGCAGAGAAGAAGTGAAAGATTTTCTAAATGAAAATCACTTCAGATTCCTCAATTGTACTTTCTTTAGCAAAGGTAACTTTGAGTGGTGTTAGGTAGACCAATTAGTTCCGTTCGGGGCATTAGGAGGAATTAATGTCTTCTTCGCGAGGTTTCGGCAGAAAAATGCCAAGCTAAAGCTCTCATGTTGAGGCTGCGTTCCCTCTACACAGGAAGGGGCATTGCCTTTTTTAAGGAATTTCTACTAGGCGGCAAAGTTTGGCCATTACACGATATTGCGTAACTATGGGCGTAGGAAGCCTTATAAAAGTTGAGGGCACACGCTTGGGCACCTTAACAAAGTTTGTTTAAAATGCAAGATAAATATTATTTTCTTGCATAGTTGTGAGCAGTGCCATAGAGAGACTTTAAGGCCCTAGCAAAATATTTGATTAATGGCTTTCTTAAAATAGAATTCATTACTTTTGAGGCCCCCTAAACTTCGAAGCCCTAAAGTAATTTTCCTTCCCCTACCCCCTCTCGGTAGCCCTGGCTGTGAGTCAGTTGTTTTGATGTTTCTCAAAGCAGATTGCATTGACAATTTTAGATCATGGCTCCAAAAGGTTACCCCTGTTCCCTTTACACATTTCAAAGCTACTTTTTGGTTATGCAGTTAGCAAAAAAGGGAAACTCTGTAAGCTTCAAATTGGAATTTTATGTAGATTTTTTAAAGCTGGAAGGCATTTCGCCCCTGTCGCTTCCCGATTCCTATGACTTTGTGCATAACTACCTCGATTCGTTAGTGATTATCCCTGCAAGTTTGTATTTACCTAGAAGGCAAACCTCTTTTAAAAGCTGATCTACATCCCCCCACACACCAATCTCTGGCATTATTCGTAATAATCTTTAAAGTCTCACTGTCTTCAATATTAAAACCTCTTATTTTCTGATCGACTTTTTTAAAAAAAAAAATTTTCTAGTGAAATAGTGAAGTGAAATTTTTACATTATGTGGAGTGGGTGGTACGATTTGAAGGGTCAAGTCTAATAATTATGATTATCTAGCAAAGTATACAAGTGTGAATACATTTTGATACAATGTACCGAAGCCTTTGCCGCCCAATGAGGTCAACTTTTAACTATCTAGGCGGCAAAATTGTTTCCTAGTTTATCTGTTAAAAAAGGCCATGGGAAGAAAGTTCGATTTCTACACCCATAAAGAAAATACTGTCCTTTGCAAACCCAAGATCAGCTTTAGAAAGAGTAAAAGAATTTCATTTTTTCTAATATTTCATTCGTTGATTGACGAAGAACAAACTTTCTGGAAATTAAAAAGCACGCTGTTAATCAATCCTTGGTCTTATATTGGGCGAGTTTCTTTATTTAACCAGAATCTTTAATATCTGAATTATCGATATTTTTAAGAGGAAAAGGTTTTGAAGAGGTAATTTACGTAGGAAAAATTAAAAATATAGAAACATGACAAAAGTCATAAAGCCAATCTACAGAGTAATTTAAATGACGGATTTAAATGATGGTTTGTCCTCGCGTGCCATTTTCTCCCTCTCTGGGTAGGGTCAGAAAACCAACCGAGTCAAGATCATGTTAACAAGATAGAAGATATTCGTAGAGCATAGTACCAAATGTCTTTCTAGCATTCAAACAAAAGATAAGATACAGCAAGCAAGGCCTGCTCAAAACTGATAGATCAAAAAGACTGCTAGAACTATCATGACTCCTGAATACCTTCTGATAATGGCATTTTTATAAACCAACACTTCACCTTCAAAATTATTCAATGTACAAGATATTTGGTTTTCATTTTTCAGCATCTAATCATTGGAATGAAAATATTTTTGGCATCTATGATACCTGATGTGCCTGGCTGGATCACAAAGAAAATGGCAAAGATTCAGTATGAGAAAACAAATCTTCTGAAGGTATGCTAATTTTATGTTATGCTAAATCTCCAGCTTGAAGAGCATTGACCAAAGACATAATTCCTGGCTTTAGCAGCCCAACTGCAGCCTCAATAAAAATTGTCAAGATTCGGGTTAGGCTTGACATACCAGTCCATGTGGATTCAACAATCATTTTGTTTGATCTTAATCTAAATGTTGTATTGTTTGTAATGAAAGATCATTCAGATATTGATATCAACAAATTTCTTTCAGAAAAATAAAGATGACCTTTATGCAGAACTCATTCATGGAGAATAAATACAAACGATGAACCTTAACATCACCTGAGAACGAGTAAGGGGCTCTTGCACCATATACACAGTTGTTTCAATATATTTATATCTTATGGGAAATGTGTCTCCAATTTCAATATATTTTTATTCCATGGGATTTGTGTATTCAAGTAGAGTAGGTCTTGGTTTTTGTTTAGAAATTTTGTTAAAAACAGTTTTGAATACCTGCTCAAAACACCTTAATTGTAGATGCCTTTCAATCCAATTCAGGTTTTGCTTTTGATAAAACTTAAACAAATTTGGAGGGTCCATGCATAATTTTGCCTTTTTATGGAATATGGAATATGTAGGAAAAGGTCAACTAACAAAGCAGAGCAAGTCTTAAGGTGGAGCAAGAAGACAGTTGATATGGACAGGGGGGTTCCAGAGAAAATTTGAAGGAGTGGCAGTTGGTAGTGGGGGCACTGACAACTTTCAGAAATTGCTGATGTGTGTACACTGTATGCAACAATTTCAGACCCTGACTACTGACAGAAGGCTCTCTATTCACTTTCTAAAGAATTTGTCACCATGATTGTTGTATACTTTGAGGTAATCCTTGAAGTAAAGTAACCAATAAGTCTCAGAAAATTTCACATTGATTCTCATTCTTCAAAAGGGGCACAAAATTTCCAAAAAGAAGCACCAGACTTGCTTCAACCCAGTGAAGAAGAGGCAACTGCCCCCAGTTGCCCCCTCTTAAATCCGTCACTGGATGTGGGGCTTACCCATTGGACTTTTTCACATTTCAACCTTTAAAAGATCTGGGGCATACAAATAATATTCTTATGTCTAATATAATCCATGACCATGACTATGAAACCATGTGAACTGAACATCAGAACCTAAAACATATGAACTGAATCTCAGTACTACTGCATCTTTATTCACTGGAAGTATCTTTATTCTTTATATACATGAAGGAAGTTGGCTTTTAAATTTCAGTGCATTGCATCTCACAACATCTTTATACATGACTTGGTCATGTCTTTGGGTAGTTATTTTATAAAATCAATTATGGTTCATGGTTATTTTTGTGTTGCAAAACATTTTGTATTTAACAAATAAATGCAATTAATACAAGAATAAAGCTATACACCAAAATTTGAACATTGTAACCTGAATATAAAATGCTTAATAATGTGAATGATAAGAAATGTTAATTGCACATGTACATTCATACAGAAAGTCACTTTATTCCCAAAATAATCAGTTCCGCAATGCTGCTAGTCTGGAAAAGGAAAGAAAAAAACTTCTATTAGCTTATTAGTTTTTATTAGTTAGTTTAGAAAACTGCAATACCTTGAAATGGATAGAAACAAAATTGGTGCTTATGTCTTGCTCTTACAGTCCATTATTATTAGAATTAGTTTTACTGTTTTATATACTCTAAGAATGAACAGAGCCATAAACTAGCACTGAACCTTGAGACCAAGAACTGAACTAAAAAGTTAAAACTCTTGAAAATTAACAAAAAGCTAGCTAGTAAGCTACTTATGAGGCTAGAACCAAGTGATGGCTATATCTACCTTCTGTCTAGGTCATCCTCTTTTGATCCCTTCACTTTTGAGGCAGCACCTTGTGCTAATGAGCCACTAGCTGGATTCACTTCTGCCAGTTGGTCCATAACTTCCAAACCATTTTCTTCTGCCACTTGTAAGATCAGCTGATCAACCTGTGAATGAAACAAGCCATTGTTTTATTTCTGGTGCAGATTTGAGATTTTGAAACTATTGGGTAATTAAAGATAAATCCCTTGGAGTATGCTTAAATGACGACAACGTTTTTCACTATAATATATTGTATTTGTTGCTACCTAGCTTTTGAAGGTAGTTCTAGACAATGATAAGCCATGCTTTTTGAGCACTGTCCTGGTCCTTCCTCTCAATGTGACCACACCTCCTGGTTCTTAAGCCTGGAATTACAGAAAGCTGGCAATTCTCCCTACTCTAAGTAAAAGTTTGGTTGTGGCAGGGAATTGAACCCAGCACCTTTGGATCTGTAGTCTGCATCTGTAGTAAAAATTTGGATCTGTTGTCTGCAACCCTAACCACTGCCCCATTTGGCACAAGGCTACAGAAATCATAGAAATGATGTCTGAATTATAACACTCATGAATCAATCACCAGCAAGTACTGCAGTACCTGAAACTTGTTTTAAATACTTAACATGTTTTTACATTACCTGATCTTGAGGTGTTGTTAGCGTAACAGCATTACCCATTGAGCCTTCCAAAACCTAGATGAGAATTGATAACTTGAGATAAAAATCATATTTTGAGATCATAAATCAGGTCATAAGTTAGACCTGTATGATAAACTGATATCCTCTGATAGCAAGGGTGACATTGAAAAAAGCTGAGATTATCCTTCATTCGGATCTATCTGGATTCAGATTGCACCTATGCAAAGCTCTTGCAAAAGATTGTTTTGATATGAGAGATTGTTTTTTCATCTTTTGTTTCTTGTTGATTTCTCTAAAGTTAAAATTAATTTTTTCTGTGTGCTTTATTTTGATGGCATTTCCGGGGGCATTTGATGGCATAATCACTCTTCAAGGTCCTCTTTCCATTACTCTGTTTTTGTATGTTTTTTCAAAGAACATTCAGTTTTTGTATTTTCTTGAACTCTTCCCATTACTCTGGGCCATTCAATTTTGGCCAAAAGGAAAATGAAGGAAAAGATGCATTTTCAAATGGCTCTATTTTCAAATGACTCCACTTTGAACAACTTTTTGGATGACTCCAGTTTGGTATCAAATGACAAGTAAGGTCTCCATTTTATGAATCACAAACATCACATGCCTAAACTTTTCAAGGAGTGCCATTACCAGCACTGGAACAGATTTCATATTACCAGAACTGAATAAACTTACATTTGACTTCAATAAGCTCATTCAGAATAATATAAAAAAGGCAATATAGACCACTGCTGGTCTATGATAAATTTTTCCATGAGAGGCCTGTTACCATCCAAATTCTACAAGCTACCCCATAGATGTTGAAATTGCTCTATAAAAATTTTACCTGCGTGTGAACATCTAAGTCTTCAAACTGTTTTTCAAATTTCTCCATAACTGCTGAGACCTATTGAAAAGGCTAAATTAATACAGTTTTTCAAATGGCACAAACTAGGTAAAAATTATTTAAAAAGTAAAAACAGTGTATGATATAGTCACTTGACAATAAACAATCATTGGCATAAAAAGGGGTTGATCTTCAAAGGAAGTGTTAGAATGGATAAGAATTTTCCATGATAATAAAGCAAAAATTTGCAAGGATCAGGCAAAATTCTAAAAGAAAAATGAAAATTTTAATCCATTATAAGTTTATAAGAGAAAACATGCCTTTTGCAAATCCATTGACTGCAAGGCTTTATCAAGTCCTTTCACAACACCAGACATGTCTTTTGTTACCTTGAAAAAAGGTGAAATTCAAATTATATGTTATGATTCTATGTTTTATTTGGAGACAAACTTATTTCATATCATTTATTTGTAGGAGAAAGCTTAAAGGCACTAAGTCCCGATAGTAAACTATTTGCACTAACAATAGGCTCTGTAGCCATTTACAATTGAGAAATCTTTGAGAATTAGTGATCTGTTGCAGATTGGAAAATTGACAAAAGTTTATCCGAATATAGTGCCTTTAAAATATGGCAAGCCTTTTCATACATTCATGTAAGAAGACATATCAGACGATAACAAATAAATGTTAGTGCTTTTATTGTCCTCTTCTATGCACTTATTAACCATATCATTGGTGACAGGAATTCAAGCAAACATTATATAAATAATTATATTAAATAAAGTGTAATGAATTTGTAATGAAATGAAATTGTAAATTTATCACAAACAAGGTGATACCTGTTTCATAGCCAAAGCAGACTGAATTCTTGAAGCTACTGCGTCTACTCTTGATGCAAATCGAAGATAATTCAAAGATTCATTTTTCTTTCTAATTGCATTCTCTGCATAAATCTTTGCTCCTTCAATATTCTTTTGCTGGATTGCCTAGAAAAATTAAACAGATATTAATGTTAAATTTTTAATTAATTCAACATTGAAAAATATCTCACTTTCCAGTAGCTGTTTCAAGTTTACCACCACAGTTTTAAAGATTGGTCATAAAAATAAAGGAAACATTTTCCATTCCAGACTGCAAACAAATTATTTAGCATATAGAAACTTGTCTTGGTTTCTTGCAGTTTGTTTCCCATTAGAGCGAAAATGTGTTGGAAATGGGATAAAATCATCATAAGATATGTGTTGGTCATTGGAAGTCCTGGGTGAATGTGGAACACTAACTCACCACATTTTAGAAATGCATTTTGAACACTTTTGGAATGGGATAAATTTTTTTTATTGTATTCAAAAGAGTTAGGACATCGTCAAAGGTACCAACATTATCATTGCAGAAATACAATGCCATTTGTAGATTTTTGCCTCAAATACTGGGGGCAAGAAATGTGTTTGAACAATTGTTAGGCAAAATTTTCAACTTTTTTTGCTTGGTTTAATCTTTCCCTACCTTTCTGTTGAATTAGAACAAGATTTAGCAATTTAGTCTCAAGATTCCTTATTGGTCAAATCATGTGCTGTTTTCCCTCCCCCGTTTATTTTTTCATTTTTACGCAAACTAAATAAAAGGGTAGTGGTAGGTGGCAGCATTTTACAAAGAATTGTCTTTAATTTGCCACACGCGCTGGAAAACCTTGTAGCTGCAAATGCCTTAACATTCAACATTTGGTGGGAATGATATTGAATTAAGTGAATTCCTATATTTCCAGTCTATTTCTAACATGTTTAGTTCAACCTTTTCCCAATGCATTTTGGCTCTAGTGGGAACCAAGCTTAAATGTGATATAATAAAAGACTGTCCTTGGAGACAGATATTTGAGAAAGTAACCTTTATCTGGCATTGTTTTTTACCCTAACCAAATCTTAAAGACTAGAAATGTGCAATGCTGAATGACCTTTGATTAGATTACAGATTTAGTTACTTAACATATGATTTTAATTTCAATAGATCTATTTCTTGTGCAAAACTTTCATCACAGTAATGTTGATAGATAATGTTTCAAGATTAACTGTTTGCAGCTTGTTTCAGTAGGTTCAACATCTCACAGTAGAAGCTCAATACATTTTTCCTGATTTTAGATAAAATTTAGGGAATGGGCTTTCAAACCCATTACATACTGTTTACAAATACATTCTTGTATGTTGACAATTTTAACAAGAGTAAATGCTATAAAATGGCCAATGGTACAACTCTAGAACAAGTAGCTATTGCCTAAACTTCTGGAATGTATGGACTATAAGGGGCACCTCAATTTGAAAAACCTAATTTGAGAATAAATGTTAGGACAATTTTTATTATGATTCTTTCTCAATCACTTCCCAAAAGGAAGAACAGTTTTGTATGACATTATAGATAACCTTTAAAAATCTCCATGTATATTTAACGAAGGTTTTTATTCCCAAGCTGATTAATACACTTCTAAAAACTAATATTTGGCCAAATTTAGGAAACATCAAAGTTCTAGTGATAGAGTTTCCTATTCATACAGAATCATGGATTTAACAAGTCATTAAATCTACCACAATAAAGAGAGATGTGAAAGCATGCTTTACATTACAGCAAATTTTTTTTATATACAATATATAGTGTTTGGTGTAATTTTTACAGTAAATTTAATCTAGTAAGCAGGGATCTGAATTGGTGTTTTTATGCTAACTTTTTCTGTTCAAATCAGCTAGTGCCAAAAATAGTGATTTTAAATAAAAATTTAGCCCTCACAACATCCTCACTTTACCACAAAAATTTGGCTGAAACATTTGATGAGGTTAAACAGGGTTTTAGCTAACTATAGATTACCTTTTTAACTTTTTGTTGTTGAGTCTTCTGGTCTTTTTCGCATCTTTTCGAGAGCCTCTCCAATTGCTTGGATGAAAACTACAAATGAATCCTAAATTTATATGTACTTGCTCCCTTTATTTTGATTCTTGATAAATAATAAATTCTATTGCTGCAAATGTAAACTATGAAGCCATTTGAACATGTAGAAATTAGCAAGAGAAACCAGTTATAATGTAAATAAAAAAAAGTATATAATAGAAAAATAGAGACATGTTTAAGGAGGCTGGAGAGCAGACAGCAAAAAGCAACAATACAAAGATGTAAGAGAGACAAAGAATTCTCAAGCATTAACAATAAACAATCTTTGCATATAAACAACAGTATCTTGCCAGGTAAATTTCAGAATGTAAAAGAAAGTGACATCCTTCAAGAAAATACTAGGCAGAAAATTCACTCTGCAGAGCTTGCAAAGGTTGCAGCCTGCAAAGCTATTAGCTGCTAATAAGGCTTGTAAAGCCATTCATTTCACAGCTACTATGCACTTTATTTTCAGTGACAAAGTTAGAGAAAAATTCAAGAATAATTCAAATACTCATGAACTAACCTTCAATTGAAAAAGAGTGTCTGAAATAAAAAGGATACGTACATTTATTGCAAATACATCACAAGCGGATAAGGATGTATGACCAAAAGACGACAATGATTGCTTTAGCACCAAAACACAAGTATAAGAAATAATTATATAATTTGTAGCTTGTCTAGGAGTAAATATTTAAATCTTTAGAAGTGCTGACAGCAAATTCTACCATGAAATAAAAACAAATCCGCATCTATCCTCCTTTTCCAACACATCCACAACCTAACATTGCCTTTATCTAAATGTCCTGCTTATATCTATAGCCTCGTGAATTGCAATTGCTTAGCTAGAAGTGAAAGCGACGCATAAATCGGCATACCCTCCATCCTGGAAAGATGAGTCTCTTTTTCTACACACTTTCAGTTTGCTGATATCAACAGAAATTTAATCTGAGTCACTTTCCTGCCATTATGAAATACATCACTTGTTATTTTAAAAGGCTCCTCCGCAGCTATATTTAGATTTTGCAAACGAGACATTGCATTGTATTTTGGAAAATATTTCATTTCCCTTCATACACCCATTTATGGTAAGCCCGATAAAATGCGCCCCCGGAAAAGCCGGGGAGTCCCTTCTCGAAAAGTTGAATGACCCGGGTATTTCTCTGTTTCTTCAATCCTCTGTCCTTTCGTCTTCTGCAACCTGATGTTTTTGCACCCTCTTTGGCACGAATTCTCATCCCAATCCCTCATTTTGACCGTTGAATATCAAAATCAGTTCTCATACAGACACACCGAGGGCAGTGATAGCAGTGCCTAAAATAAGAAATGTGCGTGGTACTTTGCTGGGATCGGGACAATGGGCGTGGCAGATACTGCCACTTTGGTGCAAATAAGATACCCCAATTGGGCAAAATCCTGAATAAATGAAATTTTATTAACAAAAGCCGATTCTTTATAATATTTGGATTGGGTTAATAAGAGACTTGGTATGATGTAGCTATTATGTCTTAACTTGTCACCAAAAACGTTATCGAAAGGAAACCCTTATACATGGTTTGTTCAGATTTCCGTCAAATTTGTTTTCTCTATTCTTTCACCTTCAAAAACCCCCTGAAATCGTCTTGATTCCCAGACTTTGGGGTTTTGGAATTTTGGAGCCATACTTTTGCAGCTGTTCAAGGAACTGGGAACTTGCGAGATCAAGCATTTTTTTGCAATATGCATATATTTGTTAGGTGTTTCTGGAGCTATGCTGCTTTGCCCACTTGCCTCTATTTGTTGTAGCCATTGTATCGTCTGGTAGAATTCCTCTAAGAGCAGGTCTCAGATCTCTGTGGTCTAAGATTTCTGAAACATCAATGCATGATCAAATAAAATTTTGCTAAATTTTTGTCCGTGACAATAACTGGGTGGAGCTTTTCACGTCTCGTTTTGCTTGACAATTACTGGGGTGCTCCAGCCCCCAACCTCCCTGCTTCCGACGGCCCTTGGATATCACATAAACCCCAAAATATGTTATTGGCAGGAAGTCATAATCTTGCAGATCTCCAAAAAGAATCTTGGTAGCGTCAGTGTCTTTTTTAAGTAAGTCATAAATGCAAACTAACTTGAGTTGATGAATTGAAGTTGAAGCTGAATACCAAGTCCATCTTATTCCCCAACAGCATGACAATCCCATAAAGCGCAATGATTTTCCTCCACATGTGCTGAAGCTTCAAGTTCTGAAGAATCTTAATTTTATGCTCATTTCTTACGGCAATTAAAAAATGGCCTCAATACACTGGGCCGCCGGACGCAGTTTTGAACAGAGGGGGCCAAACCGAATAAAAAGGGCACAAATATTTTTTTCCGAAACATTAGTAAGTGCCAAAAATGGTACAGATTTCACGGTAATTTAGACAATTATAAAAATCATGACACACGTTGGACATAATAATGATATTAACTTTCTTACTTTCATATTTAAACAATTTCGTCCCCCTTGGTAATCGCACCATCCCCACTTCAACACAAATTCGTTCGCCTCCATCAAATTTTATCTTAAAAGCCAAAAATTTTATGGTTAAGTCATCTTCACGCAATCGGCTGAAGGTGCGGGCACATTCTTCACTGTCATAGCAAATTTAATGTGCAACATTGATCTCGTCAGTCTTATGAACGAAACAAGTTTTCAACTCTCCTTAAACTTGATCCTGGGGGGCTCAGTCTGTTGGTAAAATGTATTACATGTGAGTTCCGAAAAACTCGAAAAAAGTTAAAATTCTGGGACATAGAATCTTGAAAATTGGGTTGTATTCTTAATCAGTCAGATGTTGCAGATAACTTTTAAAATAAATCAATGGCATATTGAAGTATAACAAATTTTGCAGTACATCTAGTCTTGTATATTGTTCTAATCCTAGATAAGAAATTTAAGTCTTTGTTAGCATGTACTCATTGCTTGGACACAACTTTTTCATTTCTTCATAAAAAACATTGAACACAATGTTGTGAAGAAAGCAATATGTACCACAAGGGATCCTTGTTGAAATCAAATTTAGTGAACTCTGCTTTTCAACTTGCCTAGTCATAAGTTTAAGAAAAATAATGGTTATAACATGAATTGGTAACAAAGATTCCTGCTCAAGCTTGAATGTTCTCAGTGAAAAGAGTTACACAATTTTTGAAAAGTCACAGAATAGGGTACATTTTACGCATCTCAGAATCAGAGATAGGGCTCTACTTTCAAGAACGCACACGATATACATTGGACCAACTGACTGTGCCCGCCGGGGACTTGACCGGACCTTTCACTAATTGATTTGTTGCTGAAGACATACTAAGGAAACTTTCTCGCGGAACTGGCAATCTCCTTCGCAGTTGATATTGTTCATCACAGGAGCTTGCGCTTTTTGCATCAAGACCAAGTGAACATTGAAGGAATTTAATGAAAGGTCCTCCAACAACGTCCAGAGCTATTTTTTTTACTTAGTTTCTAAAGGCAGAATATCTGGCATTGAAAAAACACACACAATATATTTTTCGAAAAGGGGCACTTGTTTATACTTTTTGCAAACAGGGGGGGGGCCTGTGCCCCCGTGGACCCCCTGGCTCCGGCGGCCCTGATACATAAGGCTAGGATTTGGCATTCACTTCCCGTTGAAAAAGTTTCCGAATTCTTTCTTAGGCGTTTTGGTTGGTATTCAATGCTGCACTTTAAAAGAAATGCATTATTTACAAATCCACACTTTCAAGAATTATAGATCCACAATTCTGATTTATATCGCCAAAAAATTAGTCAGATCCACACTTATTTTAGGCCCTGTCTGTAAACGAAAAAAAATTTAAAATCTGCCGGACGCGTTCCGATTCCCTTTCCAGTCAAAACTCGCTTTAGTTGCCGTGGTGTATTGACTCCATCCACAAGCTACAACATAACAATATTGGCCCACGGCATTATACGTGACCAAGTCCCTTTAATGTAGAAAACAAGCTCTCCTCAAAGTTCTCATGTGTTGACGTCAAGCGAACAGTAACTGCAACTTATACAAATTAATAAAAATTTACAAGTATCGGCGCACTTTCTTTATACAGTCGCTAAATCTTTTCGAGCTCGCTTCAATCTCGGTCAAAAGGAAACAAAAGGCAATTTTTGCAATTTCCTTCTTCAGCGTTGCCTCTGTAAAATTGAATCCCCTCTTTCCTCCCAAATCAATGTTGGATTTGTAGTTTTATCATTTTAGCTTCGAAATCATTTATCCAACATTGAATCGTGGGAAGGAAAAGTTTTTTTTAAAGTAAAAAGTCTCAACTATTTTTGTCCAGGATTACCACCTTCTGACCACTTCGCGTCTTTTAGCACTCAAGAGATGATTTTGCATACCAACCTCCTCCTCCAGAACATGCAAGTTTTCGCTGCACATTTGTATGGAGGTATAAGGATCTTGTACGATTCATAAATACTTGAAGATATGAGCCTTTATGACTGACTCACTGACGGAGAAGGGATAAAATCATCAAAGCGCTGGGGAAGAAAGCCCATTTTTCGCTGAACATTGCTGACCTCAGTGGATTTGATTGTTTTTTTTTCGAAGATCAGCAGCCATTTCCATGCATCGGGCCTCATTCAAGTTAACACATCATTCCTTAAACCCTTTGTTATGTTGTTAAAAAGGGCCTAATTGGTACTGCAATTCGACTAATAGAGGTTCAAAAATTAAGAACTTTAGGACCTAGGTTTTGAGCTAGGATTTTTATAAAAAGGCGTGTAATGAAAATATGTGAAATGTGGATCTTTCGAGATTTATGGCGACTTAAACGATTGTTTTCTTACATGTTTTTTGAGATTTTTTCAAGGGTGACTGGTGAATGAAATATTTGGGGCTAATTCCGACACGACACCACTCTGCAAACATAAATAACAGCCATCAAGAATAGTCAATTTGCACTTTACACCATGGCATAGTGGGTCCAGTGCCCCCTGTCCCTGCGGGATTTACGGCCCTGCGCGAAATTCACGGAAATAAAGATATAGTGAATGTGGCGAAGCGTCTGGAAGCTGGGAATTTTGAGAGGCTAATATCGAAGCTCAAACTACTCAATGTTGAATAGAGATCTGTCAAGGATATGCAGAGAGTACCCTAGACCAGGGGTTTTTAAGTATTTCGAGTGCCTTGGCAGAAAAACATGCAGATTTTCTTCATGGGCTAATGAACATTCAACTTATTGTTACCATGCTATATTAGAGATAAGATAGACCGGTTCATTATTTCTTTACTTATAAAATCTTTCCAGTATGCTTATTTTCACGAAATAAGTCTTGGAAAGGTGGATGACACAAGGGAAAGAGGGAGGCGATACTGACCTTGAAGGACATGGTGCTGGCTAGATGCTGTTGGGATTGGCTCAATGTGCATTACACGTCAGATTTACACGCCGAAGGCCAGGGATAACTTTTTGGTGGGAAGTGGGGCTAAAAGCCTCAAAATGTAGGATGGTAAATAAATACAAAAAATATTTAACAGAAAATTCTGTAACTTAACGACGTTTCTTGTACCAGGTTGAGTCAAAAGATCATTGTTTTGCCCCCACACTGCAATGTTTAAGTTAGGACTTTAATCTTTGAAGACTCTTCTTAGGTCGACTTGAAGTGCTTGAAGTCAGAAATGATGATTGTTGGTGTAGTTATTGCCACCAAGTTTTGCGGCAAGATAAATTTTAGACTAAACTTGTCTAAGAATGATGACCAGAAACTGCATCTGAAGTTGATTTCAACGGGAGAAAGTTATATATTAAATTAATACGAGAGAATATTCGATGGGCCGAGAATTGTTCGAGAAATGAATATTCAAGAGGCAAAAGGATTCGGTGGGCCGGATGAAATCTCTTTGCAGGCCTTGGTTAGCCCGCAGGCCTCAGAATGGCTGCACTAGACGGTACTTCCACCAATCAAAATGCTTCCTTTCATGAATAATTTTTAATTGGCGAGAACAACGGCCAAGTGCGCTGAGATTTATGCAGCGTACAGCCTCACATATTGTTCAAAATAGTCTCGCTTTGAGGTCAATAAAAACAACTTATGGAGGAGGAGGTCGAATTATCTGTTCTGGGCAATTTTATATCTTCGTATTTGCCAAAATTGGATCATAGAATTGGAATCTTCATTTTGAAATTAGTTTGTGCCGAAAATGTCATGTTATTTGGGCCGTCAGGCAGCGAATTATCCTATTTTCAAAATTTAGCTTTTCCTATATATTCCAGTGGAATGTATCTATATATCTATATATCAAATTTTTTCACTACAGCACCAAATTCCCGTCAAATCTAAAGAAATATCTAAATATTCGAAACAAAGTAACTCGCGACCGAATGGTCCAAACAGCATGAAAGGTCTGTAGATAGTGAGATACAGAATCGATGATATCAACCCGGTACGGCGAACGGAGTCGGTTTTTTTTAACTTCATCAAAACAACAAATACGACTTTATATCCAAGAATTATTCCCTGTTTGTGTGACTGCTTTATAACGATCCTCTCATTGGACCACAAATCTACCAACAGCAAAGGTAGGCTGCATATAGATTTAGCTGTATGCTCCTGCATATAGATTTAGCTCTATGCTCTCCTAGAATGGTAGGCGAAATTTACAATCTTTTGTTGGTAAGGAAGGTTTGCTATTTGTATTTTGTGCTGTAGTAAATTTGAAAAGGCAGAAAAACTCCCTTTCAAGTTGCCTAGTGTATTCAAGTAGATTGGCTGAGCGAAAAGAACTGAGCGAAAAGCTATCGCGCAAAAAGCTGTTAATGCAGCTGTTGTCGCAGGATGGGCCGGCTTCAAGGATGGCGCTATGGGGTGTCATGGGGTACAGTTGCCCCCCCCCCCACAAAATCTTCACAGGTTTCGCGCGAAAGCTTTTCGCTCAATGGAAAGTAGGCTTTAACCGCCATTATGATTATATGCAGTTATGTGCTCACTATCTTCAATGCTACCTTTGGGAACTTCAGATTCATTTGTGAGCAACTTTTTTCAAAGTTATCGAGTGAAAAATGGAAAGCAAAAGCAAAGTGCAGAATGAAATAATCTAACAATTGATGGCTGAGGAAAAGGTGGCAGATCAAAACGAACGACGAACGCAGCACTTACGTGGAGAGTCACAGCAGCGATGGCGACTTAGACCCCGTTTACACTGTCCCGTGCAAGTATGGAACCGTGACAAAACTGTCGTGGTTCACCCTTCCGTTTACACTAGCACTGTGGAACCGTGACGATTTTGTTCTGCTATCCGGAACAGTTTTGACCCTGCTTTGAAAGCGAACGAATTATCCGAGACGACTTTGTCACGGATTCACAAAGAGGTCTTTTGTATGGCTGTTTCAGGTAATCGAGGCTTTGATTGTGGCGTAACTACGTTGTCAAATTCTGAAGAAATAGAAATTCTGAAGAAAAGACGACCACAGAAAAGGCTTGTTTTGTTTCTCAGTCCAAGCCTTGATTGGACTTTGCAGCTTTGTAGTCTAAAAAAACACTGAAAATTAAAGCCACCTCGTCGTTCGTCCAAGTAAAATTTTTATCGGCCTTCCACTCCATTTTAGCTCTCAATGAAATTTCGATTGTTGACTTCGGCGGCAAAATAAAAGCCTCAGTTGACTAAATACAGCTTCTTCTAAACAATGTTCTACCATTAAATTAAGGTTGTACCAGGTTGTACCGCTACAGTGTAAACGGAACAATTTGGAACCGCGACAGTGTAAACACTTGCGAACCGTAAAGGTACAAAATTGTCCCGGAACAGTGTAAACGGGGTCTTAGATTTAGGCATAGGCATAACAGGAAGCTATGCGTTTCAACGTGTTGTTCTCGAAATCAGCTATTATTATTCACTTTTATTTTACCCCCCCCCCCTTTTATAGTCTGTAAACCAGTGCTGCAAACATGTCGCTGCGCAAGCGATGTACGGTGATGGAAATGTTGGGCGAAATGTTGAATGCATTTGACCACCCGCTGAAAAATATCAACGAACTTTCTAATTTTTTGGGAGTAAATGTTGGATGAAATGTTGGATGCGTTTGACCGGGGCTTAGAGAATTCAAGAACAGCTATTGTGACACTAAGTGAGCACTTTGTTTATGGTTTATACCGACTGAAAGGAAATCATAGTACCCTAAGTTTGCAAAACCAAGGAACCAAAATAAGGTTTCGTCGACACGATGGCGGATATTTTTGAAAACGCCATTATTTTTATCTGTTTTAAAATAGTCTGCTTCCACACTATGTGCGGCCACACCGGAAGAAATAGAAGCAGAAACTTTTTTACGCAAAGATGAACCTTCTTTAAGTTTAAAGAATGTCCTATAAATTGTTGGTTCTTCGAAATTTTGCCTCCTTCCATACCAGCCGTTCTGGTCGTATGAACACCATCAACGACCCTGCGACGGTGCGCTATCCTCGGGGAAATAGTTGTAGCCTCGGTTCCAACCTTTCAGCAACAAACACGGCGGGAGCGGGAATGAACACCTACACCATGTTGCATTGCACGAGGCGGCCATGGATGCATGAAGGTAGAGACTGCAGTTCCATTCCCTTGTTCTTATCAACCAATCTTGGACACATCTATTCACAAATAGCTTAAACGCAAACTGCTACAAAGTACGAAGAATGCTGTTCTGCTAAGGATTCAAAAGAGGGCGGTTGCGACACGAACTTGGTATCATCATGAAGAAAATCTCAGCAATTTCGCTGCGGTATGTTGCCAACTCCTTTTGTCACCTTATTAGTATTGGCAAATTTGCATTTGTGCAAATTATGGTATTTTTGATGCCGGTTGTTTATTATGAAAAAGGGACCCCAAACGCAACCTGCAAATTGGCATTCGTCAAGGTTGCCGGGAGGGCGAGTTTGAAACCAGTTCACCGACCAGCGCGAAGCAGCATCAGATTTCGACTCTTTCTTTCTAACAGTTCTTTAATAATCATTGCATTAACAGGGAAAATTGGAATGGCAATTTAGGAAGGCCGCTTGGTCCTAAACTTTATTTTGCTGGAAATGGTTGACACAGAAAGTTCAATGTAAGAAAATGATTTACCACATGTTACAACCTACCTTGCAGCTTAAATGTCAGCAGTAACACTAATGTTTTTAGTTACTAAGAAAGCTTCTTTTACCATTTTTGTATATATTTAGCTGTAATAACTAAATTTTGTCATTGGCTGGCAGCAATTTTTTGATTCTTGAAAGACAACATATTCACTAAGGTTAAACTTTTACCCCTGCAAAACCCCAACCATTGTTCACGGCCTAACCATAGTTTGCATTGATCCTTCCATGGTTGAGCCATGATTCTGACAAGTTCTGACCATGGTTAGTGACCATGGTTGATCAATGTAAGATTTCGCCTGCAATGAACTTAACTTGTTTGTTCTTTGAGAATGTTAATTCTGGACTGTGTAAGAAGTTCAATAGAAATATAAGAAAAAAGAACAATTTTCTGTATTTGTTATCATTTGATCATGTCTGATCAGGTCAAAACCTTTGAATTTCTTTTATGAAATTTTGGCCTGACCATTGCGGACCCATTGCTGAACCATAATTCATTTCTCAACTGACTTTTCATAAAATGGCAACAAGCTCTAACATTAAATAGTTTGATTTCACTTGTTTTGTTTTGTGGACACACTTCCTTGTCTCTAAGTCATAAAGCATCAAGTTTTTTTCAATTTGAAATGTTTTATGAATATTTGGCCTGACAGTTGCTGACACATTGCTGACACATTGCTGAACCATTGTCAATTTTTCAACTGACATTTTTTAAAATGGCAAATAACTTTTAAATTGAATAGTTTGGTTTCACTAGTTTTATTTTGTGGACACATTTCACTGTTTTTTGGTCATTAAGGATTTATTTTCTCTGAATTTGAAATGGTTAATGAAACTATGGACCAGAACATTGCTGACCCATTGCTGAACCGTGTTCCATTTCTTTACTGACAGGTTCCTTGTCACTCTTTCACCAAAAATGCTGGCTGCCTTTGAATATCATTAAATTTTAATTTTTGATTTTTTTAGAAATATATTGAAAATATCTTGTCATAGGATATATATATATATATATATATATATATATAATCAAAGAAAATTTGCATTTGTAATTGGCAAAATTTGCATTTTTACTAGTGTACACGTCTTTTCTGGCATGTGATTGCGTGCCATGCATCTATTGTGGTGCAATATAGCAATATTGTGCACCTCATCCATTTTTATTTATGATTACTATTTTATCCGAAACATTGTCTTGTTGCTCTTTGGAATCATTTTTAAAGAACAGCATTCACCATCTAGGAAATCCCATGACATTGTGTGTGATAAAGGATCCACTTTGAATCAGCATTACCACTATGATCATTACCGGAAATAATATTTAGATTGAAAATGTATTTAAAAAAGGTTGCTGCTTTAAGACGCCCCATCAGCCACACATCTGCTAAAATTGGTACGGAGAGGCCTGCAATTCTTATTTTTCTTCCCAGTGTACCTATTAGAGGCCACATGAATAAGCAAGATACCTAAGGAGTCACCGATTCAAAAATGACTCCTTCCTCATTTTCAAAATATGAGCTTAAAATTCACAGAAACTACCTGAGACTTTTACTACCTGATAGGAGCATAAATTGAGGTATTTTATGTTGTTTTGAGTAAATAATTTTAGTCAGGTCTGGGGTGATAAATTTTAGTCAGGTCTGGTTTCAAACATAACTTAAGGCTTTATGCATTGTTTAAAGAAAGACAATTGTTAAAAAAATTCACGATTTTTGAAATTTTTTACAGCTGCCAGGTCATGAATTTTTTCAAAAATAACTAAGTCTTAATTTTCAGAATATGAGCATGAAAGTCATTGAAACTACCAAATATGGTGTTTGGAACGTACTAGATTGTTTTGAGTGGAAATTTTTTTTTTGCAAAATTTCAAAATTTTTGGATTTTTTTGCAGGATTTTTGAAAAAGGACCAAGCCTTTATTTTCAAAATATAAGCCTGAAATTCACCAAAACTTCTCAAAATGGTGTTCGGAACAAAAATTGTGACTTTCTTGGTTGTTTCGAGGAAAAAAATTTCTTTAAAAAAATTCAAAATTTTTGAAGTTTTTGTCAAGTTTTGGTGTCAAACATTCTCTATACATTCTTTCTTACTTTCTTTTAGATTTCACTTTGAAGTTAACCAAAATGTCATAATTTGATTCCAGGAAGGTATTTTCTCATCCTTTTTAGTTTTTTTGAGTAAAAGAATTTATTTGAAAAAATTGAAAATTTTTGAAGTTTTTTGGAGGTCCGGGGTGATGAATTTTTTCAAAAATGGCCCAGCCTTTTTTTCAAAATATGAGCCTAAAATTCACCGAAACTTCTCAAAATGGTGTTCGGAACATAAATTTAGACTTTCTAGATTGTTTCGAGTAAAAATTTTTTTTGAAAAAATTGAAAATTTGTGAAGTTTTTTGCAGGTCCGGGGTAATGAATTTTTTCAAAAATGTCCAAGCCTTTAATTTTAAAATTTGAGCCTAAAATTCACTGAAATTTCTCAAAATCGTGTTCGGAACATAAATTGAGACTTTCTTGGTTGTTTCGAATACAAACATTTTTTTAAAAAAATTGCAAATTTTTGAAGTTTTTTGCAGGTCCGGGGTCATGATTTTTTTCAAAAATGCCTAAGCCTTTATTTTCAAAATATGAGCCTAAAATTCACCGAAACTTCTCAAAATGGTGTTCGGAACATAAATTAAGACTTTCTTGCTTCTTTTGAGTAAAAAAATTTTTTGAAAAAATTTAAAATTTTTGAAGTTTTTTGCAGGTCCGGGGTCATGAATTTTTCCAAAAATGCCCAAGCCTTTATTTTTAAAATATGAGCCTAAAATTCACCGAAACTTCTCAAAATGGTGTTCGGAACATAAATTGAGACTTTCTTGCTTCTTTTGAGTAAAAAAATTTTTTGAAAAAATTTAAAATTTTTGAAGTTTTTTGTAGGTCCGGGGTCATGAATTTTTCCAAAAATGCCCAAGCCTTTATTTTTAAAATATGAGCCTAAAGTTTTCTGAAATTTCTCAAAATCGTGTTCGGAACATAAATTGAGACTTTCTTGGTTGTTTCGAGTAAAAAAAATTTTTTGAAAAAAATTGAAAATTTTTGAAGTTTTTTGCAGGTCTGGGGTCATGAATTTTTCAAAAATGCCCAAACCTTTATTTTCAAAATATGAGTCTAAAATTCACCAAAAGTTCTCAAAATGGTGTTCGGAACATAAATTGAGACTTTCTTGGTTGTTTCGAGTAAAAAATTTTTTTTAAAAAAATTGCAAATTTTTGAAGTTTTTTGCAGGACCGGGGTCATGAATTTTTTCAAAAATGTCGAAGCCTTTATTTTTAAAATATGAGCCTAAAATTCACCGAATGTTCTCAAAATGGTGTTCGGAACATAAATTGAGACTTTCTTGGTTGTTTCGAATACAAACATTTTTTTAAAAAAATTGCAAATTTTTGAAGTTTTTTGCAGGTCCGGGGTCATGATTTTTTTCAAAAATGCCTAAGCCTTTATTTTTAAAATATGAGCCTAAAATTCACCGAAACTTCTCAAAATGGTGTTCGGAACATAAATTGAGACTTTCTTGCTTCTTTTGAGTAAAAAAATTTTTTGAAAAAATTTAAAATTTTTGAAGTTTTTTGTAGGTCCGGGGTCATGAATTTTTCCAAAAATGCCCAAGCCTTTATTTTTAAAATATGAGCCTAAAGTTTTCTGAAATTTCTCAAAATCGTGTTCGGAACATAAATTGAGACTTTCTTGGTTGTTTCGAGTAAAAAAAATTTTTTGAAAAAAATTGAAAATTTTTGAAGTTTTTTGCAGGTCTGGGGTCATGAATTTTTCAAAAATGCCCAAACCTTTATTTTCAAAATATGAGTCTAAAATTCACCAAAAGTTCTCAAAATGCTGTTCGGAACATAAATTGAGACTTTCTTGGTTGTTTCGAGCAAAAAATTTTTTTTAAAAAAATTGCAAGTTTTTGAAGTTTTTTGCAGGACCGGGGTCATGAATTTTTTCAAAAATGTCGAAGCCTTTATTTTCAAAATATGAGCCTAAAGTTTTCTGAAATTTCTCAAAATCGTGTTCGGAACATAAATTGAGACTTTCTTGGTTGTTTCGAGTAAAAAAATTTTTTTGAAAAAAATTGGAAATTTTTGAAGTTTTTTGCAGGTCCGGGGTCATGAATTTTTCAAAAATGCCCAAGCCTCAATTTTCAAAATATGAGCCTAAAATTCACCGAAAGTTCTCAAAATGGTGTTCGGAACATAAATTGAGACTTTCTTGGTTGTTTCGAGTAAAAAAATTTTTTTAAAAAAATTGCAAATTTTTGAAGTTTTTTGCAGGTCCGGGGTCATTAATTTTTTCAAAAAGGTCCAAGGCTTTATTTTCAAAATATGAGCCTAAAATTCACCGAAAGTTCTCAAAATGGTGTTCGGAACATAAATTGAGACTTTTTTGGTTGTTTCGAATACAAACATTTTTTTAAAAAAATTGCAAATTTTTGAAGTTTTTTGCAGGTCCGGGGTCATGATTTTTTTCAAAAATGCCTAAGCCTTTATTTTCAAAATATGAGCCTAAAATTCACCGAAACTTCTCAAAATGGTGTTCGGAACATAAATTGAGACTTTCTTGCTTCTTTTGAGTAAAAAAATTTTTTGAAAAAATTTAAAATTTTTGAAGTTTTTTGTAGGTCCGGGGTCATGAATTTTTCCAAAAATGCCCAAGCCTTTATTTTTAAAATATGAGCCTAAAGTTTTCTGAAATTTCTCAAAATCGTGTTCGGAACATAAATTGAGACTTTCTTGGTTGTTTCGAGTAAAAAAAATTTTTTGAAAAAAATTGAAAATTTTTGAAGTTTTTTGCAGGTCTGGGGTCATGAATTTTTCAAAAATGCCCAAACCTTTATTTTCAAAATATGAGTCTAAAATTCACCAAAAGTTCTCAAAATGGTGTTCGGAACATAAATTGAGACTTTCTTGGTTGTTTCGAGTAAAAAGTTTTTTTTAAAAAAATTGCAAATTTTTGAAGTTTTTTGCAGGACCGGGGTCATGAATTTTTTCAAAAATGTCGAAGCCTTTTTTTTCAAAATATCAGCCTAAAGTTTTCTGAAATTTCTCAAAATCGTGTTTGGAACATAAATTGAGACTTTCTTGGTTGTTTCGAGTAAAAAAAATTTTTTGAAAAAAATTGGAAATTTTTGAAGTTTTTTGCAGGTCCGGGGTCATGAATTTTTCAAAAATGCCCAAGCCTCAATTTTCAAAATATGAGCCTAAAATTCACCGAAAGTTCTCAAAATGGTGTTCGGAACATAAATTGAGACTTTCTTGGTTGTTTCGAGTAAAAAAATTTTTTTAAAAAAATTGCAAATTTTTGAAGTTTTTTGCAGGTCCGGGGTCATGAATTTTTTCAAAAAGGTCCAAGGCTTTATTTTCAAAATATGAGTCCATAATTCACCGAAACTTCTCAAAATGGTGTTCGGAACATAAATTGAGACTTTCTTGGTTGTTTCGAGTAAAAAAATTTTTTTAAAAAAATTGCAAATTTTTGAAGTTTTTTGCAGGACGGGGGTCATGAATTTTTTCAAAAATGTCCAAACCTTTATTTTCAAAATATTAGCCTAAAATTCACCGAAAGTTCTCAAAATGGTGTTCGGAACATAAAATGAGACTTTCTTGGTTGTTTCGAGTAAAAATACTTCTTTGAAAAAATTTAAAATTTTTGAAGTTTTTTGCAAGTCCGGGGTCATGAATTTTTTCAAAAATGCCCAAGCCTTTATTTTTAAAATATGAGCCTAAAATTCACTGAAACTTCTCAAAATCGTGTTCGGAACATAAATTGAGACTTTCTTGGTTGTTTCGAGTAAAAAATTTTTTTTACAATAATTGCAAATTTTTGAAGTTTTTTGCAGGTCCGGGGTCATGAATTTTTTCAAAAATGCCCAAGCCTTTATTTTTAAAATATGAGTCTAAAATTCACCGAAACTTCTCAAAATGGTGTTTGGAACATAAATTGAGACTTTCTTGGTTGTTTCGAGTAAAAAAGATTTTTTGAAAAAAATCGAAAATTTTTGAAGTTTTTTGCAGGTCCGGGGTCATCAATTTTTTCAAAAATGTGCAAGGCTTTATTTTCAAAATATGAGTCTAAAATTCACCGAAACTTCTCAAAATCGTGTTTGGAACATAAATTGAGACTTTCTTGGTTGTTTCGAGTAAAAAAAATTTTTTCAAAAAAATCGAAAATTTTTGAAGTTTTTTACAGGTCCGGGGTCATGAATTTTTTCAAAAATGTCCAAGGCTTTGTTTTCAAAATATGAGTCTAGAATTCACCGAAACTTCTCAAAATCGTGTTTGGAACATAAATTGAGACTTTCTTGGTTGTTTCAAGTGAAAAAGATTTTTTGAAAAAAATCGAAAATTTTTGAAGTTTTTTGCAGGTCCGGGGTCATGAATTTTTTTCAAAAATGTCCAAGGCTTTATTTTCAAAATATGAGTCCATAATTCACCGAAACTTCTCAAAATGGTGTTTGAAACATAAATTGAGACTTTCTTGGTTGTTTCGAGTGAAAACAATTTTTTGAAAAAAATCGAAAATTTTTGAAGTTTTTTGCAGGTCCGGGGTCATGAATTTTTTCAAAACTGCCCAAGCCTTTATTTTTAAAATATGAGCCTAAAATTCACCGAAACTTCTCAAAATCATGTTTGGAACATAAATTGAGACTTTCTTGGTTGTTTCGAGTAACAAAATTTTTTTGAAAAAAATCGAAAATTTTTGAAGTTTTTTGCAGGTCCGGGGTCATGAATTTTTTCAAAAATGTCCAAGGCTTTATTTTCAAAATATGAGTCTAAAATTCACCGAAACTTTATTCAAATGGTGTTCGAAACATAAATTGAGACTTTCTTGGTTGTTTCAAGAAAAAAATATTTTTTTGAAAAAAAATGATAATTTTTGAAGTTTTTGTCAAGTTTTAGTGACAAACATTCTCTATATATTTTTCTTATTTTTTTTAGATTTCACTTCGAAGTTAACCAAAATGTCATCAATTGAATCCAGCAAGGTATTTTCTCAGCCTTTTTAGGTCTTTTGAAAAAAACAATTTTTTTGACAAATTTGAAAATTTTGAAGTTTTTTGCAGGTCCGGGGTCATGAATTTTTTCAAAAATGTCCAAGGCTTTATTTTCAAAATATGAGGCTAAAATTCACTGAAACTTCTCAAAATCGTGTTCGGAACATAAATTGAGACTTTCTTGGTTGTTTCGAGTAAAAAAAATTTTTGAAAAAAATTTAACATTTTTGAAGTTTTTTGCAGGTCCGGGGTCATGAATTTTTTCAAAAATGTCCAAGGCTTTATTTTCAAAATATGAGTCCATAATTCACCGAAACTTCTCAAAATGGTGTTTGAAACATATATTGAGACTTTCTTGGTTGTTTCGAGTAAAAACAATTTTTTGAAAAAAATCGAAAATTTTTGAAGTTTTTTGCAGCTCCGGGGTCATGAATTTTTTCAAAACTGCCCAAGCCTTTATTTTTAAAATATGAGCCTAAAATTCACCGAAACTTCTCAAAATCATGTTTGCAACATAAATTGAGACTTTCTTGGTTGTTTCGAGTAAAAAAATTTTTTTGAAAAAAATCGAAAATTTTTGAAGTTTTTTGCAGGTCCGTGGTCATGAATTTTTTCAAAAATGTCCAAGGCTTTATTTTTAAAATATGAGCCTAAAATTCACCGAAACTTCTCAAAATCGTGTTCGGAAGATAAATTGAGACTTTCTTGGTTGTTTCAAGAAAAAGATTTTTTTGAAAAAAAATGATAATTTTTGAAATTTTTGTCAAGTTTTAGTGACAAACATTCTCTATATATTCTTTCTTTTTTTTTTAGATTTCACTTCGAAGTTAACCAAAAGGTCATCAATTGAATCCAGCAAGGTATTTTCTCAGCCTTTTTAGCTTTTTTGAGAAAAACATTTTTTTTGACAAAATTGAAAATTTTTGAAGTTTTTTGCAGGTCCGGGGTCATGAATTTTTTCAAAAATGTCCAAGGCTTTATTTTCAAATTATAAGTCTAAAATTCACCGAAACTTCTCAAAATGGTGTTTGGAACATAAATTGAGACTTTCTTGGTTGTTTCGAGTAAAAGAGATTTTTTGAAAAAAATCGAAAATTTTTGAAGTTTTTTGCAGGTCTGGGGTCATTAATTTTTTCAAAAATGTCCAAGGCTTTTTTTTCAAAAAATGAGTCTAAAATTCACCGAAACTTCTCAAAATCGTGTTCGGAACATAAATTGAGACTTTCTTGGTTGTTTCGAGTAAAAAATATTTTTTGAAAAAAATCGAAAATTTTTGAAGTTTTTTGCAGGTCCGGGGTCATGAATTTTTCAAAAATGTCCAAGGCTTTATTTTCAAAAAATGATTCTAAAATTCACCGAAACTTCTTCAAATGGTGTTTGAAACATAAATTGAGACTTTCTTGGTTGTTTCAAGTAAAAAAGATTTTTTTGAAAAAAAATGATAATTTTTGAAGTTTTTGTCAAGTTTTAGTGACAAGCATTCTCTATATATTCTTTCTTATTTTTTTTAGATTTCACTTCGAAGTTAACCAAAATGTCATCAATTGAATCCAGCAAGGTATTTTCTCAGCCTTTTTAGCTTTTTGCAGAAAAACATTTTTTTTGACAAAATTGAAAATTTTGAAGTTTTTTGCAGGTCCGGGGTCATTAATTTTTTCAAAAATGCCTAAGCCTTTATTTTTAAAATATGAGCCTAAAATTCACCGAAACTTCTCAAAATCATGTTTGGAACATAAATTGAGACTTTCTTGGTTGTTTCGAGTAAAAAAATTTTTTTGAAAAAAATCGAAAATTTTTGAAGTTTTTTGCAGGTCCTGGGTCATGAATTTTTTCAAAAATGTCCTAGGCTTTATTTTCAAAATATGAGTCCATAATTCACCGAAACCTCTCAAAATGGTGTTCGAAACATAAATTGAGACTTTCTTGGTTGTTTCGAGTAAAAAAAATTTTTTGAAAAAAATTGAAAATTTTCGAAGTTTTTTGCAGGTCCGGGGTCATGAATTTTTCAAAACTGCCCAAGCCTTTATTTTTAAAATATGAGCCTAAAATTCACCGAAACTTCTCAAATTCATGTTTGGAACATAAATTGAGACTTTCTTGGTTGTTTCGAGTAAAAAATATTTTTTGAAAAAAATCGAAAATTTTTGAAGTTTTTTGCAGGTCCGGGGTCATGAATTTTTTCAAAAATGTCCAAGGCTTTATTTTGAAAAAATGAGTCTAAAATTCACCAAAACTTCTTCAAATGGTGTTTGAAACATAAATTGAGACTTTCTTGGTTGTTTCAAGTAAAAAATATTTTTTTAAAAAAAAGAGATAATTTTTGAAGTTTTTGTCAAGTTTTAGTGACAAACATTCTCTATATATTCTTTCTTATTTTTTTTAGATTTCACTTCGAAGTTAACCAAAATGTCATCAATTGAATCCAGCAAGGTATTTTCTCAGCCTTTTTAGCTTTTTTGAGAAAAACATTTTTTTTGACAAAATTAAAAATTTTGAAGTTTTTTGCAGGTCCGGGGTCATTAATTTTTTCAAAAATGCCCAAGCCTTTATTTAAAAAATATGAGCCTAAAATTCACCGAAACTTCTTCAAATGGTGTTCGAAACATAAATTGAGACTTTCTTAGTTGTTTCGAGTAAAAAAGATTTTTTGAGAAAAATCAAAATTTTTTGAAGTTTTTTGCAGGTCCGGGGTCATGAATTTTTTCAAAAATATCCAAGGCTTTTTTTTCAAAAAATGAGTCTAAAATTCACCGAAACTTCTTCAAATGGTGTTTGAAACATAAATTGAGATTTTCTTGGTTGTTTCGAGTAAAAAAATTTTTTTGAAAAAAAATGATAATTTTTGAAGTTTTTGTCAAGTTTTAGTGACAAACATTCTCTATATATTCTTTCTTATTTTTTTTTAGATTTCACTTCGAAGTTAACCAAAATGTCATCAATTGAATCCAGCAAGGTATTTTCTCAGCCTTTTAGCTTTTTTGAGAAAAACATTTTTTTTGACAAAATTGAAAATTTTGAAGTTTTTTGCAGGTCCGGGGTCATGAATTTTTTCAAAAATATCCAAGGCTTTTTTTTCAAAAAATGAGTCTAAAATTCACCGAAACTTCTTCAAGTGGTGTTTGAAACATAAATTGAGATTTTCTTGGTTGTTTCGAGTAAAAAAATTTTTTTGAAAAAAAATGATAATTTTTGAAGTTTTTGCAGTCCGGGTCTTCATGAATTTATCTCTCCTC